TATATAAAATAACTAAAAAAAAAATTAGTATAAAAACTAACTTATTAAATAAAATATTACACCCTTATATTAAATTTATTTTAAAAAATTACTTAAACCTAAAAAATATTATAGCAAGCAAGGCCTACTTTATATAGTTTTAATAAGGTATTTAACTTTTACGCCCTAAAAATATACTAAGTATTTACTAGTACTATTATAAGTATTTTTAGCTTTTTAAATTACTTTTATACCTTAATATTATAAAAATTGCCCGCGGTACCCTTCCTAGTAATTTATAAAAAAAAATTATAAGGGTATATTTAATAACCATAAATTTATTAATATTAATAGTCTTTTTAATTATTTAGCTAAAAAACTTAAAAATCTAGTACCTAAGGGGTATAAATTAAATACCTAATTTTTAAATCTTACCCGGGAGGAAATAAATATTTATTTTTATTACTTATATAAGTATTAAAAAGCGCTAAACTATAGCTAGCTATAAAATACTTATTATATTATTATTTAATAATTTATATGCTAGAACTTATTTTATTAAGCCTGGTATATTATATTAAGGCCTAATTATAAGTACTAGCTAATTTTATATTTATATTATATAAAATATACCTAGCAAGAAGACCATACTTATTTTTAATATATAAATATTAATATTAACCAAGCGCTTTAAAATAAACAAAAAGTAAATATTATTTAAAAATTATTATTATTAAATATAAAAAATAATAATAATTATACTAAGGTTTTACTAAGTATATATTAAAAAAATAAGGTAAAGGCATGGCTAGCACGGGTAAAGGCGTAAGATAATATTAATAACCTTTTTAATTTAGTTAACCGTGTGAAAAATAAAAAGTAAATTAAAAATAATATTAAATACTTTTATATAAACTAAAAAAAGAACCCCTACTCGTGGCTTATTATTTAAATTATACACTTATTAATATTATATAAATTTACTAGACTAGTTATAAAAATAAGGCGCATGGTACTACCCTAGTATATTACTATATTAACTAATTATTAAATACTTAAAATAGTAAAAAAAGGCACCTAAAAAAAATTAACTATTATATATTATAATTTTATGCCTGGCCCTACCTTTTTATCTAGTTTTTTAAATTATTATTTAAAAATTTTATAATTATTTACCCTAACTATCTAACTTTAGGGGCTGAAAGCTATTAGTAATACCTTAATAAAATATTATAAATAAAATTTAATTAAAGTAGTTAATAAAATAAAGCTAGTATTTAGCCTAAATATATTTATTAAGTGTAACTTTTTTAAGTCCTAAAAAAAAAGGCTATTTTTATTACTATAAATATATACATGCAGTTTTAAAAGCTAAAATAAAAATATTTTAATAACTTTAGCTATAATTATTATAAAATAATATTACCCCTTGCCCTTGTTCCCGCCTATATAGCCATGATTATTAAAAAAGTATTAAATAAAGTTAAGCTGCTTATTAACTATTATTAGTACTTTTTACTTTAGCAAAACTAACAAGCTTTAAAATATGTTTACTAAACTACCTAATTATTGCCTGTACATAATATTAATAAAAAAAAAAAAGGTAAAAAAAAGGCCTAGCAAAGGCTAGCTAAGCAGGGTATAACTAGTTATTATACTTTAAAATACTACCTTAAAAAAAAATAAAGGGCGTGAGTAAAAAAAAGTCTTACTTACTAGTAAGTTTTAACCCCCCCCTAAAAAAATATAATAGGGTTGCACCTTAATATTAATTTTTATAATACTTATAGCCTTGCTACTAGCCTTTTATACCTAGCTTATTATTTACCCTAATATATATATATATATTTTTTTACTATTATTCCTACCTATACTACGTACCGTCCAGCCCTAGGATACTACTATTATTTAGCTCCTTTAGCTCCTATGCTCTAGTACTGCCCCTCCACAATACTAGTTTATATTAAAGGTTTTTATAATAGCTTTAAAACTATAAATAAGGTATTATAAGTTATAAATATTTTTTTCCCTTAATTATAGCATACGCGGTGTAATAAAAGTTTAGGCATATTATATTAATAAATAATAAAAAAAGCCTAGGTAGTAAATTTATTTTTACTAGCTAGTATTATAACCTAGTAATAATAAGATTTATTATTTATAATAAAATTAATATATATTTTTTTATTAAATAAAAGTGGATACAGGCCGGAGATATTTATATAAAAAAGTTTAAATAATTAATTAATAAGTATTATAATATTTTTATAAGGCTTGGCCTGCTAGTATATAATAATATAAAATTTATAAATATAGCTTTTAAGCATGTGCATGCCGTGGACCACCTTTTTTATTTTATTAAGCTAATTTTTAAAAGTATAGCCTATTTATTAGTACTAGAGCCAGGAAAATTTATTTTAAAAAATAAAAATTATTAATATAAAAATAGCTAGCATTACCAGGCCTTGGTAAAGGTTAAAAAAAATACTTTATAAATTTTAAGGCCATGTACTATACTAATTTATAATTATATAAAATAATAATATTAATACCTTATAGCTTTTTAATTTTTATGTCCTACTAGCTAAAGCTAACTAAGTAATATTTATTTAATAGTTAAAAAATAAAAATTAGTATAAAAAATATATTAAGGTAGTATAAAATATTATTTAAAGTTAAAATTTTAAGCTAGCTATTAATATAGCAGGGAATTTTAATAATATTAATATTTTAAGTACTAAAAACTTTAAGGCTAATACCCTTAATACTAGGACTAGTATAGGGCTTAAAATTTTAAAATAAAAAGTAATTATAAGTAATATATTATATATAGCTACTATTTAGGGTAATTTATTAAATAAGGCTATTTTAAATAGTTTCTTACTTAAAATTTAAGTTAATTTAAGCTATAAGTACTAGCTTAAGTGTAGGCTTTATATTTTCCCTAAATTTAAAGTTTTTTTAGGGGTGCTTAACGCCCTTACCATTATAGTTTTTTTAATTATTTTTAAGTTTAGAATAAAGTTAATAATAGGTTTTTTAGCTATAAAAAAGCGTGTTATAATAAGAATAGTAATAAGTAATAATATTTATAGTACCTTTATTTTTATAAACCTAAATAATATTAATATAGTTTTTATAGTACTTAATATTAAGCTTTATAAATACCTTACTAAAAAAAAGTGCTAGGGTACTAGTGCCCTAGTTCTAGTTTAATTTAGTAAACTTAGTAATAATTATAAAGTTATTTAAAAAAGTAATTAACATGGTAATATCCCCCGGGAGGCATTTAATAATATAGTTATTAAAATATATAGCCTTAAAATAATTAAATTAATTACCTAAGGCTTAATAAAAAATAATAATAATAAATTTAGCTAAAAAAAATAATATTAACATGGGTAAACTTTTACTAAATCTCCCTAAGTTTTTTACTAAGGTTAGGGATACTTTTATTATAAAATAAGAATATTAGGTTAGCCCAGGCCTTAAAAATTATAGTATTAATATTAGGTTTAAAATAGCTTTTAATTTTATTAAGTAGCTTATGCACCATTTATTTATTAATAAAAAAATTTTATAAATTAAAACTTAAATAGCTAAAAATTAAAGCCATGGCATGGTTTTAGTTTTACTACTAAATTTTAATTTTATTATAATTTACCAGGGGCGTAGGCTTAATAATAGCCTTAATAATAATAGCCTTAGTAATAGGCTAAGCAAGGGGCGTAATAATAATTAAAATTTTATTATTAATACTTATATTTTTAGCTTAGCTTATAGTAAATTATTAACTAGGGGTCTTAGTACTTTTACTTACTAAAGCTAGTATAATAAAAAAAATAATAATAAGGGTTTTTACAAGGCGCCTTTAATTTAGCTACTTTAAAAAATAATTATAACTAGCCTTTTAAAGTTTTAAAAATACCTGCTAGTTTTATTTAACCCACTAGTTTTTTAAGGTTAAAACCAGGATGTTTTTTGCTTTAATTAAGGTTATTTTTTTTATTTTAGCTTAATATAAAAAAACTAAATAATAAAAAAATTAAAGTAGTTTAGGAGCCAGGAATTAAAGTGCTTAAAAATTAAAAACTTAAAATAATTAAAAATAATAAGCCCTAAAAAGTTATTATAATAAAGTTAAGGTTAAATAGGCTAAAGCCTATACTAAAATAGTTATAAAAAAAAAGCTAGTAACTAAAAATAGCTAGTTAAATATTTAAAGGTTAGTTTAAATTTCTAGGAAATAGTTAAAATTAAAGTTTAAATTAAAAAACTTAAAAAAGTTATATTACTTTTATAGGTTTTAAAACTTTTTAGCTACTAAAAAAAACTTATTTTTATTAAGAAATTAAATGCGTGTGGCCCTAAAAAGGGGATATTTATAAAATTAAAAGTTAATTAAAAAGGTAAAGGTAAAAAAAAAATAAAAAATTTAATATAAAATAAGATAAAGCTATAATATTTATACCTAGTAATAAGGCCTTTACCTTAAATATAAGGCTTTTTAATTATTATAATAATTAATAAAGTTAAAAATAATAAAGCTAGATAATAAAATAAAAAAATACCATGTATTTAGTTAGTATAGGTTAACTTAAAAAAAAAAAAAAAACTTTTAGTTAGGTATATAAGTTAAGTAAACCCAGGCTTATAACCTACTAAAAAAAATAACTAGTTATAATAAGTAAAAGTTTTTTATATTATATAATATATTAAGCTAAATATTTTAGGGATAAATAAAGAGTTTTACAGGTGGTTATTTAGGCTAAAAAAACCTTTTTTTACCGGAGCCCTAAGGCCGCCGGTGGCCTCAGGCACCCACTTCCAGCATGACTGGCACCTGATCCTCACCACCATCGACAGGGAATGTCTCTCATCTTCAAATACTCAACATCAGCCCAACCTCTCATCTTCAAATACTCAACATCAGCCCAACCTCTCATCTTCAAATACCCGATACTCCCTAACTGACACTATCACAGCTCCACGTTGAGTCCTCGAGTCTACTCCTGCCAACAATGGCGCCTTCCCTATTTGACGACGATTCCGACGTCGAGTTCCAGCTTGACGATGACGCCCTGGACTTGACTCGAAACCTGTCCACCAACTTCCTCGAACTGTCCATCACCGCCACTCGCAACGGCAACCCATCTCTCTTCACTTCCGTCTCGCAGTTCACCGCCATCCTAGCCCAGACAGGCATCGAGGGGCCATGGGAAACAAAGTCAAGGAACCTGGCCGAGCGCGCAGTCAAAATCGGAGAAGGCGCACAGTTTACCGTCTTCAAGGAGCGGCCCTACTATGCCGATTTCAAGGCCCATCCCCTCGTCATCAAGCGAGTCAACGTGGACTTTGTGCGAAACGGAGACGGCCTCTTTGCGACCAGCCAAGAATACCGGCTCCATCTGCGCACCCTTGGCCTCGAGGTCATGGCGCTCACTAACCCCTCGCTGCGATCTCACCCGAACCTGGTTCGGCTGGTTGCCTGGGGGTACGACTATCCGTACGCCGATATGCCTGTGCCCGTTCTCTACGTGGAAGCGGCATTGATGCCTCTGTCAAGATTTCTCGCAGTGGACAGCGAATACGATTGCTCGGTCGACGTAAAGTACCAGCTCAGCCTGGACATCGCGAATGGCATCGAAGCCTTGCACCAGCTGCGAATAGTGCATGGAGACCTGAAGCCAGATAATGTCCTCGTGTTCTGCACGCAGGACGACAATGTTCCCTTCCGGGCAAAACTGAGCGACTTTGGGGTCTGTATCGACTTGGAGACACCAGATAGCCCGCTGGCTGTCAGCGATTACCGAGGAACGCTGGGCTGGCTGGCTCCCGAGGTGGTCAATGAAACCCTGGCGCGCTTCTGCCCTTTCCAGCCCGATTTGATGTTTCGCTTCGATGCCTATAGCTTCGGTCTGACTGTCGTTTCCATTTTCGCAAACCATGGCCAGCCACTTGCCGATCATCCTGCCGAGACGATGTCGCAACTGCTCTCGCAAGACCTTCCATTTGCCATGCGCATGAAGCTGCGCGGGATTATCCAGAGGCTTCTAGCCGAGGACCCAAGACAACGCCCACTCCCATCGGCCGAACTCCTGAAGACAGACGCTCCGGCATATACGTCGTGGTTGTCGCTTTCCCAGGTGGACACTGGAAAGACGCTGAATGACATTGGCATGATCAACCCAGTCTACAACAGGGGGCCACTTTTCTGGCAGAGGAGCAAGAACTATATAATCAAGGACCTGATCAAGCAGTACGACAAAGCAAAGGACGGTTTTCCAGGCAGCGTGCTCTTTGGAATGGCCCAGGCGGTTACAGGCTACGTGCCGCATGTGCCTGGCCGCTTTGAAGCGTACTTGATCGACGCCGCCAAAAAAGGTTACTCCCCAGCACGGGCTGTCTATGAGCAGATCATGTCCGCTCGTCTACATCCCTTGGAGTATGACTTGGAGGTACTCGAGGAATGGGTGTACCAAGCGGTGTCACAAGGGTATCTCTTCGCCCGGCCATCCGCTCTCACTGCAGACAGAAAGGAACAGGCTCTGAGGAAGTTTCGCGACAATGGGGGTTTCTGCACGGATCCGTTTCTCAAAAAGACAACGGTCACTGAAGCTGCTCGAAGTGCCGAAGGAGCACTGCTCTGGATAGACAGGCATGGATTGGTCGTGGATCAGAAGGGAAACACCATTCTACACGCTGCCGCTGCGCTAGGCCGAGCAGAAACAGTTCGAGTCCTACTCCAGTCTGCAAAAGTATCTGTCGACATTGAAAACGATGACGGAGAAACTCCGCTGTACAAAGCAGCTCAAGCTGGTCATGCGGAAGTGATTCAGCTTCTGATCCAGTGGAGTGCGGATGCATCCCGGACTACGCGCCAGGCAAAAGTTTCTGCGCTTCATTGGCTTTTTATGCTGCCGGAAATCTCGATCCCTTCAATCGCCGCACAACTAATTGCAGCAGGGGCGAATGTCGACTCTGTCATTGAGCCTGTAGTGGGTGAGAATGCGGATGGGTTTCCCCAGAGACTGGACATCTTTCATTAGTAAGTGCTCGCAACATATGTGCTTTGCCGTCCTAATACTAGACAGTCCATTTGAGCTTCCATACGGGACACCGCTACACTGGGCCGCCTGCTTTCGCAATATCCTTGCAATGGAGACACTCATTAATCAGGGTGCCCAAGTGGACGCTACATACCACGACTCTGACAGCGGGTCAAGACCGCTCGCCTCGGCCACCTGGCTTGGAGACTTGGAAGTAGTCGAGTGCCTGGTCAAGCATGGGGCTGACCCTAGACTGGTTGACTCCAAGGCGAGGAACGTTCTGCATAGCATGACCGAAGAGTCACCTACTCTGCACGGGTTCTTGCCTCGTCCCTGGCACGCGTGGATCAGACATGGCCGTTGGGAGACATACATGCATCGGGTAAGCAAGCTGGTCCAGTTGCTTGTCGACGCGGGGACAGACATCAACGCCAAAAGCAAGGTGTATAACGGCCTGACACCAATTGCAACTGCTGCCGACCCGAGGGCCTGGGATGGGACTGTGATCATCGCTCTTCTAGATGCTGGGGCAGACATCGAGAGAGCAACTCTTTCAAATGGAACGTCTGGTAGGTTTACATCCTAGTCTTTGATTCTAGCTAACCAGCAAGTATAGTACTCCACTCCTGGGCTGAGACTTGGGGAGATCGCCTGAACTATCCATGCTCATACATTCCCACCTTCAAGCGCATTTCCACGGCCATGTCCAGCCTTGACGTGCGCCTGAGCTATGACCTCGGCCATAAAACACCGCTTCACTCCTTATCCCATGGCCATCAACCAGAAGTAGTAGTAGTAGTAGTAGTGATATTTAACGCCCCGGGGATCGCTAGGCGTACGCCTAACGTTCCAGACCTCCCTTAAGGTATGGGGGCGTGCCGCCGCAAGGCAAGTAGCTTATTTAAATAAGTTTATATATAAAAAGGCTTTTTATCCCAAAGGGCAACTCTTACTAAAGCTTATAGGTAATATACCTATTTTTTACTTACTATTTTTATATATAGCTATTAGCAGGTATTATTTATTATATATTTAATAATTTAAATACTATAGGATGCAGGGGCCTGCCCCTTTTATAAAAAAAATATATATATTTAAAGCTAGTTATATAAAAAAAGGGTATTTAAAATAAAAAAAAAAATATAATAAAATAAAAAAAAAAAAAAATTAAAAAATTACTAGGTGCCTAGCCTAGGTATTTTTAAAGGGCTAGGGGTTAAGATTCCTAGCGGGGGTAAATAAACTAATAAAAATTTATAATTTTAAGTAAAAATATAAAGTTTTTAGGCTTTAGCCCGCGGAGGTACTTTAAGGCTTTAGCCTTATTTATTAAAGGTATTATTAAATGCTAGGGCCACCGTGAGAATTATTATTTAGTATATTAATAAAAAATTAAATATTTAGGGCTTTTACTTATCCTGCAGGAGTAAGTAAGCTTTATATTATTATATTAAAAGTACTTATAGTATTATTTAAAATTACTATATAATAATTTTAATACTAGCTAGTAATATAAAATTAGGTATTTTAATATAAGCTTAGGTTATAATTTAACCTAGTACTACTTTAACTTTATAATAAGCTATTACTTATATTAAGCTAATAACTTTATAAAGGTACTTTTTTATTACTTAGCTTAAGCAGCCTGGTATATTTATTTATATAGGCTATATATTTTACTCGCGGTGGGTTACGCCTTAAAAAAATTAATATTTAAAAACTATATATTTATAAAGGCCACCTTATTAACTAGCTTATTAACTAGCTTATTACCTTTAATATTTATATGGCCAGGAAACCACCATAAGTAGACTATATATTAATTTATAAGCTAGTATAGCACCTAAAATACCTAGTTAAAAAATAATAAAAATTATTTACACGCGTACTAAATTACTAAAATATTATTTATATAAAGCTAGTAAATAAAAGCTTTAAAAAGTTTCTTAATTATTATTTTTAATTTTTAAAGCGCTTTAATAGCCTTTATATTATATATATAAAATTAAGTATTAATTATTAATAGTTCCTATGCTTAAAAGTATTATTTATAATATATTATAAAGCTATAGCCTATATAATAAACCCCTTGGTATATTTACTTAAAATTATTACTAAAAATTATTACCTTTATTATTAATAGCACTTATTATTATTATTTAAATTTTTTTATAACTAGCTTTTTAGCTTTATTACTAGTAAAATTTTTTAGGTATTTTTAAAAGTAGTAAGGGTACGCTAGAACTAGCCTGGGGGTTTTTAAAAAAAGCACTTTTATTATTTATACTTTTATTTTAGGTTTTTAGCATAAGCTAGCGCCCTAACCATGTAAGATTTTTAGTAATATTACTTATATTATTAATAGGTTTTAGTAATTTACTAGCTAAAGTTTTAAAATAAATTATAGTTATACTTTTTTTAGTGCTATTATAATAAAGGAAAGTTTAGTATTTTTAAAAAGGGTAACTATAAATATTATTTAAAAAACTAAAAGTATATTACGGGCGGCTAAAACAAGAATTTTTTTAACTATCTTAATATACTAGCCTAGTTAAGTATTAACCTCCAGGTCTTACACGTGTTTTTTAGGCTTAGTTTTATTATTATATCATGCCTTTATATTATATAAAAGGCTAAAAATAATATAAGTAATAATTATTTTATAAAAAAAATTTATAGGCAGGCTATATACTATATATACTAGGTTATAAATATATTAAGCTATTATATAGGCTTTAGCTACCTGCTTAGTAATATATTAATATTAAAAAAGCTATTTATTAAAAAAAATATTTAGCTAATATAATATAGGCTGCTTTTAGCCTAGCGCTATAATAACTAGGGTAATTATTAGTTAATTATTAATTACTAGTAAGAGTAACTTATTATATTATTTTTAGGTAATATATAGTATTTTTAGCTTTTTAAGTATAAAAGCTACCTTATTTTACTTTTTTTAGGCTAGCATGCCCTAAATATTCTTTACTAAAAGTTTATAATTTATATAAAAAAAGTTACTTATATAGCTAAGGTAAAAGTTATTTATATAACTAAAGTATAAAATTAGGTTTGCTAGCAGTAGTTTTACCATGTATAATAAAAATAATACTAAAAATAAAAGTAAGCCTTATAGCATGCCATAGTATACTAGGTATATTATTATTATAATAAATTTTAGGCATATTTTTACACTTTATTTATTAAAAAAACTTATAATTAAGGCTAAAAGCGCGTAAGGCCAGCCTTATTTAATTATTTACTAAAGTAAGTATTATAATAAAATAATATTAAAAGCACCTAAAATATTTATAATAACCATGGTAACCTTTTAATTTTATAAAAATACTATTTTAATATTATAAGTAAAAAAGGCTATTAAGTTTATAGCTAAGTACTTAGGTAAAGTATTATATTATTATAAGCTTAGTATATCTTATACTAGTATAATAAAATAATATAATATATTATAATTTATTTAAGTTTTTTTTTTAATATTAAAAGTAGTGCTATAGGGCGCCAGGATTAGGGTAAAAACTTATTTTTTTTATTACTTTTTAAAAGTATTACTATCTTCGCGAGCTTTTATAGTAAAAAAAAGTATTTTAATTATAAATATTAATTATATAACCTATAAATAGCTTACTTAACATGCTTTTAATAAGCCTTTAAAATATAAATAATTACTTAGTTTATATTAAAAAAGGTGCTACTTATACTAATAATATTTTTTTTAACCTTTTTTAGTAAGATTTTTTTTAGCTAGTATAAGTATTTATTTTTTTACTAGTATTTTAGTACTAGGGGATTAAAGTTTAGGTTATTATTTATATTAAACCACTTTAGTACTATCTTTTATAAAATATTAGTTTTTTTTTACATGTTTTTAATTACCCTATTATTAGCTAGTAATAGGGGAGCTTTAAGCCTAGGCTTTAACTTATACTAGACTATTATTTAATATAACTTTTAGTTATTTTTAATATTATTAATTATTTTAATTTAATACGCGTGCTTAGTCTTATAAACCATGGCTAAAAATTATTTTTTTTACTTTAGGGTGGGGTTTACCACCTAGGCATGGTGATTTTTTACACACTTATTTAATTACTAGGGAGCATTATAGCTTTTTAAGTTAGGGTATTTATTTATAGCTTATATAACTTTTATAATAGTATTACCAAGAAACTTAGCATATTAATTTAATACTTTTATACCCTTAAGCTTCCCTAATTAGGGTAAAAAAGTTATTTTATTTTTAATAAGCCTGGCTAGGTATTTTAGCTTATAGTTTAGTATATTATAATAATATTATTTTAGTATTTTTTTCCCGCGCCCTAGCACTATAATAACTAGGGTTTAGTAATTAAAATTATTATAAAGCTTAGGTATTACTAATATATAGGTAAAAAAAATATTTAAAAAAATTAAGTTAAAAATATAACTAGCTTTATATATAGCCATGCCTAGCTTTTTAATATAATTAATATTATTATTACTAGCCTATCTAGTAATCTTATTACCATAATATAGGTTATTTACTTTAGGCTTAAAAATATTATAGGTAGTGTTAAAATCCCCCTTAATTATATAATTTAAGGTAAGGATTAGTATAACTAGGTAATTAATTATTTTATAAGTAATTAGTTCCTAATATATATTTAAAACCTTAATATTATTTATTATAAGCTAAAGCATGTCCTGGCTTTATACTAGGTAATATTATTTAGTATGTAATACTCCCCTTTTATAAATATAAGTAAGTATTTTAGGGTGTTTTTTTAGCTAGTTTTTATAGTTATTTTAGGTATTTACTAGTATATAATATTTATATATTAAATAATTTTAGGTTTTTATGCCTGCGGTGGTCCAGGGCTTTTAAATATAGGTAATATTATAATCTTACTTATAAGTTAGTTATAAAATTATAATATAACTAGGTATAAACCTGCTTATATTAACCTAATAAATAATAAAATCCTATTATTACTAGGTATTATTTTAATAATAATTATTATAGTTCCTTCTTTAGTACTTTATTATTAAAGCTTAAAAAAGAATTTAATATTAACCTTTATTATTTAAAATAAAAAAGGCATGCCCGTGCTAGCTAGGGTAAGTAAAATTAATTTAATAAAAAGTTATTTAAGGTTTTAATTATTAGTAAAGGTATTAAACCACGGGGTATAGTAATTAATAATTATTATAAAACCTTATTTATTTACCTTTAGTTTTTTTATAGCATGCTTTTAAGAATTTTTCTAGGGCAGGGACTACTTAATTTTAACTTAAAGCTAGGTATTAATATTAGCCTAGGCATGTATGTTTTAATATTAATAAGTATTATAATAGCGCATGTTATTAAGTTTTTTTTTAAATAAATATATTAATTTTTTATTTTTATGCCTAGGGGCTGCTAGGTAATTATTATATTTTACTAGCTAGGGGCCTAGGTAGTTTATATAGTATATAAAATTTTTATAATTTAGGTTAATAAAACCTAGGTGGTTCGTGGTTATTATATTATATTATATATAATATATTATATAGTTATATTATACTAGGTAGTAATATTTTTAGTAACTAGGGTTATACTAGGAGACTAGCTAGTATTTTTTAATAAGTTAATAATACTTACTTTAATTAAATAAAGTAAAGGCCCTGGGCTGCTTTAAAAAAAATATTACCTAGGTAGTATACCTAGTATTAAGGTTAGGCCTATATTTTAAAAAAGTAAGCTTAACTAGCTTTAGTTTAGTTTAAGTTATAACTTTATTTTAAATTAGCTTTATAATATTTATTTTATTATTATTATATATTAGAATAGTGCTAGGCACTTTTTATACTATATAGTTATATTACTTTTAAAAAATATATATATTAATAGTGCCTAGGGTATAGTAAATTACACTAATTATTTTATTAATTATTAAAAGGTTTTTAATAAAAAAATTATTAAAAATAATAACCTAGCCCGTGTAGGTAGTATTAATTTTAAAAATAGCTATAATTATAGTTAAGCCTAGCACGCACTTAATAAAGGCTTATTAAATAATATATACCTTTAGGTATGTTATTAACTTATTACTAAAAAGGGTAATTAGCACCCTATAATTATTTTATATTATTAAGGCTATAATAAAGCTACTACACGCTAATTAAGCTATTAAAGTACCTAAAAGGGGCGCTTTATTTAAGGTAATATTAATTAAGGTAAATAAATTTACTTTAAAAGGGGTAGGTTAAGCCCCTAAATTTTTAAAAATTAAACTTATTTTTTTTAAATAATAATTTTATTAAAGGTTATTATAATAGCAGGCTAATTACATACATGTAAGGGGATATAATTAATATTATTAATATTAATATAGCCCTTTAAAAAAATAAAGTATATAAACTTATTATAAATATTATAAGTAAAAACTTTTTAATTTTAAGTTTTTTACCTAGCTATAAAGCTATTAATAATAATTATAAAGCTTATAAAAACTTTATATTTAATTTATACCTAGTACTTTTACTTATTAAACTAATTATAAAAGGCTTTTATAGCTAGGCTAGGCTAAAAAGTTAGCATGTTACTATTTTTAATAATAAAAAAAAAATAGGCTTGCTAAGGCCCTTTTTCTTTTTATTTTTTTATAATATAAAGGTTAAAAAAAATAAGAGGTTTTATAGCCGCGTGAAGTTAGCTAAATTAATACCTATAAATTAATTAAAAATACATGCCTTAATTTTAGCTATTATACCGTGGGGAGTGGTAAAAAAGGGAAAAAAAAGTTAAAAATAAAATTAAAATAATAAAAATATATATTTATAATAGTTTTAAAGCATCTAGAGCCCTTATTTAAAGGTACCCCTAGATTACTAAGAGTTATAAAGGTGCATTAACCAGAAGACGAATTTGAAAAGGCCTGCGAGGCTCTTCTCGCGCATGACCCTCCTGCTGACATCGATGCCCAGAACCGCCAAGGGCACACCGCGCTCTCGCTCGCCTTGATACCTCCAAGTAGCCCTTCTCTCTCCCAAGATTCGATTTCTTTCGGCCACCCGGCCCAGCGCGGCCTCTTCTTGCTAGAAAAGGGGGCTTCGCCACATCTCCTTACCAATTCGGGCGAAGACATCTTGTACTGGATTGCCGAGAACAAACTTCTCTCTGACGAGGCCACGCACAACCTCATCATTACATTTCTTCAACGCATAAACACCACTACCTCGAAGACTGATACCACCGGAGGCAAAGCCGGCATCCACGAAACCTACCAGCAGCACTTCCTTCCCAACCCAGGCGCCCTCCAAACTCTCTTCGCCGCCGTCTCCCGCGGAAAGCTCAAATCCACGACCCTCCTGCTATCCCTCGGACTTCACGAGCGCATCAACGAACTGCACCCGGTGAGAAACTGGACTGCACTCGATCAGGCCCTCTCCTCGGCGGAAACCAGCCGGCGCAGGCACATTGAGCTCCTCTCAGCATACAAACCCAACACACGGGCAGCGGCTACAAAGGCGAACCTTGTATTCCATGACGACCAGGGTCCACCAGCTCGGGCAGCAGAAGCATACTACGCCTTCCCAGACGTAATACGCTATCTCCGGAATGCAGGCTCCTGTCGAAAATGCGAGATGAACTCAGCAAGCCATGAAGATATGGATGGGTCCTACATAAGCCAGCCGCAGGAATGGGACTGGACGTCAATCTATCACACCAAGTTTACACCCGCCACACAGCCCAATCGAGAACAGTGGGGGATGCTGTACGCGTTGGCGAGGTATCGCGCTGGGTGGGCGCGGCAGGTGGACGCTATGGCTGAGGACTACGCATACCGCGATTGGAGGCCGGATGTTCGGTTTATTGAGGATGGAAAGGAGGATGATTTGGTTAGGATGATCATTGATAGGATTGGGGAGCCGATTGAGGGGACAGATGGGGCTGTGCGGTTGGAGGCTGAGGATCCCCATTTGGGGGTTGTTTTGGTGACTGTCGTGGATAGGAAGATCGTGGGAAAGACCAGGATGGAGAATCTTGAAAAATGAGCTATGCTGCATTGTCTGCTACCTGCATGTTTGCAGTTGCTCAGAGCCTTCTATCCTGGTCATCAAGAACCACCTTCTTTGGAACCAACACGTCCTTCAAGCCCTCGGTCCCCTCCAACTCAACACCCGCGGAAACGTATCATCCCACCGCTGCACAATGATCCCGGGCATCATCCCCGGAAACCTCTCCCGCATGAGCAATTCCAGCTCCGGCGTCGCGAACGTGTCCATCTGCTGCCTCGTCTTTCCTATCCCCACTATCTTTGCAAGCCTGGCTTCGCGAGTCTTCCGAGCTGTGTTGAATATGAACTCGATTTCCGAGGCTGAGAGAGACAGGCCCAGTTCACCTTTGGATGTGAGAGCAGCCATCAGGGCATTTGTGAATGCGGCCATGCTTTTGGTTGCTTGGTTCCCGCCTTGGGCGATTATGGGGAGCATCTACGGCCGTATCAGCAGTGTCCTCTCCTTTCACCTTCATCTTTATTTCAGAACTTGAAGGACGAAAGTCTTATCCTATGCCCCGCATCACCCAGCACACCAATCCTCCCAAGTCCCGTCTTCTTATACACAATCTCTCTCAACGGCGTACAAACCAGCACTCTTCTGCTCTCGTACAAATCGCCCATTTTGAGCTCTGGCGTGATGGCGTCGTCCCAGTGCCCGGCCACAATCCTCTCCATCTCCTCCTTTGGTATCCGCGGAATTTGAGACCCGTAATACGTCTTCTCCATCTTCTTGCTTCGAAGCCAGTAAGCTCTGTTCTCGGACCCGGTCCCCAGGACATACGAGTAGCCCTTGCCGAGATTCCAGCCAAGAAAGCCGCGGGGAAGCGGGTTTGGATGTGAAGCTATTGGTGGCAGGGTTGAGAGATCGAAAAGGCACGCATATGTGGCAGATGCTTCTGCAGCCCACGTTAGTTCTTCACCCGCAGCCACTTGAAAGGTATATGAGAAAATGCAGGGTACCCTTCTCATCATCATACCCCCCACCCACAGCCACCCCCATNCCCCATCCCCCCCGCAAGCCGCACCATCTCCCCCCGGACCCGCGAGTGCTCGCCGTCCGCGCCAATCAGGATATCGCCCTCGAAGATCTCGCCGTGGGTCGTGGTAACCTGCACGCGGTCTTCGAAGTGCGCGATATCTGCAACACGTTTGCCAGTCAATAGGCGGGGTTTATCCTTAATACGGTCCTACAGCGTCGCCAGGAGCGCGGGGCGATCGATCCACAGGCCGCAGTAGCTGTATCTGCCTGCGCCAACATCATCATACAAATACAAATAGGGATATCTCCAAGCGAACCCTCTGGCAAAGGAATGCGGATAGGTATGCACGTGCCTCGTCCTCATGATACTCTCCCACCCCCCCCGAAAAATGCAATTCACTCCCACTCTCATCCCGCACCCAGAGACTCTCCAGCACGCCATGTCCCGCCTTCACACATACCGCATCATAAACGCCCAGCTGGTCCAGGATCCGTAGGCCATTCGGTAGCAGGCAGATCCCTGCGCCGGTTTTTGCAATAATAATCTGCTATGCTTCTAGCAGGGTATAGCTTATATTGTGTTTTTGGAGGGTTGGGCTAGTGGTAGGTCGGTTATGCCGCCGCCGGATATGAGGATGTGTGGGTAGGAGGAGGGGTGGTGGGTGGCATTTTGGGTTGAATTGGATGGGAAGGAAGGTACGTAGATGGATTGAGAGAAGGAAGTTGCTTTTATATTCAGGTAGGTAGGGAGTATAGCCAATATAGTAGAGGTCTTCATTTGAAGACTCAGATCAGCTCATCTCAGCTCAACCGCATTTATGTGGATCTGCTAAAAGGTATAGTTCCAGCTGCTGGTGCTTATTCGCTGGTTCGTCTAAAAACTATGTACGCTGTAAGTAGCTTGGACACTAACAGGACTTATTGCTGGACGGGTGCGCTACGCATTACGGTACCTATTAACGGCTCAGCTTGGCTTGGAATTTCCTAAAGTACGCACAGAAGTGACCAAGGTACGTACTAGAAAACCCGTCGAATATCCTAAGGGTGTTAGTTCTTTGTTCATTATTCAATTAATATTGATGGTTAAAGCGATTGCATCTACTATGTATGCGTCGAGGGCTAACTCTGGCTCCCTTGAGTAATCTCTATTTAGGCGCTTGGTGTCTTCCACCTACCACCTGGAACTTTAGTCGACCAAAAAGTAACAAATCCAAGTTAGCCCGGGGGTTAAGCAAAACCATTTGCCGGGAAATGTTTGTATTTGGTTTTAAATCGAGCATAACAATCTGCCCTGACATGTTTTTTTAGTGCTCCAAGACGAACCGACTCCAACCTAACTAATAGGTACGTAACCCTAACTCATAGCCCTAACTTCTGCAGACCCCGACCAAATAATTCCAGTAATGCACTCCATACCTCCGAAGAGACCACATTTGGGGCATGAAAACACCAAGAAAATCCTGAGAGCATAATAGAACGTCAAGATAATAAGCTAGACTTAGGTCCCGAGTCTGTTCTCGCCCTCTTAAAGTCGTGACACATGTTAGCCACGGCTTTTCGTCCAGCCAAGACAATGCACATGAAACCCAAGAAGTACATACCTTTCTCTTTTGCTGCTTTTTTGCCTGTTGAGATCGATGCTGGTTGTTATTCTCTTCATTAACCTTTGTTCCGTCGGCATCTTCATCGTCATCATCGTCATCGTCATCGTCGACTTCACTGTCATCCTCACTGACATCTTCGGTTTTATTGTCAACGCCATCTTCATCGTATCTTCCCAAGTCCTCGTTGTTGCCCATTGTGAGGCGAGAACAGGTCTGTCCAAGCTGCTCCATGACAAATTCATTTGCTTCCTCAAGCTGTTCCTGAGTCAGACTGGTACTGTTGCGTCTCGCACCACCTGGAGGCTTTGTCGTTGGTTGCCCATTGACTTGGTTATTTCTAGGTACAGTCTGAGTGCTCCTCCCGCCGTTCCCTCGCGGGAACGGCATTTGGAAATAGGCTTGTGTAAGGTATTTATACTCGTTCCAGCGGTCGCTGGTATGATTCATGAAAAGAATCCATACTTTTTGTTTTTCAGTTTGTCCCAGGCGATGGATGCGGCCAATCGCATGGATGAGCGAGTTGTAATTGGCAGCGGGCTCGAAGATGATGGCCCTGGAACAGGCTGAATGCAGATTTAGGTTGGCCCACTCGCAGGAAAATGTGGTCAGGAGAACTTGGCAATCAAATGATGGGTTGTTGAAGTTGGCTGCGGCGACCGACGGATGGTATTTGCAGGTGCGATTCTTAGCTTTCAGGGTTTGGTAGGGGATGGACAAGGAGTCGAGGAATAATTGCAGGAACCATAGCACGATATTCCGCCTGCAGAAAACAATAAATCGAGGCGCAGCTTGGTCGACAGGACGCGAATCATTAAACATGCCTTCTTGCTTGAAGATTCTAAGCATGTAGCGCAACTTTGGAGACTCGCTTCCTATGTAGTAGGCCATAGCGGGGCGCAGAGCCGGCAGTAAGACAGGATCCTTGCGCGTTGTTTTGAAGAATAGGGAGAAGCCAAGGTCTTGTCGGTCGAGTTCATCTTCAAGTTTGCTATCTGATGTTTTCTTTTCTCTCACGAACTTGTAGAGACGAGGACAGATCGCGAGGAGGCACAGATCGCGTTGCGTGTTCTCTCCTTTCTTACTCTGGCATTTGAAGTACTCGGTGTCGTGTTCTTCCCGTAAGTTGTCACTGTATCTGAGCTCTGTGGTCCAGATGGATATGTTAGGTATATCATCCCGAATCCTAGTTTGAGGGTCTGTAGACGGGTCGACCAGGTCCTCATGATCCCGAGCAAGACAAATGTTCCGTAGAATCACTTCATACCAGATTCTGGAATCTAATTGCCCAGCCTGATCCAGCTTATCAAGATTGACGGGTGAAAGCAGTCTCAAAGGAAGCGAGTTGGTCTTATCTGCCTTTTCGTACTCAGCGAGGAGGTTTGTATCCGTGCCGGAAGCATCAGTATCTTCCCAAGAGGGATCATATATCGCCATCAGCAAACCTCTCAGGTCGAGCGGCTTGTTGATCATAGGTGTCGGCGTCAGGATCCATGTATGGGGGCACTTGAGTCCGGTGATGCACCGATTCGTCTTTGTGTTGACATTCCTAATGATGTGGCCCTTGTCACATACAACTCGCGCAAACCGGCCAGTCAGCTCTAAGCCCGACTTGTGCCTGAGCTTTGGCTCTGAAGCTTCTGTCTCTGCAACATGTTGTTCGCAAGCATTGTTCTGTTTTTCAGACTTGTTAATGTCCTGAGTTGGGTTAGTCCATTACAGTGTCAATATGTTGGGTAGTGGCTCAGCTTACCTCTGCAGGTTTGTCGGCATTGTCATCTGTCTTCCCTTCGCCATCCACACTCTCTATACATCTCTCAACCCACGTTAAGTATGAAGTAAGCACAATTGTTCGACCTGTCTTTTCGTCATTCGAATCCAATCCCGTGAGCCATTCGCGAAACTTGTTATTGTCAACTGTAAAAGATTTCTTGGCGTGTGGGGCTTTGCCTTTCGAGTCATAGAATATTTTTAGCTTGAGGCCGTGTTTGAATCGCGCTCTGATCTCCGAGAACCATGTCTCAATGGAGCCGGCTGGTACCACAATAAGCGTTGGCCGGTACGGCGGTGCAGAGTGCCCTTTGGAAGAAATGTAAAGAAAGGAGAGAAGCGTCAGCGTCTTTCCCAGACCGCAAGCGTCTGCGAGTATACCCGACCTGAAATTTCCTTTTTCCTGTGCCAACATCCAGGCGATTGCCCTTACCTGCCAGCCCTTCAACACTGTCTCTGGTCCGTTTTCCGGTCTGATGGCTGGCCGTGTGGAATTGAGGCCCAACATCCTACAAGCATCCTCCAGCGATGGGGCATCTGCTGATGCCCGCTTCACTTTCTCCCGATGCTCTTCGACATCCAAATTTCCATCGTAGGTAAGTTCTCCTTTGAGCTTTTCCGTATCGGGGTCAACTTGCGACTCTGCCCCTGCGTCCATTGCTGCTACCTTAGCAATATCAATCCGTCTCTCCACTATCGTGTCTGGAACAGATCTATCACGAGGCTCGTAAGTGATATACTTCTTCAGATGATCTTCGGGGTCTTTGAGCAGAGCTTTCACAATTTGTTTGCGCTCCTCAGAGGACATCGCCGGCCGTACTATATTGCTCAGAAGTCTACTTCTCATAGCTTTTATGTTCGCGTTCGAAACCTGTCTCAACATTCGTGCTCTAGAGTCTAAGGTTTCGTCTAGAATGTCAAGATCCGTCCATGTTTCAGCAACGTCGTCGGTAATTCCCGTGACAGGCAAGTCGTGGATAACCGGCCGTACCGCATCGATATCCCGTTCTCCTCGTTTCAACTCTCGTTTGTCATAGAAAAACAACAAAAGTTCAAGTCCAAACAGGACACGAGGTTTCAACGATTGGCGGCCTTGCAACTTCCATTCAAGGAACAGAGAGGGCTTCGAAAGCATTAGGAGTCGCGTATGCCAAAGCAGGGCGATGACATAGAAGTTCTCTTCCGTAACGCCCTCGCAGTCCAGGGTTGGCCGCATCGATGCTTTAATCAGATGCTGAACGTTTGGGTCAAATCCCAGTTCCATCGTGAACTTCAAGTCAACGGAGTCAATGGTGAAGGGTCTCGGGCTGCCAGTAGATTCTTCAATTTCGCCTTCTAGCTTTTCAATGTTATCCAACCATCTCTGGATAACGGGCTCGGTTGAACGATCTTTGAAGCGCAACCTCCATAGTTTGGACGTGCGCTTAAAACCGAGGGCGCCTGCTAGGTAATCTGCTTTGTGTGCGATGAGGTTGTCGATCCAGTCCCGGTCATACGGCAAGTCATAGATTTCAAAGGGCATCGTGGTAGTGGGTTCCGTGATAAATGCGGGGGTTTTCTAGATGCACATTCCCATCAGCAATTGCACTTTGAAAAAAGTATGGAGTCTGGAGATCCCTAGCGAAGTCGGCGAACCCAAGCAGGAGAAAATGTGACTAGAAAAGAGAGTGCACTGAGGGAACAACTCACTCAAAGATCAGCGAACTGATGGCGAGGCTGCTCGAAGGGAGGCTATAGTGAGAATATAGTGCGCGCGGAGTTGATGAGTGTCTGAAGTAAGACAGAAAGATGAAGTAATAGGTACAGTTTTCTGATAATACTGTTCGCTATAAAGAGAAGAGAAGATGCAGAAGAGTAGAGTAAGAAGCGTAGAGTAAGGAAAGACGATGGAGGTGAGGTGACGCTGTGTTGTCGTAGAAGGAAGGAACGGGATGTTGACCTCAGAGAAGAGATAGACCACGCAAACGATGGCATGGTACCTTCTAGATGAGGGAAACAAAAGGGGAAAACAAAACACCAGGCCGGGGCCTATTTTGCATACCAGTTGGGGTATCTTTATGCACTGACTGGAGGGTAAAAAGTGAGAAACAGTTCACAAAGAGAGCAGTTGGATATATGACTGCAGCAGTTCTAGTCCCTTCTAGCAAACGCAAGTATAACCAAAATGACAGCCTACATACTCAGCACCTCATCTCTAATACGTATACCGAAACTTCCCCTTCTCCCAATCCGTCAAATCCGAAAACTCCTCTCCCCCCTCATCCTCACCACTCTGCCCGCGCATTCCCGCCTCCGCCTCAACCTCATCCCTCCTCTTATTCTCCCACCAACAATACCCTCCATACGCGCCAATCGCGCAAATCGAAACAACAAGACAAGCCAGCAACCCAGTATACCCCCTCCCATAGCCCGGCGCATCACTATCCCGAAACGCCTGCGGCCCAATGATATTGCCGACGCAATACGCGAGGAAGAAGATCGCATTGGTCGCCAATTTCTTCGAGTGCCCGCTTGTATTTGCCATGGGGAGACTGGTGCAGAGGACGTAGGGCGCCCAGTACGTGTAGAAGACGTAGTAGGCGGCTAGGAGGCCGTTCTTGTTGTCTCGGGGGAGTTTCCACATTAGGATTGCGCAGACGAGGGGGATTAGGTCTGCGAGGGCGATGATGGCGCAGCGGGCGTTCCACTTTTTGGGGAGGTACGAGATAAGTAAACCCAAGAGGATCTGCCAGACTGTTGCGAGGACGCCGGTGGGGATACCCAGGATTGTGGTGATGAGGCTTGAGTAGCCTAGGCCGTTGACGATGATGGCGGAGAAGGTGACGAGGCCGCCGTTCGGGATGTTCTGGGCGACGGCGAAGAGGGCGAGGAGCCAGGTTTTGGGATCGACCAGGGCCTCGCGCACCTGGTGCCATTTTATCGTTTTGTCTTCCATGCCTGTGTTGTTGTCTTTGACGCGCTGGAGGGCGACGAATTTCTCGCGGTCGCTGAGCCACCACGCGCTTATTGGGGAGTCGGGGAGGAAAATGTAGACGATGACGGCCCAGATTACCGAGACGGCGCCCAGGACGAGGAATAGGAGGCGCCAGGGGTTTCCGATGGTCGTTGTTCCGGTTTGGCCGATCCCGTAGCTGATTATCCCTGCGAAGACGGATGAGAGCTGGTTGAACCAGAAGGCTAGGCGGAGTGGTTGCTCGCTGGTCTTCCACCACATGACGGTCAGAATAGACGCGATTGGGAATGCCGGTGCTTCTGCCATTCCCATGAGGAAGCGCACTGTTGCGAGACCTGCGAAGTTTTGTGTCGCTGCTGTGCAGAGCATAAGTACCGCCCAGGCAAAGACTGTTCCGGCGAGTAACTTTGCGACAGGGAGACGCTGCATGAGTAGAGCGGCGGGGTACTCAAAGAGTAAGTAGCCAAAGTAGAAAATTGATCCGACCCAGGAATATTGATTGCCAGTAAGATGGGTGTCGGTCGACATGCCGTAGATTGAGGCGTTGGAGATGATGACTTTGTCGACAGCGGCGAGAATCACGGTAAGACTGATAAGTGGAATCAGGATCAGGTCAATCTTCCAAAGAAGGCGCCGAGACTCTTGCTGTGAAATGGAAGTGGTGATCGAGGGAGGAAGAGTAGAGAGGAACGCCGCCGCCACATCTTGGGTCTTCTTGTCGGTGTTGGACGCTGGAGCCATGGTCGTTAGGGTTGAGTCTGCAGCATAACGTAGACGATGTGGATTCCCAGTATAAATATGACCTATTTAGCCAAGGCCGGCGGGTGAAGAACGTTATCATCCCATGTATGGTTATCTTGCGTTGATCCTGATAGCATTCTTGGAGCTCTTGGAGTTGGAGTCACAGTTGATTAGGGCTGGATGTAGGGAAGGTCGGTGCGACGCTGATAAGACCATCTCCAACTTGTGTCAGTCCTTATTGGCCATCTTACCATCTCCAAGACTCTCTGCAGGTATAAGATCGTGTACCTGCCGTGCAAAGCTGATGAGGGCACGATGCACCTGTAGGCCACGGTTCAGCATCATGTCTCCCACCAAACCGAGCATCAAAATCGCCATCGGTACAGCCCTAACCCCTACTTCGTCACTATAGATGCCCACTGACACCATATAGATCGAGGTGGCACATTCACAGATTGCCTCGGGATAATCACTTACCCTTCTACATCCGACGAGCCTCCAACATCCAAGTCAATAATCATCAAACTCCTCTCCCAAGACCCAACCAACTACGCCGATGCACCCATTGAAGGCATCCGGCGCATCCTGTCGCAGGTATCCAACAATCCCATTCCCCGAGATGCAAAGCTCTCGTTCAACGATTTTTCATCCGCGAGTATTCGCATGGGCACGACTGTCGCAACGAATGCGCTGCTAGAGCGCAAAGGTGAGCGCCACGCATTACTGGTGACAAAAGGCTTCAAGGACGCACTTCGCATTGGAACCCAGAGCAGACCGAAACTGTTTGCGTTGAACATTCAGCGTCCGGACGTGCTGTATGGGGATGTTGTTGAGGTGGATGAGAGGGTTACTGTTGAGGGGTATCAGCAAGATCCAAACTTCGACAGAGCCGCTTTAGAGCGAGCGTTGGAGATGGACACTGCTCTAAAACGGGGCGTCAGCGGGGAAGTCATTCGTGTTCTCTCACCTCTAGACGAAGAAGCAACGAAGCGTGATTTGGAGACGTTGTATCACGAGAAAGGATACCGCTCGCTCGCAGTCTGTCTTGTCCACTCGTACACATTCCAAGACCACGAACTGGCCATCGAACGTATGGCAAGAGAGATTGGGTTCACGCAGGTTTCGTTGTCCAGTCAACTCCTGCCGATGATCAAAATGACGTCTCGCGGGGCGTCCGCAACGGCCGATGCATATTTGACGCCCGTGATTCAGCGGTATATTCAGGGTTTCAGAGAGGGATTCGAGGATGGCTTGGCTGGAGATAATGTGAGGTGTGAATTTATGCAGAGCGATGGAGGACTTGCTACCTTTGAGAAGTATTATCCCGGCCCTGACCCTAACTCCTAGAATAACAAGGAACTTGACTGACCGCGCTTCGTGCAGATTCAACGGTCTTCGCGCCGTGCTGTCCGGTCCTGCAGGTGGTGTCGTCGGGTACGCGGGGACTTCGTACGACGAAAATGACAGAAAGCCTGTTATAGGGTATTCCCCCTCAAAATCCCTTCGATTGATGTCTGCTGATCCTTTCTGGTAGATTCGACATGGGCGGCACTAGCACCGACGTTTCTCGCTACGACGGCAAACTAGAACACACCTTTGAAAACACCATCTCCGGCGTGTCCGTCATGGCGCCACAACTGGACATCAACACTGTCGCAGCGGGCGGGGGGAGCATTCTTTTCTGGCGCCATGGTCTCTTCGTAGTGGGCCCTGAGTCGGCGGGTGCTCACCCGGGACCGGCATGCTATAGAAAGGGTGGACCGTTGACAGTAACGGATGCGAATCTGTTCCTTGGGCGCTTGCTACCGCAGTATTTCCCCAAGATCTTCGGCCCAAATGAGGACGAAGGCTTGGACGTGGCAATTGTGAAGAGGAATTTCGAAGAATTGGCAGAGCAAATCAACGCCAATGCCGGTGCTAAAGAAGGAAAGTCTCCAGAGGAAATCGCACTCGGATTTATCCAGGTCGCAAATGAGTCTATGGCGAAGCCTATTAGGGCTTTGACCGAAGCTCGTGGATTCGACACATCGGCTCACAACCTAGCCTGTTTTGGCGGCGCAGGCGGGCAGCATGCTTGTGATATTGCGGCTTCCTTATCTATCAAGACTGTGATCATTCATCGATACTCTTCTATTCTGTCGGCTTATGGAATGGCTCTTGCAGAGGTAGTCCATGAAGCGCAGGAGCCCGCATCGGGAGTGTTGAACACAATCGCAATGGTCTCCATCAGTCAGCGAATTGAGGCTTTGAGAGTCAAGGTATCCGAGGCTTTAATCAGTGATGGTATCGATGAAGATAAGATCTCTCATGAGGCCTATCTCAACCTCCGGTACCAAGGGACGGACAATACGCTCATGATTATGCAGCCAGATGACGGGGATTTCGTCCGCGAGTTCATCAAAGAGCATCACCGGGAGTTCTCGTTCAGCTTTCCGGGTCGAGATATCCTGGTCGAAGACATCAGAGTAAGAGGTGCTGGTGCTGCGGCAAAGTCCTCTGCCTCTGAAGCTCCACAAAAAGAGCTGGCCAGTATAACCACAGCATCCATCGACACAGGCAAAGCAGATGACTCGGCCATAGTCTATTTTGCAGGGACAGGCCACGTAAAGACGCCTGTATTCTTCCTCGACAACCTCCGGCCAGGCAACGTTATCGAAGGCCCGGCAATGATCATCGACAAGACGCAAACTGTTGTCGTTGAGCCGAACGCCGCCGCAACTATACTGTCCCGGCATGTCATTCTGAATGTAAATTCATCCAACAACCCAGAGAGAGATGCCGTGGAAGACGTCAAGAACGTCGACCCCATCAAGCTCTCCATTTTCGGTCACCGCTTCATGTCCGTCGCAGACCAGATGAGCCGCATGTTCCAGAAGACGTCCGTCTCGACCAACATCAAGGAGCGACTGGACTTTTCGTGTGCTGTGTTTTCTCCAGATGGGAAATTGGTTGCCAATGCACCAAATGTGCCGGTGCATCTGGGAAGTACGTCTTTACCTCCCGTCCTTCCAGCTATAGTATGCTGACAACCCAGGTATGGAATATGCTGTCCGATACCAGCACGAGAAGTACAGAGGAGATTTGAAGCCCGGTGACCACATCCTCACGAACCACCCATTGGCCGGAGGGACGCATCTCCCTGATATCACGATCGTAACGCCAGTTTGGGACAAAGATGGGACGCGGATTATCTTCTATGTCGCGTCTCGTGGACATCACGGTACCTCTTACCTACCCCCTCCATTGCACCCGGCTAATGTGTGGTGACAGCCGAGATTGGCGGCATAGCCCCCGGCTCAATGCCGTCCAACAGTAAGATGCTATACGAAGAGGGCGCCATGACAATGGGGTTCAAGGTCGTTTCACAGGGACGCTTCAACGAGTCCCTAGTCCGCACTTTCCTATACGACGAGCCGGCTTCGTATCCGAAATGCAGCGGCACAAGGACGTACAATGATAACGTATCAGATCTGAAGGCCGCAATTGCAGCGAACCACAAGGGTGCGACACTTTTAGAAGCTTTGGTTAACGAAAATAGCATCGAGGCCGTCCACCTATACATGGACGCCATTAAATACACTGCAGAAATCGCAGTGCGGGACTTACTCAAGTCTATTGCAGCAGCTCAGGAAATCCCAGGCACCCCATTACGGTTCAGCGACTTTATGGACGATGGCACCGAGATCAAGCTTTGCATCAGGATTGATCCAGCTACCGGGTCTGCCGACTTTGATTTCACAGGCACAGGGACAGAAACGTTCAACTGCCTCAATGCACCCAAGGCCATCGCGCACTCGGCGATCATCTATGTCCTCCGCGCCCTCCTTGACACAGATATCCCCCTGAACCAAGGCTGTTTGGCACCCGTGAATGTGATTATCCCCGAAGGAACACTGATTAACCCATCCGGCCATGCAGCCGTCTGCGCAGGGAACCCAATCACATCCCAGCGTATCACGGACGTTGTTCTTGGTGCGTTTGGAGCTTGTGCAGCCAGCCAAGGGTGCTGCAATATCATATCCTTCGGTATGGGTGGACTAGACAAAGACGGTAACGAGGTCTCTGGGTTTGGGGTCGGCGAAACGATCTGCGGCGGTTCTGGAGCTGGGCCGTCGTGGCATGGGACTAGTGGAGTCCACGTACATATGACGAACACAAGGATCACAGATCCAGAGGTATATGAGCTTCGATATCCTGTGATCCTACGTCAGTTCTCGATCCGGAATGGTTCGGGAGGAGGCGGGAAATATCGAGGTGGAGACGGCGTGATTCGGGAGTTGGAATTCAGGATCCCGTTGAGTGTGTCGATGCTTAGCGAGCGACGGGTTTATCGGCCTTATGGGATGGCAGGAGGAGAGTCGGGGAAAGCAGGGCTGAACCTGTACGTGAAGAAAGAACATGACGGCAGCGAAAGGGTGGTGAACATTGGCGGAAAGATGGAATTGGACGTTTGCCCGGGAGAGAGGATCTTGATCCATACGTAAGTGAGCTGGTAGACTGACTTCTTTGGGATGTACTGATAAGTATGGATAGACCTGGAGGGGGTGGTTGGGGTGTGGCAGAGAAGGAGGAGAGCGAGCGTGTGTTGGAGCCGAAGGCGACGTCGGGCTTCCAACCAAGAGGGAGTGTCCATGCGTTTAGCCTGACCGCGGAAGCTGCCCTGTAGGCAAACAATACAGTAGCCAGTCCCAGTCTGCTCATTTGCTTTCTTACAATTTTCCGAGCTCCTACAGATCAAGTATCTTCTTGCCTTGCCATACCTGTAGCTTCCTATTTCAAAATCAACCTCCCCTATCTACTTGACGTCAATTCATCATCAGGGCCTCTGGAATCTTCATACATCTCTGACCAAAGACCATCAAGATTGATGACCCACCGAGAAGATCTTAAAACATAAGATACTTTTACAGACCATGGTCCATTCGCTTTGGAAGCTGGTGGCCCTCATGCTGCGTAATTAATTAACACGGCTTGGATAAGCCACCAAGCCGCTCCATATCAGCGACGTCCCCGACGTTCCACGGCTTGTGATGTTACATAACAATGAAATCCTCCTTCGGCACTGGAGCCGACCACCATCCAGGGAGTCGCGGTTCCTGACTAAATGTCGTCATCGACAGATATAGCTGGAGGTATCTCGGCACCGTTCTGTGAAAGAAGCTCAGGACCGGTCTGTGCAACCAAATCAAAAACTCTTCTTGGACCAGTAGGCAACAGCTGGAGGGATAACTCACCGGCGAGCTACTGGTCCCATGCCAGTTCTCTTGAGATAAGCAACAATCTCTGAAGTCCAGATAGCCATTGACAAAGCTATCTTAGTCTGGTAGTTAGGAGTAGCCAAGTCTGGTAAATACTGTAGTTAAGGTACATTAGAAAGGTTGCGCTGATACAGAGCTAACTGACCGGTGTCATAGGTAAGTGTAGGCTCGAAGGTAGAGCTTGTTCTCGTGGCTTGAACCCACTGCCACTGCACTTCACGTTCATTTTCCCACCTTGCCTTCTCACCTCAACAAGCCTCAAAGCAATCATGTCTCCCTCTGACTCTGGGCCTTCATCAGTCCCTCAAGTCCAAGGAACCATCAAGTCTACCTGTGTGAATCTCCTTATAGGCCCAGATATTGTTGGAGCGGCGGGCCTCGAAGGAAGGTTTGTCGAGTACACTACCGCGTCGTAGCTCCGGGGAAAGCCATTCATATGTATACCCTCCCATGCTGCTAATGTCGATAAGTATTGTGTTTCCGTTGGAATCAAGAACCACATTGAAGTCACTGTGTGAATGGCAGGCAGCCATTTCTAAGGTGTTGCCTAGTATCTGCAGGGATGGCTGGCCACATTCCCGACTTCTTTTGTATGGGGAAGATTGCCTTCTGCTGTTGATTCTCTAACTCCGTTTCATTGTCATAAATCATACCCAATTATTCTAAACCAAACCCCAACTTAAACAAACGTATCCTCGGCCTCAAACATGGGCGGCACCAACGCCTTCGGCGGCCAACCCTTCCGACTATCAAACGTCGACACAAGCGTAACCTTCCCCTCAGACCCAACAACGGTCTCGCCCTCCCTCCCCGGAAGCACAACCGTCGCCGACGAATTCGGCGGCACAACTAACTCCAGCCAGAACCGGTCGCCATCTCTAATCTCCCACCGGCACTCTAGCCGTCCATACGGCGTCTCATACACAACGTCAGCAGAGGTAATCGTGCCCCCCGGCAAAGGCTGCACAAGGATCTTGCGCCACCCAGGCTCCAACGGACTCACGCCGCCAACGGTCTTATGTAACCAGTTGATTATTGAGCCTAGGGCGTAGTGGTTGAAGCTCGTCATCTCGCCGGGGTTGATGCTCCCGTCGGCGAGCATGCTGTCCCAGCGTTCCCAGATGGTTGTGGCGCCCATGCGGATGGGGTACATCCATGATGGGCAGCTAGATTCCTGTAACATGCGGTAGGCGAGCTGGTGGTGGCCCGCTTTTGTTAAGGCGTGTGTGATGACCGGTGTGCCTGCGAAGCCGGTTGAGACTTGGAATTTGGCGATGCGCACGAGACGGGCGAGGCGGTTGCCTGCTGCTGCAGCCTGCTTGGGGTCGTCGTGGAGATCGAAGACTATAGCGAGACTGAGCGCTGTTTGGGTGTCTCCAACAAGCAGTCCTTCAGGGGAGATGTACTTTGTTTGGAATCGTGATTTAAGAGCGCGGTAGTCGGCTTCATAGTGAGATGCAGCTGTGGATTCGCCGAGGATGGAACTTATGCGGGCGAGAAGCCCTGTGATGTACACAAGGTAGGCGTCGGCAACCAGGGTGCCGTCTGTGCGAGAGTTACCGGGCTGGTCTGGCGGTGCGGTAGGGTCAAGCCAGTCGCCCAGTTGAAAGAGCGTGTCATCCCAGAGCCGGTCTGGGCCGCGCTGCACGCCACGGTCCAGGTAACCGATCATGCTTGGGTACTGGCGGCGGAGGATCTCAACGTCACCGTAGCTCTGATATAGAGTCCAAGGCAGTATGATGGTGATATCATCCCACACGGCTTGGGGAAATGTAGGCCAGAACGACTCGTCAATCACATTTGGGACGACCAAGGGCGGAATAGCTTTGGGGTGTGCTAGCTGTTCGGTTATAAGATCCTGTAGCCAGTCACCCAGCATGCCCGGCGTTCTGTAAAGAAAACTCGCTGAAGGAGCAAAGACCTGGAGGTCGCCAGTCCAGCCCAGGCGCTCGTCACGTTGTGGGCAGTCAGTTGGGACAGACAGGAAGTTTCCTCGCATACTCCACCATGCGTTTTCGTGCAACTTATTGACCATCGGGTGGGAGCAACTAAACCAGCCAGTCCGTTCAAGATCGGTATGCATGACTTCGGCCGCGAGACTCTGGAGCGTAAGAGGCGTGTCAGCATCCTCAGGGCTCCATCCATCAACCTGCACATATCGGAATCCATGGAAGGTGTAGCCAGGGGCCCAGTCCCTGATTTCATGGCCCGCTGAGATAATTTCGTCTTGCGCCTTGGCCACTCGCAGCGGGCGCGTTCCAAGTTCCTTGTCCTCCAGCACTTCCGCATGCCTCAGAACAATAGAATGACCCGCAGGCTTTTTGACAGAACGGATCCGAACACGGCCGACGAGATTCTGTCCGAAATCGAGGACTATCTTCCCAGACGGCGTCCGAATAATCTCTATAGGGTTGACCACCTCGGTCACCCGCACAGGGGGCGCGTTCGGAGCTACGAGCTGCGTCTGAGGTAATTCAATCTCCCGCGTCGGTTCCCATGAAGTCGTCGAGGTCTTCCAGTCGTCTTGCTCCTCTCGCGCATCGTAAAGCTCTCCATCATATATTTCGCTCCGAATAATCGCAGACTCGTGCGATTCCCACGTCGAGTCCGTGGCGACCATGAACGGCGAGTGTCCATCCTCTTCCATATCGACCTCCAGCTGAGCAAACAGCGCAAGCTCATCGCCGTAGATGAACCGTCTGCCCCCGTGGAATCCCAGACGCGTAGCGTACCAGCCCTCCGAAACCTCCACGGCAATGGTATTATCCTCTCCATCTTTCAATAGCGAGCCTACATCGAAAACCTCATAGTTCAGCCGGTGGTGGTAACTAGTCCACCCCGGAGCCATGCAGTGGTCACCCACGCGCTCTCCATTGATATACGCCTGGAACACCCCAAGACTAGTGATATATAACCGCGCACGCCGCACCGTCGAAGCTGGTAGGGTAAACGTCTTTCTAAACCGGGTAGGCCGCAACGGGCCTTCTTTCTGCTTGACTAGACTGGTGATTGCACGCGCCTTCCAGTCCTCACGGTGTAGCAGCCCACACTCGACCGTGCTCCAAGCAGACCACTGTGTTGGTGCATTATCCTGGCCTCCGTACGAACGTACGCGCACCCTAGCGATCTCTCGCGACTGCAGTGGCTCGCTTGGCCACGGGACAAGGATAGACTCCGACGACTTCTCGTGGTATGATTCCGTGCGGTCGCCTCGAACGACTTCGATGTCGTACGCGGATTGTAGCCAGTCTGATGCGGTTCCTTCAGTCGCACTAAACCTCCACGAGATACGCGGCGACTGGCAGCCGATACCGAAGCCGGTGGGATGCTGTTCGAAGGTTGGCGATGCTGGAATTGGTGGAGGCATGGTGCTATACGGTAAGCCGAGAACTGGCTGAGGCATGGTACTGAGTCTAGGTCAATGTCGCGAGAAGTTGATCTTGTCTTGGTATATTCTGCGTCCAGCGCATCAACGACCTCGAGCTGCTGTTCAAGTTACCCCGCATGAGGAGTGGTCTCGGATGTTGGCTCGGAACTTCTCCATGCTGGGACAATCGTGACCGAGACAGGTGACTTTGATTCGGGCTAGATTGCAGCGAGAGCTGCCGGCAAAACTTCGGTTGATTGAATCATGTATCTCTTGGAAAGATGGGGGGGATGAGGAACTGTCGGAGAGTCGGGCCGCGTTCCCTGCTGTAGACGATGACGTCTCTATGCACTAGCATACCCACCACCGAGCTATCTTCAAGATAATTCCTTCTCGCACAAACAAGGGCGCTGTACTGCGCAAGTCCGGGGCTATGCTGCTCTCCTTAAGCCTGTTGATGCGGGAAACTGACGAAGAAGGAAGTTTTAGGAGCATTCCAAGGATCCAAGCTGTAGGCTTCTACGCGCTTGTCTCATCCAAGAATACAGCCATAAATTGATTTATTCATTGTTCTACAAGTGCGTAGTTATCTATGCAAATTCCGCCATCAGCTCACCCACAGCATCAGCCCCCTTGCCTCCCCCCTCCAGTCGAGGGTTTGTCGTCTGAATCAATACCCTTCGGTAGCTCGTCAGAGGAGGCGAACCACTATCCGTTACCTGCAAGACCAGATGCAGGTTCTGTCCCCGAGGGACGGGCTGCCTGCTCATCAATTCCACGCAACACCTCTCTGGTGGAGGCACTGTAACATCGACCTTCCGGCCCTCATCAACGGGCTTGATTACTAGATCTGCGACCTCTGCATCCACCCACCACTGGGTAGCGCTCGGGTCCTTGTAGTGGAACCATTTGAATTTCAGAACGTCGCCGGAGTCTGGGTCATAACTCTCCGATGCGTCGAGCGTGAAAGTTGATCCGGCTTCAGCCTCGATTTCTAACGGCGTCAGGTTAGTGTCGCCGTTTACAGCGATAATCGGGGCATGATTGGCCGCATCGAAGTTCGGTGAGAGAGACCATTGAATGCGCGCAGCAAAGTCGTTCTGGAAACTGTCTCTCCAACGCCAGATAGTGCCGTGATTTGTATTATATGTCCGCCCGTCCGCTCCAACTACCCTGTCAACAGCATCACCATAGTGAAGGCTGGCAAGGCCGTTGGCACTGATATCAGACCGCTGGTACCGGCCACCCCATGAGCCGTACTCTGGATGCTCAGGCACACCAAGCCCGTTCTGAATCAAGTACAAGAAAGTAGCGGTATCACCCTCAGGAATGAATAGGTAATCGGGATATGCGGAGCCCAGATCGCCAATCTGAATGTTCTCCCGGATCCATTCCTTGCTCATTTTAGTAAAGTCAGGCCCTCCTTGATCAAAATTGTAGTACTTGTCCCCTGAGATCCCAGTCCAAGCAGCCATACCATAGTGGTTCCAACCGTGGACAGACGCAATGTAGAAGATGTCGGGATAGCGGTGACGAATCCAAGGACCCGTGTCATCCTGGTCCGATATGGCATAAACACGGAGCTTGGAGCGTAGCCTAGCGGCCTCATCTTTGCTGTGCAGTTTCTCAATGCGAAGAAGTACTTGGGCCAGAACGTTGGTGCCGCCCCAGCAGAGTATCCATAGGGGCTGGTCGCTAGGATGCTGGATCCGCTCGAGGAGCAGCTCGCCGCCTTCGCTGAGAGGGATGTCGTCCCCCACTGCCTCCATACCATATACCTCTGCGCCTTTGCGCACGAGGCCTCTGAAGTAGTCCGCCGGCTGGTATTGAGCACTGGGGTGAACATGGGCGTTGAGGTTGTCGACGACTTTTTCATAGGCGTCGATGATCTTGTGCATATCTTGCGGACAGACCCTATTCTTCATCCATGTTGAAGTACATGCGACCAAGCCCTCGGTTTGGAACTGGTGGCTGTACAGCAGGTAGCGCACGAGCGACTCGGCATCATCGGGTTCGTTGGATATATCCGACACGATGAAGACGCGTGGTTTAGAGGGGAAGCTTTGTAGAGTGGTGAGACGGTCGGTCATGTTGGATCAATTGTCAAGTTCTTCGCTGGAATGAATGGTGCTGTTTCTCCCATCCTGGCATCTCTCGTTGTTATGAGGGGAAGCTGCTGAGGGGTCGATCTACGATGCTCCACAGCAGCTTGCACAGCGCGTAAAAGGAAGGCCGAAGCACCGGCCAAGACAGTTGTCATGTGACAGAGCCAAAGCTTGGCACTGGCAGTCAGGCTAGTCCCAGAACGGCTAATGTCCCAGCAGGCGGGGCGGGGTCTCGGCATCAAGCAGCTCCCTCCAACATGACCGAGGATTACCCGATCCAAGATCTCACTCAACACAGAATTATTTGTTACTCCACAGCTGCGGCATTACGGCATGTGCAGAATCCTTCTGGCGGGGAAGCGGCCCGTACGGCCAGGGAGGGTTCGCCATAAAGCTCTGGGTGTCTCACGCGGAGACGCCTGGCTTGAATCTTTCTACATCTCTTCAGTGCCAAAATACAGCCATCATGAGCTTCAAAGACGTTGATCCCGCGCAGATAGAAAGCGTGCTGTCAAAACTGACTTTGGAAGAGAAGGTAGTAGCATTCATAACACTTGAAGAGCTCATGTTAGATACTGATAACGCTTTAGATCACCCTGCTGGCAGGGAAGAACTTTTGGGAGACGCAAGATTATCCGGAGAAGGGAGTGCCATCTGTCAAGGTACGTTTTTGACTGTATAGAAGATAAGTTCTCAAACTAACAGTGGATAGACTTCAGATGGCCCCAACGGAGCGCGCGGTGCCACATTCAAGGACGGAGTAACAGCTGCCTGTTTTCCAGCGTCCTCGCTGCTGGCCGCGACATGGGATGTCGAAGCAGCAAAGAATATTGGAAACGCGTTGGCCGACGAGGCACGCTCAAAAGGCGCAAGAATACTGTGAGTGGGCACCTCAATCCGGAATTTGAATGAAAGCAACAGCTAACAGCTCCCAGATTAGCTCCCACCGTCTGCATCCATCGCCATCCCCTTGGAGGCCGCAACTTCGAGTCATTCAGCGAGGACCCTTTTCTCGCAGGAAAGCTTGCAGGACAGTACATCCATGGGCTTCAAGACAATGGGGTTGCTGCCACTATCAAGCATTTTGCCGCAAACGAGCAGGAGACCTGTCGGTTTACGGTTAACGAACACATTACGGAACGGGCGCTTCGTGAGATCTATCTGAAGCCTTTCGAGATCGCCATCAAAGAAGCCAATCCGCTGGCAGTGATGACCGCGTACAACATCATAAACGGTACACATGCAGACTCAAACAACTTCCTACTCCAGGATGTACTCAGGGGACAATGGGGCTGGAAGGGTCTTGTCATGAGCGACTGGGGTGGTACCAATTCCACAGCCGATTCATTGAATGCCGGTCTTGACCTGGAGATGCCGGGTCCAACAAGGTGGCGCAAGGTAGATGAAGTGCTTAAAGCCGTGAAATCCGGCGCAGTGTCGGAGAATACAATCGACGACCGCGCGCGCAATGTTCTAGAGCTTCTCGCGAAGCTGAACTGCTTCGAAGACCCCACCATCCCCGATGAGACGGCCATCAACCGTCCTGAGCACCAGAAATTGATTCGCTCTGTTGGAAGCCAAGGCCTCGTCCTCCTCAAAAACGAAGGCCAGGTCCTCCCCTTGAAGAGGGAGAAACTTGCGAAGAAGAAAGTAGCACTGCTAGGCTTCGCGCGAGAAGCTCTTATCCACGGTGGCGGCAGTGCGTCAGTCAACGCCCACTACCGTGTCACTCCAGAGGAAGGCCTTCGAGCAGCACTCGGCGACACCGTCGAGTTCGAATATGCCAAGGGCGCACACACCTTCCGCCAACTGCCCTTGATGAGTGACAATGTTGTCAACCGTGAGAACCAGCCTGGCTGGACACTAGACTTCTTCGATGACGAGGAGCCCAAGGGCGAACCAGGCTCGTCGACTTCTTCGGAGCAACCTACTTATATTCCTCTTTTCGTCAAGGAGTCTTGGGGAAGCCTCTGCGCCAGAGCACGTTTCACGCCCACACAAAGCGGGAAACATTATTTCGGCATGTCTGGGCTGGGACGATCGAAGCTCCTGATCGACGGCGAGGTCGTTTACGAGCAGGAGCTTAACTGCCCTGACTCGATGGGATTCTTACTCGGTGGCGTGGAAGAGCCGGAGATTCAATACTCGTTCGAGGCTGGAAAGACGTACGCAGTTGAGGTGGTTACGGTAAAGCCGACCAGCAAAGGCGGCCTTGCTATGCTGGACGGCTTCATCGGGTTCCGACTCGGTTTCATGACCGAGGAAGACCACAACCGAGACTTGCTGTCCGAGGCCGTCGAAGTGGCCAAACGAAGCGATGTTGCGATTGTGTTTACCGGCCACACTCCCAACTGGGAAACCGAGGGTCAAGATCAAGTCAGCTTCAACTTACCCTCGAATGACTCCCAGGATCGACTCGTGTCAGCTGTTGGAGCCGCCAACCCAAACACCGTTGTTGTGAACTGCACCGGTGTAGCAGTTGCCATGCCGTGGCTGGACGAGGTCAAGGCTGTTGTGCAAGCGTGGTTCCCTGGACAAGAAGCGGGCAATGCAATCGCCGACGTCCTCACTGGTGCCGTGAACCCTGCCGGCCGTCTCCCAGTCTCTTTCCCTCGAGCGATAGAATATGCCCCAGCACACGGCAACTTCCCCGGTGAATTCTCAGATGGCGAGGACGGACGACGCAACCTTGAAGTCACGTACAAGGAGGGCGTGTTCGTAGGCTACCGACACTACGACCTGTCAGACGAGAACCGAGCCAAGGTCCTCTTCCCATTCGGCTACGGTCTATCGTACACCAGCTTTACACACACAAACCACAAAGCTAGCGTTACCGATGGGACTGTGGAAGTGACGGTCGATATCACCAACACCGGCCCCTATGCCGGCGCTGAAGTCGTCCAAGTATACGCAGGCGCCAAACTGGCGGTCCCGGAGAATCCTGTTAAGGAACTTGTTGGCTTCGCCAAGCTACAACTGGAGCCGGGAGAGACCAAGACAGCCACTGTCACGTTCAGTGTGCGCCAGCTGGCTCACTTTGACGAGGGGAGCAGTAGGTGGGAGGTGAAATCCGGCGACTACGAGGTCTCGGTTGGTCAGTCTGTAAGGGATATCACTGGAAAGGTGGAGATTCGCGTGGAGGGTCAGAGTTATGAGCCTTGATATTGTGCAAACACAACGAAATAGTAATAATTATGTGTTAGTTGAGTCAGAAATGTTCTTGAGCCAGGACATCATACCCCATCACATGATTACCGGCATCCCAAGGTTCTCCCCGAGCGCCCCTCAACTTGGCTCTCGATTCCTTCTTGGTTCAAGCCAATTGATCCATTTGCCACTGGCACGCGCGCTTCCAAGCTTTGACAACCTTGCTCATACTCGGCACAGGCTATTTACAACTGGAACTGACGCATAAGACGCGCATACCAGGCTGGGCAGCTTCGAGGACGTGGACTATGGCGTTCTTTAGCTCGGATCCTCCTGAAAACATCACGAACTCGATGCCTGAAGGATTCCAAGAGTGGTTGGAATTGCCTTGCTGACGGCAAATCTTCGGCACCTCTCCTGACTCGGGACCCATCAACCAGAGACAACCAGTGTTGCCGCGGTGGCGTGGAGAGTGGAAACTCGACCGACCTGGGGGATCTGGAGACCCCAGAGCTGTCTGGCGCCACTCCACGGGGTCCTGCAGCTTCCCCAGTTCCCACTTACTCCGTACCGTATCGCTCTCGTTGACCTCCAACAACTGCCAATTTGGAATCTTGCAACTAGGCCAAGACTGTTCTTGGCTCTCTTCTCCCCGATCCCGATCACGCTTGTGAATAGAGTTTGTTGGTCTCGCCCTCGCCTCTTTCTCCGATCTCGCCTGTCTCCGGGCGCCCATCTCCTTGCCCTTGCTGCCATCAACCGAATGCAGGCATTTTTCCCCGCGGCACAGCATACCTGCAGTCGATAACAGACTCGGGCGTCATGCAATTCGAAACAGGAAATGGGAGATAAATAGCTCGTCGTGCCGGCGCGAAGTTATCTGTTTCTATCCAGACTCCCCCTTACTTCCCCTTCTACCTACACTAGTTTAACCCCTTTTCCAAACAATTGTCTCAACAATGGACAAAGGCAGCGTCGACATGGTCGAGCAAGCCGACGACCAACAGCTCGGCTACCTCGCCGACTCCGAGGACCACTCGCTGAGCAAATGGGCCAGTCTGAAAAAGTACCCGTGGACCTTCTTCTGGTGCATCTACGCCGTATGGTGCATCCTCCTCGTCAGCTTCGAGAACCAAGCCGCCGGAACCGTCATCTCAATCCCCCAGTTCCGCCAGGACTTCGGCAGCTACTTCGAAGGCAGCTATGTCCTCGACAGCAAGTGGCAGTCGGCGTTCAGCGGCGGGCCCGTCGCCTCCGCCGTCATTGGCGCTCTTTCCTCCGGTCAGATCGCAGACGCCTTCGGCCGGAAATGGACTATGCTCGGGGCCCTGCTTATTTCTGTCGCGGCTGTAGCCCTCGAGTTCGTAGCCACCACGAACGAGATGTTCTTCGGCGGGAAGTTCCTTAATGGCTTTGCATTGGGCGCCCTTGCTTCTGTGCCCGTCACCTATGTCGGCGAGATCTCGCCGCTTGCTCTCCGCGGAACACTCACCTGTCTAACCGCGTTGGCCTACTGCATAGGCCCCTTCGTGGTAGCGCTCATCACAAACACTACAGGCACATACACGAACCACTGGGCCTACCGCGCCGTCTTCGCCGCACAATGGGGCTTCGCAGCCATCGCCCTGTCCCTCATCCTCCTGATGCCCGAATCCCCCTGGTGGCTCGTCTCGAAGAACCGCGAATCCGCCGCCCTATCCAGCCTCACACGCCTAGGCTACAACCCATCGCAACGCGCCAAGAAACTCTCCGCCATAAAGCTCACACTGGAACAAGTGCGTCGCGAAACCGAAGGCGCCACATACGCCGAGTGCTTCCGCACGTCCAACCTGCGCCGCACAATCATCTCCATCGCCCCACTCTCCATCCAGGCACTGTCAGGCATAATCTTCTCCGCGTCCTACAGCACGTACTACTTCCAGCTAGCCGGGTACTCCGACGCCATGAGCTTCCGCCTCCAGATCGCGCAGCAGGTGCTGTCCATCGTCGGCAACGTGATGTCCTACTTCCTGATCGACCGGCTGGGCCGTCGGAACCTCATGCTCTACGGCCTGGGCATAATGACCTGTATCCTGATGGTAACGGGCGGGCTGGGCGTTGTCGCGACGCAGACAGAGAACCCGCACTCCGCCGGAGCGGTGAAGGGGACCGTCGCGCTGATCCTGCTTTACTGCTGGTGGTATAACTGTACGATCGGGGCCGCGGGGTACACGCTCCTCGCCGAGGTGTCGACGGCCAGACTCCGTGTTAAGACGATTGCGATTGGACTGGCGCTCCAGAATGCCCTGTATACCATGTGGTCGTTTGTTCTGCCGTACCTGTTTAACCCGGATAAGGCGGACCTAGGGGCCAAGGTTACGTTCATCTTTGGGGGGCTGTCGGTTCTCTGTCTGGTTTATTTGTGGTTTTATCAGCCGGAGACGGCGGGGCGGACGTATGCCGAGTTGGATGAGATGTTTGCGAAGCGGGTTCCGGCTTGGAAGTTTAAGACTTATCAGACGGATTCTCAGGCTATGGGGGAGGCTGTTAGGGAGGGAGATGATGTGAAGCGGGATGTATAGATGTTTCTCATTTTTTTGGGATCTCTACCCTTGTTGGGTTGAGGCGTTTATATTATGAGCCATACACGTAGCATATTTTTGAGTGATACCACATACAATTGCATTATTTTAGTTATTCACTTGCTGATACAGTTAAAGACTTAATCCCTTGAGTCTATCAATTAAGCATTATCGTTACACATTCAATAGACATGAACGCCCCCGAAGTCAAAATCCGACCATAACTAAAACAGTAAAGCTCCTAGACAGGTTCGCGCAGCCAGCTGCGCTTGAACATGGCAAGACCCACACCTAGCCCTAAAAGATGGTATAGTGCAACAGATACGTTGTACAGGTTGGGCAGTCCAGCACGCCTACGAAAGCAGCACATCTCATAACAATCATAACCCTTGTCGTAATATGACACCCGATGTGCGCATGTTTGGTCCTGCCGTGTGCTGGCATCGGACGACGCTGAAAAGAGACATCTTAACGACATGCACTCCCTCCGCCGATCAAATTTCCAGACCGTTGTCAGGCGATATCGCTAGCCAAATTGGCCCGAAGACGTATCTGTCCTTGTGAGTCATTGATTCAAAGCTCAAGAAGAGGGAGCCAAACCTCTGGCAAAGTATCCATAACAACTGCATGAAGAGGAGCATCAAGCCATGGATGAGAACTAGAGGCATTCGTCAGGGCCCTCTCATCGTCACCGTCACCGATCGTCATGAACAACCACGGAAAAATAATACCAACCTTCATTCCCAACAGTCTTGAGCATCTTCACCCTCCCCTGCCTCTTCAGCCACGTCGGAACTAGATCCTTCTGACAAGTGCGACCTTCAATGACAAGGCATCCACCCCTCGACCGCGAACATTCCAGATGCCGGCGCCTGCGCTCCATGATCTTCCGGATCCGCCAGTTGCAGAACGCTTCGTCTGTCCGGAAGGAGCACTTCTCCATGGGGCATTCCAGCTTGTGCTCGAAGCGCTCGACCAGCCAGTCGACTTTCAGATGGACGCCTGTGTACACCAGCGAGTAGAAATGGCGGCAGGTGTGCTTCAGAGCCAAGGCATCTGGGTATGAGAGGTACGATGAGATGTGTAGGTGCAGTTCTGTTGGGAGTTCCATCAGTTTGAAGTGTGGTGGGATGGCTTCTGCTTCTTCTGAGATGCTGTCGGAGGTGGTAGACGTCATTGCTATTATCGTTGACTGCTTGTTAGACGTCTGATACTTGGAGAGATTTGAGATAAGCAGGTGTGGCCGGTAATGGCTCTTGAATGTGAAGAAAGACGACTTAAGATCTGGAACCGCCGAGCCGCAGGGGCAGTGCAGCCGGTCGAGCTATTATATAGAAACGAGCCCGACCCAGAGTTGTTGCCTAAAAGTGGAAAATAAGGCAGACGCTTTCGAATGGAGCAGCGTGGCAGAATCCAAAAATAGTGAAAACAGAACAGATATGGAGATGTTTCAGTTACTGTAAGCTGCAAAGTTTAGAATACGAGATGACGGCCTGCATTGGACTTGCGAGCCGATAGGAAATGGTAGCTAGGTCGACCCATTTATAAAACTATAGAACAGATAGCATGATCTCAAGCAGAAACGGCTCAAAGCAAACCAGCAAGATCGCGAAATAATGTAAACAATGAGGCTAAATGCTGGAGATTGTGATGCTTGGCTGATGGACGATGTGGTGACTGGTGCGATGGAGGAACGATGATCCCGCGATAAGCCTCAGCCTCACCGCCTTGCAACAACCATCTTTCTGCCGTCGGTATCTCTTCGACCACTTCAACGCAATTCTGTTGCAGAGCTTGAACTACTCAAATCCCTACAAGCACATCGATAAATCTACCCACATATACACTACCACCACCATGTCCAACAAACAATCCGCCTACGGCACCCCAACCTCGGACACATTCGGCGGCAAAAGCTGGGACCGAGAAGAGTACGCCAAAAAAGGCGCTGAAGAAGAAGCCAAGCGCAAGGAAGAAGGCAAAGCGCGATATGAAGCCAAACTGCTCGGCAAGAAATGGCACGCGCCGGTCGACTACAGCTCGCTCGAAGCGACAACCTCCCGCAAACAACGTCTCGATGTCGCGTCGATGGTCGGAAAGACGACGATCGTTTCGGCAGCAAATGCAGTCGGCAAGCGTGGTCGCGGCGCTGGTTTCTACTGCGCGGACTGTGATCTCACATTCAAGGATAATTTGCAACTTGTGGAGCACTTGAACAGCAAGCAGCATTTGATTGCTACGGGGCAGAGCGGGGAGGTGGCGCAGGCTACGGTGGAGGATGTAAGGCAGCGGTTGAGGATGCTTGCGCACCAGAAACGGGTTAGAGAGGAGGAGGAGCGGATGGTGTGGCAAATGGATCTGGGCGAGCGGCTCAAGGATAGAGAGGAGCAGCTCTCGAAAGAACGAGAGGAGAAGAGGCGGAAGAGGAATGAGAAGCGCCGCAGAGGTGGGGATGAGGTAAAGCAGGAAGACAGCTGGGAAGGCCGGCTGGGGATCATCGCCTAGTCTGCACCTCTTGGTTCATCTCTCTCAAATCTCTCTCAAAAGCTTGTCTATATACCCCGGCGTTTGGTTTGCTTAAAATGTAACTTTGGCGGAGTTTGGTCAGAAAAAGGCATATGCCGTGATGTCATTCGGCAAGATCGCGTTCAAGATAGCTAATATCACCCCTTAACAAATAAAAACAACCAGATTACCCAATTCCAGGACCCAAAGCCCCCAACGCCTAACAAGTGCTTGGAAAACGGACAATCTGCTCCAATCAATCGATGCACTCGATTCCCTCCAACGCGCGCATTGCCCGAGCTCCTTCTCGCTCGAACTGCCCGACTAGTCGTTCGCATTCTCGCTTCAGCCTCTCTTCCCCGTTCTTTGCGTTCCACATAACCCATTCCTCCACCGTCATCTTCTTTTCAGGGCTTGACAGTTCGCCTTTCAGGTTGCCGAACGCACCATGGAGATCGACATTTTCTTTGTCGTTGGCACCGGCCATCAGAATGTGTTCAATATTGATGGGAACCCATGGGTTAGATGTTTGGACTTTTCCTGCAGAGGCATTTCGCTTCGAAGGGGAAGGGGTACTTGTGGCCAGCGGAAACCGGACTGATGCATTTTTGGACGGGGATGATGGCTGGGGTTGACGCGTTGAAGCCTTCAAGGAGGGAGGGTGATTTTCAGCATCTGAGGACTGTGGCGACAGAGAAGGACTTCCTCTAGATGCAGACGGAATGGGAGACACGACTCCGTCTTCCTGGCCCTGTGGATGAGGACGGCGAGTGTCTTCTGGTGATCTGTCGGAAGCAATGGACCGGGCATATTGCTTTTCCTGGGGGATGTCGCTGTATCTCTCGGCCGTCTTGGGAGGCACTCTAGACGACCTGCGACGTCCTGGCTCATCTTGCACAGGTCCCTCTTGTTCCTTCTGTTCCTCTTTGTTTGGTTCTGGCGTGTGTGACTGGGGCAATTGAGGCGATTGCACCTTGGGTGTCTCTTGGATTTCTGGCTGTCGACTCGCCCGCTTCTTTTCCACCTTCTTCGCCTCTTCGGGTTCCTCGGTCTTTTCGGCCGTCTCCGTCTTTTCTGTTATGTCGCCCTCGTCAACCTTCTTAGACTTCTTGGTTTTCTCCGACGACTTCTTCTTCTTCTTGGTTTTCTTGTCATCCTTGTTGGATTCTACCTCACCGTAGTCCGCAGGTGGCTTGGAAATGATTTCCACCGAGACGAAAGATTCATGCCGGCGGTGGTCATCTTTTTCCTCTACCTCTTGAGCTTCGGATTGCTCGGGCGCGGTAGTGCTTTCTTTGGCCCCAGCCCGATCGGTCGACTTCCTTGAACTGTGACGTTTGCTCTTCGTTGCGGTAGGGTCAAGGTCATGTTGCTCGGGCGCGGTAGTGGTTTGTTTGGCCTCTGCCCGATCGGTGGACTTCCTTGAACTGCGACGTTTGCTCTTAGTTGCGGTAGGTTCAGGCTCTTGTTGCTCGGCTACCTCGGGGTTCGCCATTTGCTGGTCCGCCTCGGGCTCGGGCTCGGGCTCGGGAATCATGTGGCCTTCTTCGGCAACATGTTCGACCACGTCTTCGGTCGGTTCTTGCTCCTTCTTCGCGTTTTTTTTCTTAGACTTGGGCTTTTTTGAGGCAGGCTTGGGCGCAACCTCTTCGATCTTGGTTTCTTCTATTTCCATGTTCTGAGGTTCATCTCCGTCGAGTCCGGCTTCGATCGCTGCGTCGAGTTCTGAGTCTCGCGGGACACGAGATTTTGACGCTTTCTTTGCAGTTGCAGTTGAAGATGCCCTGGTGCCCTTGCGACTTTTTGAAGATTTCGTCTTGCTTCTTCCACGGCTTGGTTTCGCATCTTCCTCTTTGCCAATATCATCGTTTCCATGTTCTGGCGTATCGACTGCGCCATCGGTAGACACTATGCTCTGGGCTCGCGCTCGACTGATACTTCTCTTCGTAGCTCGTTTTTTCGTAGGTGGCTCTGGCTGCTCCACGGTGTCTTCATCTGCGATGCTCATTGCGTCCCTATCCACTTCGGCACTGGATCGCTTTCTGCCTCGTGTACCACGCTTCGATTTTGAGGTTTCGGCCTCGGCGTGCTCGGCGTATTCCGCTCCATCCACATCCATCTGGGCCGGGATTTCTTGAGGCTCGTCTTTCTTGGTCTTCGAGGATTTCGATTTCGACTTGGACGACTTCTTCGTGGACTTAGCCTTGGTTGGCGGGGCCAGCACACTGTGGTCCATATCCTCGATGTCCGAAGCGAAAGCTTCCGACGCAGTAGATTGTGTTGATTGGCGGGAGGCTTTGGAAGTGCGGGCTTTCTTGGATCGTGAGCCCTTCCCCTTGGTGGGCTTTGCGAATACGAAGAACGAGCAGTCCGAGGAACGGCGGTAATGTTCGTCACTAGGACAGTCAGGCAGAGAGACCGAGGAAAGAGCGAAGATGCACTTACTATGGGTTGTCTTTAGGCTCCCATCCATCAAGCGATAACTTGCAGTAGGCGCAGCTTGCCAGGTCGGCGCTTTCTTCGTTCGGGCAAAAGTACCACCCACCTTCAACCATCTACCATCGGGAAAATTAGCCATTAGAGGGCAATCTCTTTTTGAGGGTAATAGAAAATGAGTTACCTTCTCTGACTGGCACAGCCAGCCCCTCTTGCCATCATGCGGCCATGATTCGCCGAAGGTTGCCAACCTTGCCTGGACAACCGGTTCACTTGTAGGGTCTTCTATCTCGGCTGGGTTCGAGCTACGCTGCTGTATATCCATCATAACGGCCCACCCACAATCATTTCCCGCATGCTTCAGATGCTCCGTAATCGGGTTGTCATCTTCCTCCCATCCATCGAGCGCTCTGCGACACAGAAAACAGGTTGTGTTGTCCGGGTTCGTCTCGTAGGGGTTGTAGAAGAAACCGGCATGCGCCAACTACGTGACAGGCCAGTTAGCAATCCGTTGCAGCGTAGATCGCTTATTTGGATGGATTCGAAGGTACCTCAGCCGGGGAAGGCCTGCTGTGCGGCCATGATATCGGCTGCGATGATTTCGAGCTGGAAGATCGTCTATCCGGGTGCAAGACAAGGTCAAATGTGGCCAGACGAGCGGCAAACGTCTCCATTTCGTTAGCCATTGTATGCGAGCATGGAGACGGGCGCAACTCAGGGTGCTGTGATTGAAGGACTCGTCCGACGAGGGATTGTTTACTGCCTTTGTTTATCTGGGCGGTGGGACGCGTTTGCGGAGGAACGGTAGCACGTGACATCGGCAGATTGAGGCATTGAGGCATCGAATCAAAGCCGAGGGTACGTCAGTCCCTCACGGTTATCGATCGGAGAGCCGATGAATAATAATTCCACGGCGAGCTCCATCGGCTGCATATTCGATTCCATCGTCGTCTCAATTCCCTCTTTCCGACGCTGTGATCTTAGAGTCATGGTCTGAGTCTGCAAGTGTTGCTATATCTCCCGCTTTTCCCCTCGCGACAATGCGCGACGCTACAGTAAGACACCGCACCCTAATCGATTCCCCCTTTGTCTGCCCAGTTCTATGCTAACTGGTGCGTTTGTCAAAAGTTCCTCTTCTCGAGCGCTTCTTCGGGCTCTTACGTGCGTCTTCGTTCGTCTCTCCCTCGTTATACACGAAGCCATGGTTCGTTGCGGTATTTCTCGGGCGAAATCCATCCTCGACATGTTGGCGTAAAGGTCCCCGGCAATCGGCCGATATCCCATAATAATGCCAGTGCGCATTACCCTTACTCAGACGGTGGCTTATTGTATCCATCATCGGCCTCATATTCCACTTCCTCCAAGAGCTCCGACAATGGAGATTGGGACGCGAACCCGGACCTGTCGTCGATATCGGCGTTTTCGGAGCTTCCTTCAAAAGACTTTGGAATCAACCAGCACATGATCATCAACCAGGAATTCAAGGAAGCTTTGCGCCAGATTCTGTGGCAGTTCCGAGCTCCGATCAGGTACGCATTTGCATATGGATCCGGTGTATTTCCGCAAAATGGCAGCGCCCCGGGCTCCGATCAGTGCCATCCGTCAGCCCCAGCAGCAATCCAAAATATGCAACAAGGCAAAGGGAAGATGATTGACTTCATCTTTGGTGTTTCTTACTCACAGCACTGGCATTCATTAAATCTCGCACAGCACCGGAATCATTACTCGGGACTCGGCTCTTTAGGGTCTTACACTGTCTCTCAAGTACAGGACAGATTCGGCGCAGGCGTCTACTTCAACCCGTATATAACCGTCAACGGCACATTGATCAAGTATGGGGTTGTCAACATCGACACGTTATGTAATGATCTCAGTCGATGGGATACGTTATACCTTGCTGGTCGACTGCAGAAGCCTGTCAAGATTCTGCGGGACCATCCCAAGGTACGGCTCGCAAACCAGATGAATCTTCTCTCTGCTGTACGGGTAGCATTGTTACTGCTTCCGGAGCAGTTCACAGAGTTCCAGCTATATAACACGATAGCTTCAATGAGCTACATGGGTGACCTCCGCATGGCGTTGCCGGTGGAGGACCCCAGGAAGGTCAACAACATCGTCTCTTCACAGATGGCCAACTTCCGACGCTTGTACGCGCCGCTAATCGAAAACCTTCCCAACGTTGTCTTCAACGACAGGCGTTGCTCGGACAACGACTGGATTGATGATCCCAATGCCAATGTGCGACTCTCACAAGATATGGATCCTGTAAAGCGCGGTAACATGGTCCGCCGCCTGCCGGAGACATTCCGCGAAAAGCTATACTTCCAGTATCAAGCGCGCTTTGGCATACCTCGCGCAGAATTCAACAAGATGATGAAGGAAAGTAATGACAATGATCCGGAGCTTATTCGACGCAGGCAGGGTGGAAAGTTCGAGCAGCGTATTGCTAGCGATGAAGGTCTCACCAAAGAGATCCAAGCTGCAATAACAAAGACAATCCGGTGGCCAAGCTCTGTAGAGACGGTCAAGGGACTGTTCACTGCGGGCATATCCCGGACCTGGCGGTATCTCAGAGCGAAGCAAGACAAGTGGAGGAACTCTGGCAAGAAAGCGAAAGAGTCAAGCAGAGAGCCTCCAAAGTCTTCCAAACAAGAATAGAGACGGTGAAGCATTGCAAATACTTGCATATACTACTTTTATCGTATTAGAGCATATTACGGCGTTGAATTGGCGGTGGTCTATGACAAAATTCTATATACTCAAGGTGTCTGATAGAAGTATCCATTGAATTTTACCTTATCACTCAAAGAAACATTCAATTGAAACTATTCCTTAGCAAATAGATTAGCACCTACCGTAGAGTCACATCAATTGCAGCTTCTCCTGACTCATACATCTGTACTCCGCAGACGGCCCTTATATAAGCTCTGGACTCCCCGCCGCTCCCCACCAGATTTCTTTTCCGCCATCTTCCAGAACAAAGGAAACCCAACACAACTCACCAATTCCGTCCAATATGGCGTCACGAACATCGGCTTTTGACCTCTCCAAATGCGCGCGCAAGAACATCTTGAAATTGCAGCCCTACCGTTGCGCTAGAGAGTTCGTCCGCCCCGCGATCCCCTCCTCCGCAACCGGCGGCGCAACTAATGCAATGCCAGTGACTACAAGGACGACGGGACAAATGTACTGCTCGACGCTAACGAGAACGCCTTCGGTCCGGGTCTCGCACTGAATGCCGAAGGTGCTCTCCAAGACTCAGCCGCCAATGGCAACTCAACGGGGTCATCCAAGCCGGACATCGATCTCTTGGGATTAAACCGATACCCTGACCCGTACGTGAACTGCGCCCTCGATCCTGAACTTCATAGGAACACTGCTAATGAAACTCATGTATTAGCCACCAGCACCCCCTCAAACAACTCTTCTGCAACCTCCGCAACACCCACACCCACACAGACAAGAACATCGGCCCAGAGAACCTCTTCGTCGGCGTCGGCTCCGACGAAGCCATCGACGCTCTCCTGCGCGCCTTCTGCAACCCCGGCAAGGACAAGATTCTCACATGCCCCCCAACATACGGCATGTACTCCGTCAGCGCGGACGTCAACGACGTCGAGATCGTCAAGGTCCCGCTCGACACGGAAAACGGATTCGCGCTCCAGCCCGAGAAGATCAACGCCGCTCTCTCCGCCGACCCCTCAATCAAGCTCGTCTACATCTGCTCACCAGGCAACCCCACCGCGAACCTGGTCGCCAAGGCCGACGTCCAGAAGGTCCTCGAGCACCCGACGTGGAACGGCGTCGTCGTCCTCGACGAGGCCTACATTGATTTCGCGCCAGAGGGCTCCAGTCTTGCGGAGTGGGTCGCCGAATGGCCCAATCTCGTCGTTATGCAGACTCTCAGCAAGGCGTTTGGACTCGCAGGCATCCGGCTAGGCGTTGCGTTCACGAGCCCTGAAATCGCGACCCTCCTCAACAGCCTCAAGGCCCCCTACAACATCTCCAGCCCGACCAGCGCGCTCGCGACGGCGGCCCTCGGAAACCCCAAGAACCTCGAGGTCATGCGCACCTACCGCTCGAGGATCATCACACAGCGCGACCGAATCCTTAAGGAACTTCCCACCGTCCCTGGGATCGGACGCTTCCGCGGTGGTACGGAGTCGAACTTCCTTCTGGTTGAGGTCCTTGATAAGCCCGCGGATCAGGGCGGGAAGCCCAGTAACACCATTGCCCTTGCGGCGTACGAGGCTATGGCGGAGAAGCGTGGCGTCGTGGTGCGGTTCCGCGGAAAGGAGCTGGGCTGTGAGGGTTGCTTGAGGATTACGGTTGGCACAGAGGAGGAGGTTACGAGGTTCCTGGAAGAGATAAGGGCTGTTCTCGGTGCGTTGCTTAACGGCGGTGAAATCGCGTCGAAGAAGTGAGTGCGGACTCATATGGGGTGATTCTAGTTTGATGCATTTAAGAGATTCTATAGACCACATTATGCAAATATAGACTTGGCGGTTTCAGCTGCACGCTGCTGTTCATGGAATGGCGATCGCTACCCATCTATCGACACTTCATCCACCATGTAGTCCAAGTCATGCTTGCTTGAGTTCAAAGATTAAGCTTTCCATCATACCTCGAGCCTCCTATACATGACTCTGTCCCAGAAAAATAGCGCTAGAATACCCACTGATCAAAAACTTCATTAAAGTCCAGAGTATCCAGGAACTCCATGCCATCCGCCGCCCAGGAACTGATATAGTCTTCTTCCGCTGGGGCAGTCATGTCCATATCAATCGTCGCCGCATCCGCCCTGGTCGAGGAGACCGGTAGCCGCGATTCCAGGACTTCGTCGAGAATATTGGTGAACATTTTGCTCGCACGCTCAAACAGCGAGTGATTGATGTTCGATGTAATCGGCCGAGCCATGGCTTCTATATGCGAAATAAAGACGCTTAGATTACGGATCAGCTCTGCCCTAGAGCCGCTATAGGGGATAGGGTTGCCGGTTCGAGCTTGTGTTTGGAGGGCTTTGATGAGGGTGCTGGCGCTGGAAAAACCGTACAGGACCATCTGTACTACGTGTTAGTGGGTGCGCCTGGGGTATGAGTTGGACTCGAATGCTCACTATAGAGTTCAGGTCGCTTCGGATATCAATTGCAGGCCCTTGCTGCCTCTCTAGCAACAGGACAAGAGATAAAATTTCCGAACATACGTCGAGTAAGGCGCGTTCAGCAGAGGAGTCGTGCTGGATGAGGAGCCTTTGTATGAGGAACATGCTGTACAGGTATACCAGGTAGGTGGCGATTATCATGATGCGGACCCCAATGTGAAGGTCATCGTCCCAGTTGCAGGTTGTATAACGTAGGTGAGCTGGCGCTGAGTTCCAGATCTCGGTACAGCGAGTGGAAATATGTCTAGCCAAGATTTGAATGAGCAAGAGATGGAGAAGTGTTGATTTGCGGTGCTTCTCACCTTAGTCTTCCAGCAGCTTCATTATCTACAGGTCGTAGAGACAATTCTAATATCTCCTCTCGAAAAGAGATAAGAAAATATCGGATTCTATACCAGGAGGCGCGGCGGAAGGTGGTATCAGCATTCCAGCCCTCGTCATCTAGCTCCCGCACGGCTTGCTCGAGGTCTTGCTCGTCGCCTAGCAAAGCCTCGTCGCTGATATCTAGAGGTGGTTTGCAGTCGGAATGTCTCCATGAAACACGCGGTGGACGCCCGAAGAATGTTGCCACGTTCTTATCATTGTAGTATAAACCCGCGTACAATCTTCGCCGTAGCTCTCGCAAGAACGTAGGTATGCCTTGTATTTTATGGTTGTTGCAATCACGATGCAAACCTAGCTCAAAGATGCAGCTAGACAGTTCTCCGAGCCGATTCCAAGTTGGAGAGCCTGTATAGTAGACAGCGTCAGCATTTATATTCATATGGTTCAAAAGTTGCTGGGCTGTGAGTAGTATATGCTGAACCTACTGGAGTCACCGTGGAACATGCAAGATAGCAGCCAGTTCTCATATAGCATCCAAGTTGTCAAGTCACTCACAGGAGTCAACATTCTGCACACTTGCACGGCTGTTTCGCTTGCTGTCAACATCATCCTGGAGAATTTTATACGGTCTGTATATGCAGTGCCAGTAGACACAGGGAACTTGTCGAGCAGAAAGCCGAAAAAGCTAGCCCGTCCGGCAATGGCATATATTATGCCTATGATCTCTAAGCGCATTTGGTTACCACTGAACAGTTTGTGGAAGTTGTTTCCCTTGACATCAGATGGCACTTGCAGTCTTTGCGCTGTGCTTTCCAGAATCTGGGTGGTCTTCTCATGTAAGGTTTGCGGTGTCTCGTTCTCTTTTATATATCCCCGGATTTCGGTCATGAAACTGAAGGCGATTGCAGTAGGCAGTACAGCAGATTGAGTCACACCATAGAAGGCGTACACCAATTGCTCAATTATTGGGCCTTCGGTCAGTATACGTAACATCTTGGTGATCTCAGATACCCAGTATGAAGGTAAGATGGAGTGTCTGTTTCCGGACACTTGGGAGTCATTACTCGAGGGCGTCGGTGCACTTTCTGTGTTGACAGCAAAGGCAGACACAAAACTGGTTGGGCCGAAGTAGCCTGGAGGCTGAGACTGGTCGGTTCCTGGACTTCGAATCGTTATCCCGACGGACGACGGCGTAGGCGACGCTGCTCGGGACGCCTTTCGACCGGGGTTTCTCGCGGACCGCGAGATTCGCCCTGTGCCCAACAGACGGGCTGGAGAAGCTCGGTCTCCTGTCAAGGGAGCTGGATGGTAATAACATTGATTCGCTCTATTGCGTTTCTGGCACCTGCCACAGACAGGGAGTTCATGGTCGCATCGCACCTTATCCTTTCGGCAGGGCTCACAGGACGCGGCTTGGCCATTGCGGCGGCGTGAGCTCATCTCAATTACGAAAATTGAGAAGTAGTGGGTTGAGGAGAGGAGGTTCAAGTCAAAGTAGCGGTTCAGATATCCTTCGGGGTTGGGGGCTCGGGGTTCGGAGTCCGGAGTTCGGGGTTCAACTATCCACGCTATTGAAATGTAACCTTGGAGGTCCTTGCCAATTCGAGCCTTTTCCATTTAGTAGATATTAGGATAAAATGAGATCGTTAGTGGACTGGAGGATTATTTTGGAACTATATCGAGTTGTGTTCACGCAACATGATCGATATAGCTTCCCATGGCCGGTGCCGGGATTACTACCTAGATACCTCTTTGGAAGTAAGAACGTCAAGCCAAGGAAGCCAGAACACAGACTGTAAAAGCAAATACAAGAAATAAGAACGTCAAGGCAACCTTAAGTCCCACACTACCATGACCCAAGTCCCTTGTCCAGATAACCACGTACAATGGAACCAGGAAGCATACCAAAAGAGCGATCCACATAGGCTTCTTCAGCTTCTTCAACTTCTTTAGGTTCTGTGGCTTGCTCAGCGACTTGATCTGAGAATTAAGGCAAGATACAAGCCACGGGAAAACCGCTCTGTTCGGGATCGGGGCGCCGGGTGGGATGGAAGCCCATATCCGGATGGAGGTTAGATAGGCTTGTTTTTGGCGGTGGACCCATGTACTGCGCGCCATAGCGCGTAGGGCGTAAGTGGTTGCGCTCAGGGAAAGGGCAAAAGCAATAAAGTGGCTAACAGGGACGGGGTTGGAGAGTTGTTGGATCTGCATTGAGAAAAGAGAGGCCGCGAAGGAGAGCGGGATGAATAGGAATGCGAGCTCCGTTAGGCGGGTGATGCTTTCGGTTTCGAGAATAGCGCGGTGAGACTCTATAAACTGCAGCGTACCAGTGATTGCGTTGGACGCTTCTTTTAGACCTTGAATGGTGTCCTCGAAGTGCTGGCTTAGCTTATCGACGGTTTCGTGTTGCGGGTCCTTGCGGCTGCCTCGGCATAAAGTTAGCAATTCCCCAAGGGAGTCTGTTAGATCCCGACTCAGGGTTGAGAGATGCGCAAGGGCTGAAGCTATGAATTTTCGCATAGCGAGGATATCCTCAAGTTCAGCGTCTTGAGATGCCGTTGACTGCACGATATCCTTTTGTACACGGTCTAGAAGGTGGAGGAGACCCAGAGTATCGGATTCAACGAATTGAAAGAGGTGGATCAAAGGAAGGTGCCCGCAAGGAACTGGTGTGGGTGTGGAAACCTGGTTGTAGGGGTCGGAGTTCTGTTCGAGGCACATCATGGTAGAGTAGTGGGTGTTGTAAATATTTTCTAAGTATTCCTTGCGTACATCCGCGATGCTCGCTGTGTTAAAATTGGGTGGGAAGCGGGGAATGAGACCTTTGTAGAGATCGACTTCTTCGATTGTCGCCGACAGCGGGGGATAATAGAACGTCTGTTGAATATTGCCAGCTTCTTCTGTCCAGGTTGCTGTCTGCGCTTTCGGGACGGCGTCTAAAAGCATAATGACTTGAGGAGGATAGACGTAGTCAGCGCAAGCTTCCAGATGTTGGCCGATGTAATTAGATGATCCACTCACTGTATCGATATCCCTTTCGCATAGTCCGGTATATTGAAACCCGCTCTTCAATCGCAAGGAGACCCTTGGCAGCAATGCTGGAGCTCGCAGAGAGGTCCCACTCGGGACGACGTACACTTGAGAGGGCACGCGCCCCGTGAATGGTGTAAAAAAGCTCCGGTTTCCCCTTCTCGCCCTTCTCATAGTGTTCTTCGCGCCTTACGAGCTTGTACCCGTCGATTGCCCCCCGGCGTCTGGTTGCGGCTTTGGAGTGTTTAGCGTGCGAAACAGGTCTGTACCATCGAAACGATAGATATGGTAGCGGCAAGTTCCAGGTGGTCCATTGAACACATTGGTTGGAGTCGCATGCAGACACGTCAAAGCTGTTCATATGATCCAGGAAGAACTGCGGTTCAATGCCAAAGATCCCACCAAGCGTAAACCACAAGTTGGTGTCGATGTCCTCGATTAGCACGTATCGAGTGCTGATATCTTGCAAACCCCCGTCTAGCCATTGGGCTAAGTGATGCGGATCCCTGAGCATGGGCCCCTCGGTCAGCTTTGACAGACGGCCGTAGCCTGTGTGGGCGAAATCGATGAGGGTGACGGCCACGTTGCCATGAAACTCCCGGCATAGTCGATCATAGCCAGGGACGGTTCCGGACCGCTGCCTGATGTTTTCGGCGTAGCGCTCCTTCGCGAGTGAGGCCATGAAGGTGTATAGTTGCTCTGCAAGGATGACATCGGTTTGAATGCCCCGCTTCTCAAGTGGACTGTACGACCTGAGCATGGAACGGACAAATTGACCCCTCCGTAGAAACGTAATCATCGGGCAGCCTTACAACCACATAATCGTAATACGCGCTCAAGGTTCCTCATCGCTTAACCGTCTCAGTAACTTCAAACTCAAAATCATGACACCAACCCCGCAGACTACCAGTAGATTTGCCGCGAGAGCTCCCCAGCCCAACCCCATTGCTACATCACCCACGCCGCCCGTGACGGCACCGCCGAATGCCGCCTCTGTTGTGGCAGCCTGCGCCACCGCGGCTATATGCTGCCATAGTATTGCAGTGATCAAAACTAGTGCTGCGAGGGTCTGGAATGCCAGAACAAGCTGGGTCAGAGGGCGCGAAGGAAAAGGCGCCACCTCAACGATTATACTTCCCGATTCATCCACTCCGTCGTGCCCTCCTGGGAATAAAGCCATGGTACAGATGCTGAGGAAGAGCAGGACTATTGATATGATGCTGAGGACCAGTTAGTGGTTTTCTTCGTCGGTTTTGACTTCAGGGTGGTGACCTACATCATCATGGAGACAATGACTTGATCCCGGAAGTTGTCTGCAACTGCCAGTACATTGAGCGGGTCGTTCGATGCATTGATAACCACTGCTAGGGTCTTTGCACTTGACTGGCAGATCCAGCCAGTCAACTGCCCGTCTACATTTGTTGCCATACATATCCCGAAATACCCTACCCGGGCGACAAGGTCTCCTGTTGAGCTGACATTGGCAACCAGCGAGTAGAACGAGGGGGATGAGACCTCTTCTCCACTTCTCATGCTGGAATTGGTGGACTGAACATAGGATAGCTCGAGAATATAAATGTTGTGCATGGATTGCGACGAGCAACCTGCGACAACGAGTGCTGAATTCGGGCTGTCAGTACCTGTGACAGTTGGGATTTCATAATGCACTCACACAGGAAAATGATTGCTACCATAGTGATGAACATGAGTACGTGGTGGAATCCTATCATAGGCACAAAACGGCCTGCCCTTCTTAGCACCGGTGGACTTATCTCCCACCAGCGGTTAGAACCCTCGTCATCCACATGCGAATCACTTTCGCTGCCTGACCGCGAGGGTCGACTAAGAAGAACGCTTGCAGCAGTGACTTCTTCGTCTGCCTCGTCTCCAATGCCCTGTACTGGCTCATCCTGATAGAATTCTTGCTCGTCAGGCTGCTGCTCGTCTTCTGATGGCTGCTGCTCCCTTTTGCGCCACTTCGCTTTCAGCTTTTGACGCAGTCCCAGTTTCGGCAACGGTAGCCGTAAGAACGGTGGTTGGCTTCCGGGCAAGCCACCATGGGCTGGGTGTACATCGTCGTGAACTGACGGTGGGGTTGCTTGAGACTGAGCCTCAGGCTCAGGTTGTGTCTCGATTTCTTGCATCCTCCTGCCTCTATTTGCAATAGATGACCGAGGTATGTAAGATGGACTTTAAATGGAATGGACATCGTATTATCTGCTTACCCCTCAAGCCTACCTTGCTCACAAGGTCACGTGGGTCTCAAGCAGCACTGCTCTCCTACTTAGTATAACCTTGGAAGAAGGCAATGCCATGGTGCCAGTAGTTTTTTGCTCGGTATGTACACTTATCGTGGCATCAGTTTGCTGGAATAGGTATTGCACAGAATGCTCTCCCTTAAAAAATCAGTAAATCAACCTTGCGCCTACCAGTCATGCAATCATTATGCGGGTATCTCTGCCAACTCCGAAATAATCTCATGTAATGCAGTACAAACCCAAGTTTCCCGAAGCGTTAGATCTGATCAAATTAGTGATCGAAACTACACAATGAAGACAAGGGACTTACTAGTCTGAGAGGCATTCGTGCTGGTAGGCGGCCGTTGTGAAGGAGCATCGCAATGTTCTTGTTCGGAGTAGCCTGCAGCTTGCGGTAGGCCTCGCGAATATGTCTTGGCTCCACCGGCGTACGCCCTTCTTCTGGGGGGTCGAAGAGACCAGTCTCGCGCTTGCGTTTCTTGGTATCTTCGGCTCCATTTTCTCCTCCGCCGCGACGATTTTTCTCGCGGTCTTCGCGTTCTTTGACCTTGAGGGCTTCCTCCGTAAGGGTCTGCACAATTTCAAAAGTCAAAAAGCCGAGGATGTCGACAATATCATCGTTGGGCTTCGACTCGGTGACTATTCCAAAACCAGCCCACTCCCTGAAGCGCTTGCTCTTGCGGTATGTGAACGATGCCTGGCGACATTCAGACCAGAAAACATATTCCTCCCTAGTCATGTGTTTTGTTCGCTCATCTGCGGCGGCAAGTCGCTGGAGGGTCGCATAGTTCTGTTCCTCCTCTTCTTCGTCTTCCTCGTCATCTCTCTCTGGAACTTGAACCGAGTAAAAGCTGTTGACATCCCACGCGAGTCCAACACGCGCTTTCTTGTTCTTTGGCTTAGAGGCGACGTCCTGGGGTCCGGCAACCACACCACCAGCCAATTGATCGTCGGCTCCGGCGAAGTCAGCGGCATCAGCACCACCCTTGTCGTCAGAATCTTTCACGTTCTTGCGGACATCCTTCCATGATAGGAAAGTCTTTAGGCGAGACACTTTAGCCTTGTCATGGCGAATCAGAAAGATTAAATCATCAGTAGAGATAGACCGAACTCCACGGCGAGTAGCCAAGGCTGTACTGCGAGCGAGCTACACATGTGTTAGTCGGTGCCGACATCGGGGTCCGCACAGTAACTCACAAGCTCCACGACTTGCTGTCGCACAATATCTTCGATAAGAGTAGTGGTCTCAATTGAAGGTTCGGCAGTTTCTCCAGAGACAAACATCATCTGGCGGATCAAGTTAGCCATTGTGGCTGCGAACATTTCTTTAGTTTCAAAGATATCATCAGCTGAATCGAAAGCTTTATCCTCATCCTCGACCTGAGAGACGACTCTCGCACATAACTCTGCATGATCGGTGTTTACTGAGGGAGCGCTGCTTGCGTCCGACTCAAAATGTGATGAAAGCACGCTCTCGGTCTCGAGATCGGTCTCGGAGTCGACACTTTGAGTTTGAGCAGACTGCCCTTGAGAAACCATTGTAGTTCATGGGATGAGAACCCAGACGGCAGTCCAAAGGGAAGAAATCGCATGGTATTTATAGACCAGGATGTTGTTGCTCAAATCTGGTAGTGAGAACATTACTGGTAATGTTCTCACTATACGACGGAGGCACGTCGTATCTGAAACACCTGCTCCTACATCTCGTGCTGTGTGGAAATTTGCGCTGTCCAGAATAAAAGGAGCAAATCAAGGAGATGTCTTACCTGCTGGATCTCCTGGCGGTACTTCGGAGTGCGATCAGACATATTGCGAATCTAGGACCTTAAGTCCAACACGTAGTTCGTACGAGATCTAAGCAGAAAGCGCGATATTTTGCTTGAGAAGGGGTGGTCAGGCTCAGCCTAAACTTGAGTTTAAAAATACACTAGTTAATGATATCTGACCATTGTTAGATCGAAGTCTCATTCACCTGCAGCCCTGGAGCCTCCATGCGGGCCCTAGGTAGGTATTGGTCACAGGATCATATGTTTCTCCGCCCTCCGCCCCATGCCCCGATTCACATGGTGGGGTGCCCAAAACTTTTGATCAACGCTCAATTGATTGATTCAACCATCGAACGCACAATGCTTTATCTTGTGGGACTGGGTCTTGCCGATGAAAGGGACATCACTGTCCGCGGCCTTGAGGTGGTGAAAAAGGCCGAGCGAGTCTACCTCGAAGCTTACACGGCCATCCTCCTGGTCGATAAAGCGAAACTAGTGAGTCTCACAAACAATACCCATTCTCGTCCTTGTCTTTTGTTTGACATGTCAGCTAATGATTGATCGCATAGTAGGAAGCATTCTATGGACGTCCTGTTATTGAAGCCGACCGAGAACTCGTCGAGACCGGTAGCGACGACATCCTCGCAGATGCGGACAAGGTTGATGTAGCCTTCCTCGTGGTCGGCGATCCATTCGGGTACGTATTCTAGCGTCTAGGGATCAGGTTCTCGCCCTAATCTGGGTTTGGGCATACAGAGCTACAACACATACCGACCTCGTCCTTCGCGCGCGTGAACTCGGCATCGAGTCCAAGGTCATCCCGAACGCATCGATCATGTCCGGAATTGGCTGCACAGGTCTTCAGCTGTACAACTTTGGCCAGACAGTGAGCATGGTCTTCTTCACTGAGACATGGAAGCCGTCCTCGTATTACGACCGAGTCAAGGAGAACGTGCAGATCGGACTCCACACCCTCGTACTGCTGGACATCAAGGTCAAGGAACAGTCACTGGAGAACATGGCCAGAGGACGCTTGATCTATGAGCCTCCGAGGTTTATGACCGTCGCGCAATGCGCCGCCCAGATGTTGGATACCGAAGAGGAACGACAAGAGGGTGTCTGGGGACCAGACAGTCTTGCCGTGGGTGCTGCGCGGGTCGGTGCGGAAGACCAGAAGCTGGTTGCGGGAACTCTGCAGGAACTGAGCCAGGTTGAGATGGGCCCGCCGCTGCACAGTCTGGTCCTGCTCGGCCGAAGAGCGCATGACTTGGAGAAGGATTATATTCGCCAGTTTGCCGTGAATGAGGCTACGTTCGACGCCAGTTGGAAGAAAGGAGGATATGGTTCCAGTTGATTCTGACCAAGAAAAAATATATCCTGACATGAAATAATGCAAATGTCCGCCCATAGAAACTGAATACATAACGAGATCAAGACTCCCACAGACACCATCCCGCTGATCGATATAAGCTTCATTTCCGCTGTTGAAAATCATCACTCGTAATATTAAACTCGTACAACGATCACGAAAACCTTTTGCCGAAGAATCGCGTTAAAGTTTCGGGGAGCCGTATCTATACAATTCGCAAAGCCGCATCGATCAGCACAAACTCATGCCAGATAATCAGTAGCCACACGTGCAAACTTACCGTTGGCGTTGACGGCGCGCCACTCGACGATCCATCACGGTCATACTCGTCATCATCATCATCGTAATCATCATCCACCATCATTTCATCCTCATCCTCGTCAGGAGGAAAATACCGTTCCGGATCCCCATTATATACAATCCACCATCCAATCCTCTCCCCAGCCGCATATTTGTCGCGAAATTTTGTGAGCGCCTCGGCGCTCGTTGGATCCAGTGGGTTCTCCTGGAAGATCTCCGTATTCCAGGCGCTCCCTGCATTCGGAGACCCGGCCTCGGGTATACTGATCACTTTCGCAGCAGCGTACGCATAAGGCTTGCTGACAGCCTCGTCGCTCTCGTCCTCGGGGTCATACTGTTCGATGAAGCGCAGTTCGGGGAGATTCGACACGATATCCGGTTCCGTCTTCTTGAATGAATCGAGCAGCAGTTTATTCGTGATCGGTCGTTGGACGTATTCCGCCGTCGCGTCTTCTAGGTTGTGCAGGACGATGTAGACTCGTATTCCGGTGAAACCAGCCCGGGGCCACCGGAAGCCGTATAGCATGTAGACCGGCATGGTGAGACAGGCCTCGGCGCTGGGATTGAGTCTGGTAAGGGTAAAAGGAGTGGAAGGGAGCGGGTAGAAGCCCAGATGACCCGATGCGATTCTTGAGCAATCATATTAGACCAGGGAGGGGTTTAGATGTCACCATTCTGTGGCGTCGAACCTCGCCGGTATGGAGCACTCGGACTGGCTGGGGTGTGGGCGGGATTGAATGGTCGTTTGATCCCTCATCGGAGAAGCCGTTAACGGATCCTTGGCGTTGTGTCAAACTATATTTAACCTTTTTCTACTCTACCTGTCTATTGGAATACGAGCTTAGAACTGAGCACAGTGACAATTATCGACGAGGAGGATTGTCTTTCTGATCCCATAGTCGAGATCATGCCCCAGCGCTGTACATAAGCACGAGGGGGCCTGCATTAATGCTTAGCAGCGCTCCCAATAATAGATGACAGGTTGAAAAACGTTGAAGGCGGTGGTGGCCGGCAGTATCGCGCGATTAGCCCCATCGATGCGGAGTTAACTGCCAGCTCCAGCTTCGACGCCGAGCAGCATTCCTTGTTCGTGGAACTCGCGCGGAGCACTGCGGACCCATCATACAAGATGGTTCTTTCTTTCATAATTGTTCAGAATCGCCAGTGAGTGTTTCCTGCGTTGCCTGCGTAGTGCGGGGCTCAACAGCTAACAGCGGGTGAACAGGGGCAAAACCCGACTTGCGAAGTGGTATGCGCCGTACAGTGTAAGTCGCCCATGAAGTGCGGCAGTAAGTCGACAACGGACTAATAGCGATGCTTGGTTGAAGGACGAGGAGAAAGTGAAGCTTAAAGGAGAGGTTCGTTCTGGTCGGCCCCTTGCGACCTGCCGGGTCCCTGCATCTTCGGAGGATTAACTGTCCTAGGTTCATCGCTTGGTAGCCCCTCGGGATCAGAAGTATCAGTCGAACTTTGTCGAGTTCAAGCGAAGCACGAAAATCGTTTACCGGCGATATGCGGGTCTTTTCTTCTGCGCATGCGTCGACGCGACGGACAATGAGCTAGCGTACCTCGAGGCCATCCATTTCTTTGTCGAGGTCCTGGATCAATTCTTTGGCAATGTGTGCGAGCTGGACTTGGTTTTCAACTTCTACAAGGTTGGTGATGGCGGATTGGGTCCCCTGGGGAGAGTGTTGAACAGCTAGCTAACTGTGCTTGCGGTCGCACAGGTATATGCGATTCTGGACGAAGTTTTCCTAGCTGGGGAGATAGAAGAGACCAGCAAACAAGTTGTCTTGACGAGGTTAGAGCATCTGGATAAATTGGAGTGAGCAGGGGGTTTTAATTGGGGCAAAAGACCGCGGCCTGCATATATGGGATTTGCATGAGTGACCTATGGTTATGGTCATCGCTGGAGTTATGGGCGTCCTCTGCTTATATCATTGTCGAGTGTCTCGCAGGTCAGATTTGGGGTCTGGCACAACTTACACTTTATACCCTCTTTCTTTCGACATACCTTATTCTGCATATATTCCCCAGTCCCCATGACAATGGTGCACATGTCAACCAGTCAAATTCGAGTAATGAAATCATCAATAACGCCTAGCCTTGAGCTCTCGAGACCCTTTGAGTGCTGCCTAGCGCTCAACAGCCGAAATTGTTGCCGTGTCTCAGACAAGCTCAATAGTCTCCATATCAGCCCTATGTATCGGACGGAGTCCGCGGACGATCGAATATCAATATCAAAATCGATCGCTGGTGCAATTTAAACTAAGACATGGGGTTAGCCTAAGAGAACTCTGTTTGGACGACCAAGGATTGAAAAGTGGCCGTCTTATCCCAGAGCGGATTTAGTGAAAGTGAGGTGATCGCGAGCGACAATTGCGAGAGTGCAGTTCAGCTTGACAACATAGCTTGGCAACAATACTTTAAATGCACCTCATCGCTCACCGAGGCCCCTGATACTTCTTCAAGTCTGCTTGGATTGTTGCTTCGATTGCTTTGTTGTCCTGTCTTCGATGTGATCTGCCATTGTTGCAATGCCTTCGCAGCGACTGGACGATCGGGTCTCTACCGACCGACAGGGCTGAGACCCTGAACCCAACACCGGACGCCCTGTCTTACTCCGTACACTACGTCGCTGAAGTCGATGAATGCTACACGCGACCACGAGCACATGATTTGGTGCATTCAGAAGTGTTAGCAAAATGGCCGGTCAACCCGGCCTGTCTGATGATTTCTCACTGAATCGTCGCTGAAATCCAGCTCGCTGCCAACTCGCCGGAAATGACACGGGCTCCTCGAGCCACGACGACCAAGTCTGGCTTTCCACAGTCACTACTCCGTACAGCATCTCAAAATGGAAAGGAAAACGACCCGGCGATCCTCATCTAATCGAATCGTCCTATTAGCTACGAGCTACGGATGTCCGATAACACGCTCTTTTTTCTCGCAGAGGGCGAGTCTGAGAAAAATGAATTGAGGCCTTGGCTTCAAGGTCACTGATCCTTCGATGCAACTGTCTCATATCCTGATCTTTCCATCAATCATACGGACACGGTGGAGATTGCATCGAAACTCTTAACACGACTCACGAGATAAGTTACCCCTGAGGCGACTCGGTTCCAAGGATTGAGCGGCGGGGCTGCTCCTGGTAACTTGGATACTAGCGTTCAACACGAGGTGTCAAACTTTGTTGGCGACGAGGTTCGCTTACCGGACTTCGAGATATTGGAGGATGAGAAACTTGAGGACTCAGAGCAGCCTCACGGCCCTCTCTAAATCACCGCCAGCGCTCCTGGGATATGATAGATTACGAATTTGAAACCATGCGGCTGGCTGTTTCAATCACATCGCCTTGTCGCTGTCGCTGTCGCTGAGCGCTGCTACGTACTACTTTTTCAGATCGATGTCGGTGACTCGGTATCGTCTTGAAAATAACAAGCAAACTGACCCCGCTCGGATTTATCAATTGACACAGCATCGGACCGCGGCGAGAGTTTCCTATGACGGATATGGTGAACAAAACGAAGGGGATCTTCTGCTGAGCGAGCTTCATTCTGGTCAGTTACCGGTGTCGTCGTCGCCCAGTGGAGAGTTGCGTTTCAGCGATTGTCGTCGCATGGACCATATTTTGCAAATCGAGACGGGATACGGAGAGTGTACGCGTCAGTTCGGGATTGACGGTGGACACACTGCGCAGGCTGGGGAGATTCCAGAATCACATTTGCGAGCCAGAGCCTACGCGGCCGATCTCCGGGTTCGCTGATGGGAGGTCTTGGCAGTCCCCCCATAGTCCCAGGCCTCTAATGATCCACCAAGGCTGTAAGGCCACTCACAACACAGCGTTTCGGATAGGTGGGCTCCCGCACCGCGCTTCAGAGTTATGGCCAGTCTTTCTCGGCTATCATCTACATCCTACCACTGGATGCGCTCCCCTGACAATCATGGCCTTTTACGAAGCCTTACATGCTTGTTTTTCTCACCATGCTTCAACAATGCAGCCTTCTCTTTGGCAGCACTCCAAACGGACTACAGTCTATAGACTGCAGAGTCAAGGCGGAATGGTAGGAAACAAGAAATGCGGGACGCACTGACGATCATGGACAGCGGCTGGGGGCCGTTTCGTACTGATGGGCAACTTGTTACAAGATATTGCGATTGTCAAATGAAGTCAAGCGCTCTGCCATGCGACACCCCAGTTATGCAAATCCAGACTTTAGGGTCCCAGAAGACTTGCCACATGAGGATTGGCTGCTTTGGCTTCGTCGCCGGCTATTTTGGCTTTAATGTCAATTTATTACAATTACGCACTCTCCAGTTTCAACGCCACTCGTTCGGAGTTTACAGCGCTAGCTGATCTTACACTTACGGCACCCAGTTGATGACTTATCGAGAGCCCAGGGACTTTATTTATCTCTGGTCAACCCGGTCTCCTTTTCGTTTCTTCAGGCCTGTTTATCTTGTTGTTCCTTCAAAGACTGTTTCTTCATTGTCAACCTTCTTTCCTCAAAGTTGTGGTCCTTCATTTGAACCCTGAACCATCTACTCTCGTTGGCACACCAGTACGACGCTTGACGCATTCGATTCCAGAACAACAAAATGTCTATGATGCTCTCCGATAACCTGGCTCCCCAGCCAGCCACCGATATCTTCACCAGCGACACCTGCATCGACAGGCGGCAATGCCACCGCACTGTGCCTATGAAGGTGCTCGCTCTCGGCGTTGGCCGAACGGGAACAGCTTGTATGTTGAAGCTTAGACACTACTGTGCTTGACCCTGACTAACCGGTCTCCGCTGAATAGCCCTTCGCATTGCCCTTGAACGCCTGGGCTACCTCAAGTGTTACCACATGATGTCCGCCAGTATGGAAAACCCTCCAGACTGCTTAATGTGGCACGATGCTCTCAACGCCAAGTACGACGGCGTTGGTGAATTCGGCCGCAAAGAGTGGGATCAGCTTCTGGGAGACTGCCAGGTAAATACAGATCCTGCCGCATTGATATAAATACGTTCATGAGCATTAACCTGTCCCTAGGCTGTTTGCGACTGGCCCGCCTGCGCTTTCGCTAAGGAGCTGATCGAAGCTTACCCTAACGCAAAGGTCATTCTGACCACCCGTGAAGTCGATTCATGGCACGCATCCGTCATGAAGACCGTCTACTGGCGTGTATCCGACCCCGAGCATAGCTTCGTCTCGAACTTCAGCTGGGCCGCCAGCATGTACTACCCCATGCTGAACAAGTTCTTCAACACCTTTTTCCGTGGTGACTTTCCCAACAAGGGCAAGCAAGTCTACGAAGATCACGTCGCAGAAGTCCGCAGCCTCGTTCCCCCAGAGAGACTCCTCGAATACAAGATCAGCGACGGCTGGGCCCCGCTGTGCGAGTTCCTTGGCGAGGAAGTCCCTGACACTCCCTTCCCCCGCGGAAACGACATGGCCGACTTCTTCAAGCGCTGCCGTGGCCGCAACAGGCGCCAGATGGCCAACGCTGCTCTTCAGGCCATCACCATGGGCGGTGCTATCATCGCCGCTGGGTTCGCTGCTACCATGGCGTTCAAGCGTTTCTCTCGATGAAATGTTTACGTTCTTTGATTTTTACTTTCGTTTACTTTTCTGCACCCGTGGTCGACGCTGGACGTGGCCATGGATTTTAAGCCATTCATACCTTCGGCTCTGGGACTTGCCTATTGTTCTTTTCACACCCAGCAGCTTGATAATATCTTGCATTTGTCTGTCGTTATACCTTGTTTATTATACCTGTCAGCGGTCTTCTTGGGGTTTACCTAATCACTCATGTATCTCAACGACTTGTTATTGGAGATATCACAAAAGGAAAGGAAAATAAATTCTATAATGTCCAAAATACGGAGTAACTCCATCTCTCATACCACCGTTACCCCACTGCTTGGCCCTTGGCCACCAGGCAGCAAGCGAAATGAACAGATATGGCCAAAAACAACGCTCGCAAACGGACAGCAGCCGAGGGCCCGAGAGCTTGGCCAGGGTCAATGCAGTGAAACATTGAGTAACAGATGCACGAATGATCGCACAGCAGCGACGTCGCGCCCTACGAGGCTATCTGCGGGTTGGCATCGGGGTTACTATAGCGGGCTTGGCGTAAGCCTCCTACAGACAACAACTGGGTAACAAGGCACTTCGGGTGTAGCTCTGTACATGATTGGTCATGAGTGTTGTTCGTTCTGATAACCATGATACTCCGTAGTATAGTGTAACCAATGATAACAAGCTTTACAACTAAGCGTGTTCGTGAACGACAATGCTTTCATACCTGGGCTTCCGGGGCAGGAGTTCGCATCGTTCAGCTGCCTACATAGTTGGCATGCTGTACTTCTTTTGGTGGATACATCATCTATCTAGCCGCCAGCGTCGTCGTATATATATGTAAGATGACGACTTCATCATGAAAGTCCCACGAGCCTATTGAACACTAGCTACTCCAGGAAGCAGTGCAGGGGCCGTAATTCATATAGAGATAGCAAATGACCGAGCAGCGCTTCATGCTGCGCCTGCAGGTGGCATAAGGTGCATGCTGCGGCTGGCATAAGTTGCATAACATGAGTCTCCTACTCCTGAGTAGTGGTCCACCGGCATTTGGTCCCAGATCAGTAGTGACAGGCTGACAGCAGATGTCATTGCTTTGCTATTTTAATAGAAAAGTTCCACTGTCTACAGGCTGCGTACTCCAGTTCCTCGTACTCGAAAATCAATCTCATACAGGACTCTGGGTGTTTCTTGGCACTCTCAGCCACAACCGACAGACTCCGGAGAGCATCTTGCCATCTTCATCCTTCCGCACTTCCGCGCAAGCCACTGATTTTTCTATGCTGACTAGATGAATTCAGCAAGCGCGCTTACGTTGCAGCAGGAAATAGCCCTTGATACTCGGAATTAAGAGGAGTCAACGTATGGCTGGCGACGAGTCAAGCCTCAAGCCTCGGACTTCGACGGTTGACGCGGCCCAGCCATGTGTCCGGGCCCATGGTTAGTGAGAGTGGGACTACAGTCTGGACTGAGCTCCCCACGATCAGTATTTACCGTACCTACACCGTTCGGTTATTTTCATCTTCTCACATGTTATGCATGCAAGCCACAGCGCCTCTTCTGCGGACTATACGTACTAACCTCGACTCACGCTGCACATCTCAAAAAGCAGAAAACAAGTGACGTCGGACTCGGTCGTTTATACTGATGTCTGCTAGCGCAATCACAGCCAGGTGGAGGCCGCAGCAAATGTTTTAAAACCGCCAATCACCACTGTCGATGAAGCAGCTCTAAAGCAACCGGAGTTTCCAACCGGGTGTGGGGCAGCTTCGTTGTCGGATGATTCGCAGTTCGCGCCTCGTATTATGCTTGCGAACAGGTTGACGAGGCAGTCGACGCTACGGCTGCTGCTTTGCTTAAGCGCTCGAATGATGACTGGGATGTTTGGGCTTGAGGCGGCCCTGCTGGCGACTGCCGGCTGGGGCGTTCGTTCTTCTCGAACTTCTCTCTCCCCAGTTCAACTCGCGATGATCTCGATTTTCATGCTCGAAACCAACCAAACATAGCCACCCCTCGTTCTACTGACGATTGTTGCTTGTCTTAATATCATTGTGTCGATCCTTTCCTACTGCTTCTGCTCTCTATCTGGGGTTATCCCCTGCATATACGTACGTCGTACGTTGCCAGTATATTCTGCCCTCCTTATCTGGAGAGACCACGCTCCCTCTGTCCGGTTTGATGAGCAAACTGGACCGGGTGATGTGAAGGATCCATGCGTTTCCTCGCTGCCGCTTCCTTGGGAGCATTCGCCCAGTCTTTATATGCCCGCATCTCGGTTGCTTGCATCTTAATCGCGATACTTGGCGGACTACAGACGGTCTCGGCGGAAGTTGATGCTGTTTTCAAATCGGTAAGGGAGTCTGTATCTGCAGCCATGGATTGTTGCTGACAATTGCATGAACAACAGCGACCTGACCTCTACTCTCCGATCTTTACCTTCGAGCGCCGTGTACCTCAAAGTCTCTATCCGGGTTACATCTTCCTGGGACCGTATGAGGCAGCCAATTCAGGACCGTACATATACGACAATGATGGGGTATGGTTGATGATGAATCATGCATTCGCGCTAATGCTGACGATCATAGAACTTAGTGTGGAGCGGCTGGGGCAACTCCGGGCCTGGGAATGCTCACGGCATGCACGTATGCCAGTACAAGGGGAAAGACCACTTGTGTTTCTTCCAGGGAATTCAACAGAACGGATATTGCCGAGGCCATGGCGTTATCATGGATAACCATTACCACATCGTCAAGACTGTGGTCCCCGGCGGCGGTATGGCAGCGAGCGACATGCACGAGTTCAAACTAATCAACAACGGCAAAACGGCACTGATGACGGTTTACCAGCAGCGCCAGTTTGACATGAGCATATGGAACATTCAAGCGGGCATGGGCTGGTTGATGGAAAGTGTATTTCAGGAGATTGATGTGGAAAGCGGCAAAGTGCTGTTCGAATGGAGATCGCTGGACCATGTCGACCCGTCTGCTAGCTATACATACCCTGGACACACGGATACCTCGGGCACCGGGCTGGAACCGCGCTCCCCGTGGGATTACTTCCATATCAACTCGGTTGACAAGAACGCAGACGGGGACTACATTATTTCCTCACGTCACACGTGTGCAATCTATAAGATTTCGGGCCGTGACGGGTCTATAATCTGGACGTTGCACGGGGCGAATCCGACGTTTGAGAACATCAACTTTAGTTTCTCCCAGCAGCATGATGCGCGGTGGCTGAGCGAGAACTCAACCCACACGCTGCTCTCTTTGTACAACAATGGCTTTAACGGTTTCAACCGGACGCATGACTATTCTTCGGGTATGACTATCCTGATAGACCATGTGAGCAATACTGCCACTCAGCTGCGCGATTACCCGCCGCAGAATCACGACATGATCAGCTCCAGTCAGGGCAACATGCAGGTTTTGCCAAATGGAAACGTCTTCATTGGCTGGGGCAATAACGCCTACGTCTCTGAGCACGATGAGGAGGGCAATATCCTCTTATGGGGTTATATCGACAAGGGCAACATCATGAACTACCGAGCCCAGAAGTTCCAGTGGGAGGGCAATCCCACGGACATTCCGGCTTTATGGACATACTCCAGATCGAGTGACGACTCTTCTTCAACCACTTTCTACGTCAGCTGGAATGGCGCCACGCGCGTCAAACACTGGCAGTTCTACGGCACGAACAATTCCACCGGCAACTTTACACTGCTTGGGAAGACTCGAAAGGATGGATTTGAAACAACCTATATAGTTCCTGAGTTCTACCGCTACACATATGCCGAAGCTATTGATGAAACAGGAAACGTCCTCGGCAAGTCACGCGAGCAATTTACCTTTACTCCCTCGCCAGTCCTCCAGGCATACTGCGAAGAGACCAACTGCGAAAATACCCAAGCCTACGGCGTTCCTGGCGAAGAAGGCGCAAAGGCTCTTATACCCGAAGTCGGCCTCAACACTGTTCCTTGGGTGGACCCCGACAATCCCGGTGCGCATCATACCTGGGGACAGACATGGCCCCCTGTTCCCGAGGATAAGCCAGAGGCTGTCAAGACTGTTTACAGTAAGTATTCAATCGACACCATCTATAGTGCATCAAAGCTAACAGTCTAGACCAAGTAGGATGGGTCGCGCCGACGTTCGGTGTCCTTCTGGCCGTCATCGGCATCTACGTCGTGCTGCGGATGTACCGCAGACATCAGTTCTCCCGCTGGTTGAGGCGGCCATCATCCGAGCGCATGGACGGAACCAGCGAGCCGAAAGCTGCGTTTGGGGTTTCGAGTCTGCCCTGGTGGAGCTGGAGGCGATGGGTGTCTGGTGAACCACCACGATACTTTCCTTTGAGTGAGCAGGAGCAATCGCGGGACGATGGGCGAACGCGATAGTATATAGTTCTAGGATACTATAATGTTTATTTCTTGTTGTATTCAGGAAGCCCAGGGATTCTTCATTGTAGGCAAGTAAGACCGAATACGACTCGGATTTAAGGTGGCAAGCTGGCGCTTGCAGAATAATGCAGATCAAACTTGCTGCAGAAAACTGAAACGCAGCGGGCAAGGCAGTTAAAGCCGATGACAGCTCGAGATAGTGTGTATTGCAAATACAGCATTACGGTATAGTGGGGAGCGTCGCAAGCTCGGGATATCGCTCTTTAATTTTAATGCAGTTTGTCCCTAAAGCAGGCCATGACGCGTGGTAGGTTGGTAACTTGGGAGGCGCGTGGGAGGACAAAATTGGCAGACAGAAAGAGCATCACAAGTTTCCTTTTGATTAAGGAGCAAGCCATAACTTGTAAACAGAACAGAAGGAGTAACGAATGGTCTTTGGGGACTGGAACTGATTCAGTAGGCGCATTGTTGATCTTATCGATTGACTTTCAGTTCATCGCAGTAGTCAGACGAGCTTCTTCTCTCCCTCTCCCACCTCCAAGCCTCTCGTTATCTTCTTCTGCGCTTCAGCCTCTTCGATTCGTACTACTGCTATTAATACTAATACCATTTTGCCGGATACAACTCCGCCGTCCACTCTCTTCTGCTTTCTGACGTCGTCCAACCCACTAGCGCCTTCAAACGGCCCGATTACCAGCAACCTCTCACTTAGTCGCCCTGATGACTGGATCCAATCGCCAATCGCTGGGTTCCTCTGTTTCGCCTAATAACAACAGCCTGCCCTCTCCATCTATCCAAAATCCAAAGTCCCGGAATGCCCGCCACGCCCGCAACATCTCCTGGGCGACTGGTCTTGAGCCGAGCAGCGATCCCTCTTCCGACTCTCAGCAGCGCCGTCGCGGGTCCATCTTCTCTCCGTCCCTCCCACCAGAGGGCTTTTCTGAACGCGACGACGGCACCGCCGACGCAATGGCGCTCAGGAACACCTCGCTTGACTGGAACGACAGCGCCAGAGGGCATATGCGGTCACGATCTCAGAGCCAGCAACTGCCGCCCATGAACTCGGTGGAGATGTCTCCCCCACGGCCGGCACCCGTGACTTGGATGTCTCTGCCGCAGAAGAAGCAGCTGGCGCTGCTTGGTCTGTGCCGGGTGTTTGACTTTCTTCAGATTGCTTCGCTGCAAGCGTACATGTTTTACCAGCTCAAGTACTTTGATCCGAACCTTTCCGATTCCGATGTTTCGACGCAGGCCGGTATTCTTCAGGGTGCCTTTACGGCCGCCCAGTTTGCGACGGCTATTCCCTGGGGCCGCGTTGCTGATGCCGAGTGGGGTGGGCGCAGGTTCGTCCTCCTCGTTGGGCTGGTAGGGACTGCGGTCTCTTGTCTAGGCGTTGCGTTTGCAACCTCGTTCGCGCAGGCCGTGTTCTGGCGGTCCTTTGGCGGTGCCATCAACGGCACCGTGGGGATTATTCGAACTATGATTGCGGAGAATGTCAAGGAGAAGAAGTACCATTCCCGAGCATTCTTAATTCTCCCTATTGGCTTCAACATTGCCTCTCTTTTTGGGCCTGGTAAGTATGCCGTTTGATGCTTTGCCGAGTGACTGGCTGACAACTGCAGTTATGGGTGGCATGCTCTCTGATCCTGTCAGGGCGTATCCTTCGCTTTTCGGCTCTGACTCCTCATTTGGCGGTAAAGACGGCGTGCAATGGCTCATTCGTTATCCGTATGCGCTGCCCATGATGGCTAATGCATTCTTTCTCTCGTTCTGTGCCCTCTGCGTTGGCCTTGGTCTTGAAGAGGTAAACTCGCTTTTACCCCGATGTAAGCGCGGCATGCTAATATTTGCAGACTCTGGAAGCGTGCAAGGGAAAGCCTGGCCCTGGTACATATGCTCTACGGCTCATGGCTCGCGCAGTCAGAGCAGTCGTTGGCTCATCTTCGCCCCTATATCAGAGACTGCCTTTTGCCGATTACGATGAGTCTGGGCCGCTGCTGGGAAGAGCCGAGACGTACGAGCTTGAAGAAAAGGCAACAAAGGTCCCTCGTCATGCTCGTATCTTGCCATTCCGACGGATTTGGACCAAGAACGTTCTGTGCACCTTACTGGCTCAGGCATTCTTCGACTTCCAGATGGGGTAAGTTCGCCATTACACCTAGCCAGGCAACGCAGCTCATCTAACATAACTAGTGCATTCAACAACCTCTGGCTCCTCTTCCTATCTACTCCCCGCTACGACGCCAACGACCCCGCCAGTCCCGCGCAGCGCCTCCCATTCATCTTCACAGGCGGACTAGGCATGCTCCCCCAAAGCGTCGGCTTCGCAACCGCAATCCTCGGCGTCATCGGCATGATCCTCCAATTCACCATCTACCCCTCCATCAACGGCCGCCTCGGAACAGCAAAGAGCTACCAGTACTTCCTCACCCTCTTCCCCGTCGCCTACGCCTTCGCCCCGTACATCGCGCTCGCCCCTTCAAGCACGCCACCCCCAGGCCAAGCCAACGGCGGCTGGGTCTGGTTTTCTATCATTGTCGTTCTCTTCCTACAAGTCACAGCGCGCACGTTCACGCTCCCGACTTCCATCATCCTTCTCAACAATTGCTCGCCGCACCCATCTGTTCTCGGAACGATCCACGGTATTGGACAGTCCGTCTCCTCTGCTTTCCGTACGATAGGGCCCATCTTCTCCGGGTCTTGGTACGGCTATGGTCTGGAGATCGGCACTGTCGGATTCGGGTGGTGGCTGATAGCCCTCGTTTCGGTGTGTGGCTGCGTGGCCGCGATTTTCGTTTACGAGGGCTCCGGGCATGAGGTCTTTCTTCCTGGTGAAGAAGAGGAGCTGTGATTTGCTGTGTTTTTTGCCTTTCGAGTATATACTTCCCGTCTCTCTCACATTCTATTCTGGTTACTTTTTGGGTTAGTTTTCTTGTACTTTAGTTTATATGGCGGGACACGACGGGTGCATTGTCGGTGTCTTGTTGCGTTCTTTGCATCGGTTTCTTCTGTTTTATACCTCTGGCTCGGTTGGTTTGGGTATGTTATGGATGCACGAGAAAAAAAGAAATAGTGGAGGAAGCATGCGGTTTAGATCAGGACTGGATACATAATATATGCACAGATTGCCATGGCTCGTCACAACATAACAAAGCGTAAAGTAGCTGGCCATCCGCCATACATAAAAGAGATGCGGCAACGGCAAATGCATACTCCGCGATGGAAATGGGTATGGAGGATAGTATGGATTCTACCTCTTCAACGCCGCGAACCGCCTCGACAACTCATCCACATCCGGAATACCACTCTTATCCCCGCCCCCAGCTTTCGCACGCGGCTTACTAGGACTCGGGCTCGGGCTCGAGACATCCTTATCCAACCCCTTATCATCCGGAACCTTCACCCTCGGATTCGGATTATCAGATCTCGGCCCCGGCGGCGCAACGCTCACAGGACTCGAATGCGCATTGAATCCCCGTGGCGGCGTAGCCCGCGTCAACTCCGCTGTCTCTGATGCCCGTCGAACAATCTGCCCGACTCTTTCATGCTCATCCTCGAAATCGGGTAGATCTCCGCCGGCCTCTCCGCCGATATCATCGCCGTCGTCTTCGACTTGAAAATCCACGTTTATATCGTCTTCTTCGCCCCAAGACACCTTGTATGCCCTTGCAATCTCCCTCAGATAACTCTCGACCAACTCCGCGCTTGGTGGGCGGACTCGGAGCCCCTTAACTAGCCGCTCGGGAACATTCACGCCGGCGAGTTTATTTTCCGACGCAAGGGTCATGAAGTCTTTCCCGTAGCGGTCGGTGAGGAGGGAGCGGAGCATTGTGAGCTCGCGCACTTCCGCGGGGAAGCGCGACCACGCGTAGAAGATCGCGACGGATGCTTCGTCCAGCGCAGCGTCAAGGTAGTACGTTTCTGACGCGGACTCTTCCGCCCCGTCCCCCGTCCCCGTTCCCAGTGTCTCCGACGACGTATCTTTATCTTGCGCTGGAGCCGCAGGCTGTGATTGTGATGTCTGCGTCGCCTTCGCACCCCCACCAAAGAACCCAAAGAACCCCCCTCCCCCACTCCCACCACCAGCCTTCTTCTTCCCCTCCTCTATCCCCGGAGAGCCCCTTCCATGCCCCGTTCCCGACCTTCCAAGCTCCTCCCTCACCCTACTTCTGGCCCTCTGCCCGGCCTCCCCAAACGCCAACTGATCGAGGACGCCCGCGCGCGCAAGCAAAAGCTCGCAGTAGAGCTCGACCATCTCCATGACCTCGACGGCGATATCCGTCGCGATGACGTTCTCGACGCGGATGCGCGCGGAGGCATCGCGGTGGTTCTCGAGGAGCTGGGCGAGTTCGCGGCGTTGCACGACGGAGGACGCGGTGGATTTCTTTTGGAGGAGGCGGAGGCGCGGGATTAGGAGGTGGAGGGTTGAGGTTAGTTTTGCCTGTGAGGTAGGTTTGGGTTAGTATGAGGTTGTGAGTTTGGTTTGGGGGTTGGAGGGGTGGTGCGGGGTTATTTGGTGTTGGAAGTTTGCCGGGTGGGATGCGGGGGAAGGGGAAAGATTTAGGTGTATAAATAAAGCGAGATGGGACTTACTGTTTGGGGTGCTGGCGGCATTTTGTGTAATTATGTGGTTTGCAAGGTGTTGGTGGAATAGAGAGGGAGACAAGATGAGATGGGGAGCGTTGGGTCAGTAGGCAGATAGATAAGATACCGCGGCTCAACGATCGCTGATGCCTTGGGAGTCAGGCACGCATTTCTCGATGTATGGACTAGGGCTCTACAACCACGAGTAGCCAACCGCAGCCAATAAGCTGTATTTACTATGTGCAATCTTTATGACTAGAATTTAAGATTAATTTAGTTGGCGATATTTGTACATTTCCGCTTTATGAACAATGTGAAGTAAAGTATGCTCGGGTATGCACAGAGCTAAGTATGAGTATGACCAGCCAGACTGAGCTGATGAAGCGCCCGCCGTAAATACCTGGGTGAAGTTAGGTAAGGTAGTAAATCATCATCCAATCAATGTACAAGAACGTTAATCATAAGAGGTATCCCAAGAAGTAAAATCAATATCAGGTAAAGGTATAAGAGGTATCCAAGAAGTGAAGTGAAAAGGGTGTGGAAAAGGTATCCAAAAGGGAAAACGGGAACGAAGATCTGTTCCGAGGTATGGAGCTGTTGTAGGCAGTATATGCGTTTCGAAGTATATATGTGCCCATGCTGAGTAACCAGCTAGAACGTAAATGCCGCCATCGCAACAACGGCAAACAGAGCCATCATCGCATTCTGGCTGGTCTGTTGCGCGCCCGACGTCGGGCTGGGGGATTCTTCTTCCGCTTCGCTGGTTGATGAGGCGAACGCGTCGCCGTCGCCGGTCTCAACAAGCACATGCGGCTTGTAGGTGTAGTCGGGCCAGCCGGCACTGCTAGAGCCTGAAGGGGTACCGTGGCTGGAGCTGGATGGGGTGATGGACTCGGTGGAGGAGTAGGTCTTGGATTTAGTCGTGCTTTCGGTAGTCGTAGTGGTCGTGGTCGTGGTCGACTTGGTGGTGGACGAGGTGGACGTGGACGTCGAGGTCGACGTTGAAGTTGAGGTTGAGGTGCTAGTGCTGGTGCTGGTGCTAGTAGATGTGGAGGTAGAAGTAGAAGAGGTGGTGGTTTCCTCTTCTTCTTCCTCATCATCGTCCTCGTCATCACTGCTGCCGCCGCCGCTCGAGCTGTCAAAGACAACAAGCTTGGCCTTCTCGCCCTTGGGAACGGTAACCACGCAGAAGCTGGCGCCGCCGGCACCATCAGATGAAGAGCCGGTCACTTCATTGACGTCGTTCTCGGCCGGGTCGATCTTGCAGGGGAGACCATTGCAACCGCCGCCCTCGCACTCTATCTCAACACCAAATTCAGGCCGCGTGCTTCGGAAGGGAGTCGTGAGTTCCAGGTAAATAGGGTTCCATCCGATCTTTACAAAGGTGTTTCCGTCGCCGTCAGTGTTGGCGCCTGCAACGTACGCAGCCCAGTTACCCCAAGGGTTCGACGAGGTACCCCAGACACAGGCGGTCTCAGGGCTCTTTCCAGGAGGGTTGATGTAGAAGCTGGGGAGCCGTTTAGTACCGAGCAGTGAGAATTAAGACAGAATACTTACTGCGCAGCGGTCTCACACCAGTAGCTGAGATCCGGCACAGCAAGAGTGGATACACTCTCAACCAAGGTGGGAATCAGCATGGCCTCGTTACCCGGCAGGACGGTCTGACAGATCGAAACGACATCGCCGCACTTGTTGACGGCCTCCACGGAACCAGTGCCATCCTTGCAGTACGGCTCGTCGGGAAAAGGCTTTTCAATCTCGCCGTCCTCATTGCAGTACAGACCACCATTCTATATACAGTCATTATGCGCCCGCCAAGCGTTCGATTCGACAAGACAACTCACCATCGACATCGGGTAGGAGTACGACGTCGCATCCGGGTCCCATTGCATCGACACCTGGCCGGAGGGACAAGCATACGGGCAGTAATTACCCGGCTCACACGACTGGTCAGGGCTCATGGCCCATCCGGCGTTCTTTTCACCAGGTGTGACGGCGACCAGGCCAGCGTCGGTAGGGAACGCGCACGAGGAGCCCCTCTTCGCATGGACATCCTTCTTCCCGTGGTGGTGATGCGAATGGCCATGGTTGTGCTGGGCGGCTTCGACAGCGGCGGCGACGGCGAGAAAAGCGGAAGCGTAGACGAGTCTCATATTGAAGCGAATTGGGCCTGCAGTGCTTGCTGTTCGTGAAAGGAGGGAAATGCGCGACCGGAACTGATGGAAGCGAATCCACCGAAAAAGAAAAGAAGAGAAGAGAACAGGCCTCGTGGGAAGCCGAATAGGGGGATAACGAAAGACTATGGTCAGGACCCTGATAAGTGATAACGAGCGACTCGGGGGTGGGAAGGGAAAGGAAGAGAGAGAGGAACAGCCGGGGATACGAGGTTCAAAGAGGACAAGAGCCCCGAGGCCCTGGTCCTGTTGCGACCCTGTCTGGTGCAGAACCGGTTCACTTGGAATCACAGACTGCTGACAGAAAAGGGTCCACAAGGGCCCTGCACATTGCGTCTTCGGGCTTAGTCCCTCGAGGCTATTTACACCGGCTCAGGGGCAGGCCAATCAGACTCTCTGCAGTCCCCGACGGTTCGTGGATGTCGTTAAATTGACTCCATCACCGACACCAATCAGCGCCACACAAGATCACACGGCAGGATTGCTCCAAGCGCGCTCTCACTCTAACAACACCATTGCGGGCCAATAATCTGACCCAAATACGACCTTTGAGCAACCATTTCATCTATATTCCGGCCTTGGCCATACATTGCGAGCACCGTTGTCGCCATGATTGCGATTTTGACTGCACATGTACACTGAACAAGCAACCGTCCTGTCACAAAGTCTAGACCGAGCAGATCGTCACTTCCCCTACCACAATGCGACAGTCAAACTCTGAAAAGGGGCCACATGGCCAGCCTTACTCTGCTTTTAAGAAGGATTGTCCTATTGCTGCCCCAAGTTGGAGATGACGATGTTGGAACGCTAGCGGACCTGTGTCAATAGTCACTGCTAGCCCGAGTGCGGCGGAGCAGATCCGGCTGTGCTCCGTGGTCCCTTCAGAAGTTCAGGGCCTTCGCTAAACGCCTCTGCCGAGCGGGGGTCCCTGTTCGGAGAGGTTCAGCGGGTTCCGAGCGAGGCTCAGAAACGCTACCCGCGTTACTTCCACTTTACACTTATTTAAATTCCACCACCCCGGCCTAGGTAAGCCCTCCAACCAAATAAGCCCCTATACCCAAGCAGAGAATAAGAAAAGGCGCCCTCGAGCAAAGGGGGGGGGGGTCCCCCCGATGTCCCCGAAGGGGATTGAGGAGCGAGGGGGCGAGCTAGGGGTCCCCCCTTTGCGACGGGCAAGATATACCTATAAAAGATACTATAAAGGGCTTTAGTACGGAAAGGCTTAGAAATCTGCGTGGTAGTTGTGGCAGTAATAAAGAAAGGCGGAAAGTACTGGCAAATAGCTTTTCTGAGCCTTGCTCGGAGGTTCGGTGAACCTCTCCGAGCGTGGTACCCTGCCGGGCGCAATATTAAATCACTCCTCCGCGGGCTGCTGCTCCAGCTCTCTCCAGCTGTTGAACCGAGTGCTGCCTTCGCGCCATCCCCAAGCTATACAATAATGCTGTGCCAGCAACTTCCACTCCTCCATCTCGTCCAACATCTCTAAGCCCGACACCCGCTCCTTCTCCTCCTCCGCCACCCACCGCTCCCACAGGAAATCCACATCCGCTGCCGCCTGGCCCCCGTCAAAGCCATGCTCGCGGAACCGCTGCCGCTGCGCCCCCAACGACGCATACTGATGGAGCGTTTGGAGCTGAATTCCGCGAGTCGCAAGGTTTGCGACCATTGTTCGCCCAAATGCGTCATCGGGCCGGATTGGCTCGTATAGAATTAGCCCCAGTGTCTCGCTCGTTTCTGAAGCGGGGAATAGGTTATGTGTGAAGTACCGCACCACACCGGCAGCGTCGCTTGGAGAAAGATATATCAGGCAGCACTCGGATAGTAGCAACGTAGGGAGATTTGAGTCGACGAGCTCATGCAGACGATGTCCCGGATCCCGCGCGTCCAACGCATTGCTTTCTACTTTCTGCGCGAGCGTCCGTAGATCAACCGCATGGATATGGTAGGCGGGAGAGTGCAATTCATCGCCTGCGTCCGTTATTTTAACATCCTCTGGTCGCCCTAGTACACGCTGCAGCATTGGCGTGCCCCGAATGACCTTGATCTTCGCTGTATTGTTGACCGCAAAATCTAACTCGTGGTAGACGATGTCCAGCGCCGGGCGCAAGGACAACAGCCGGAAAGCCCTCGTATCAGACCCAGCGCCCAGCGAAATTATCTGCTTTTTCTTTGTTTTCCACGAAGGGTCCGAGTCCTCTGTTAATCCTAGAAATCGCGCGACAAGTTGATCAATCGCCGTCGTTCGCACGTACGTTCCTATTCACAAGTCCTCAATCAGTCTATTGTCCAACCCCATGAGATTCTTCAACCTGAAGGTAAGCACTCACCTCGATTGATAATAGGTAGTCGTCTCGTCTCCTGTCCCATAGGCGTTAATGCCCTCGCAAACGGATCTACCAGGTAGCCCAGTCCCACTGCGCTCAGCCGGGAGACGCTGGCGTCATTGTCTGTGCCCTGCACGACTCGGTCTTTGTGTCCTGAGCTAGAGGCAGAGCCATCGTGGCCACCGCGACCTCGGAATCTTCCGCGACCGCCGCCTCGACGAAGGGTGTTGAGGTTTGGGATCTGGGGTGCTGACATGGCGGGGTCATGATTAAGCTTGGTCGGGACGTGGTGGGGAGCTGTAGAGCTGTACCATTACCCGTAGAGCGGCAGCCGGTCGGGACTCGGTCGCTGGCACGCTGCAGGTGGGCGGGGTCAAATGAGACGTCACCCGCCCGACGTTTTATTGCATGCAATAGGATTTTACTACCTAACTTATCGCATGTATATAAAAAGCGGTCCTTATATAGGCGGTTAGGTTTGGTTGTTATTTTGAATCCATCATCGATACAATGTATTCAAGTCTACCCCGACGTCACCAAAATCCCGACCATCGATCTATATACAGTAATGGGTGGACGGTGGACACCCATCAAGCAAACGTAAACTGGTTCCGACACAGCGGGCAAGTGCTCTGGTTACTGCTCTTGAACCAGCGGTAAAGACACACCGAATGGAAGGCGTTTTTGCACGTTGCGCAGCGTTTGTTCGGTGTCTGCATGTCCGTCGAGATGACTGAGTAGCAAATAGCACACTCGCTCTGGCCCTTCAGTGCGCCTTGGACGTTTCGGCGGAATGCCAGCAGTCCGTCTTCAAGGTTGCCGTTGGCGAACATGATCACTCCTTGGATGGTGAGGAGCCAGCTCTTCCACTTCCTCTCGTCTACCAACACTCGACTCCGGCCGAAAACCAGCGCAGGGTGTAGCGGGTAGGCAGCGGGTAGGTTAATTGCGATTGAGACAGGCGGTGATTCCTCGTCGACGGTAATGCTTGCTATAATCTCTGCCGTCTTTGAGGAGACCTTTACGTTGAGTGCGCGCTCTTCGTCCTGGTCCTGCGTGGATATCCATTGAGTTACTCTCTCTAGAGCATCGCCAATGACCAACGGCGAGATCTGTGACAAGGTCAGTATATCTTTTCCTGGAGGAAATGTTATAGTACTTACGGATTTCTCCGTCCAGGTTTCCACAGGACCCTTAATGCGCTTCTTCGAGTCGAGCCACCAGGCTTTGGTCAAGTTGGCAAGATGCCTCAAGCACAGAAAGTACAGGTGAACAAGCAGCCACTGTATCTCCTTCTCATAGCTCTCAGAGTGATCTAGATCGAAGGAGCGAATGTCGAGCTTTGACACATCTATAAGCTTTCCGTGCCCCTTCTGAAGGAAATCGAACATGAACTCTAGTAGCGAGGACAATACATCGTGCTCTTTGATGTTAGAAGCATATTGCTCTTGAAGGGTGAAAGACTGTAGAAGATCAGTCAGCATGAGCACTTCAGGGATGGGGGGAAAGGAGACATACAGCGTTCACAAAGTGATCAAAAACCAGTCTCCAACTAAGAAGATACGACCGTATGTCGGCCCAGGTCTTGTCATCACCATACGACAAGGATATTGAGTCCATAGTTGGCGCTCCGAGTAGCAGAGATATCAACTCATAGGGGAGTTTGACCTCAGTTTTGGACAAGGCCACATCAAGGGACACCTGCTCCTGTACACTTGGGATATATCGGTGAAGGAGAGTATACGCGGTGTGCTGGATAACGAGGCTATGCGCTGTCAATAAAGGATAAACTTTACTGACATCCTCAAGATTTCCAAGGGGCATAGTTTTTATCAAGCGGCACAGACGGTCGACAGTGAGGTCTCGTGGCAGGTGGAAGGTGGTTGAAGAATCTGAACCACATCAGTATCAGATCGTTACAAGCATGGGCAAAAGACTAACCGAATTTCCAGAGAGTCGATGTCAAGCCGTTGAAAAGTGCCGTCTTTCGGTCAGCCCAGGCATCTTTCACGTCATCGTTGCTCTCATCATCCTTTACTATAGACTCCAAACGACTGAATAGTCTGAAGGATGAGTTTAGGACAGCCAAAGCGCCGTCCCCTCCGCTAATGGCCCGCCATGTTGAACGGAGAGTCTCCAGGCAATCTTCCCAGTGCGGGCCGTACATCTCCTTGACCCTGGGAAGTGTTAGAGTAAGAGCCTTGAATATCTCTGCTTTAAGACCCAGAGACATCTGCTCCGATTGGAGGCATTGTATCATGTGCTTCACAAAGAATATCAGTCGTTGTGTAGGCATAGACTCCATGGGATTGGCCTCCTCTTCGTCGGAAAGGAGTAAGTTTAGTAAGGCTAGCTTCCGGAGGCCTTTTACTGTCAGTAAAAACACAGCAGAAATCAAGTTGAGGTCACTAACCGTTCGCCGACTCATCTTCAACTTTCAGGCCGGTGGAGTCCGCCACGAATTCATTGCAGATTCGGATACCAGCGGGGTTTGATAGTATAGGCCTCCGTAGGACGGCAACCCAACCAGCGGCGCGAATAGCATTGACTGTTCGAAGTTCTTTGCATAACTGGCCAATCGCCTCGGAGGAGTAACCCATATCAGACGGTTCCATGCCCTCCATGAGTTTTGCGAAGGCTTCCCCAATCCGATAAGCAGCAGGGGAAGTATCATCCAGTTCTTCGAGCTTGGTTTTCCAAACATGAATAATTGCAGATGTAGCGGTCTCTTCCGTCGAGGGGACGTACTCAGTCGATGAGCACCAGCTGCTAATAATTTTTCGCGCCTGGTTGACAATGTCCCGGTATTCCTCGCGCAGCTCGTGAGTTAGCATTCCTGCTATATTATTGTACCCTTCAATGTCGAGGTCGTCTTCAATAAGCTGCACCGCCAGAGGCAAGTTAGAGAACAGGACCTGGAAGCTTTCCAAGTTAAGATGCTTCGTAAAATCAAACAAAGACATCATCCGAACAGTAAAATGGGTTAGTCTGAACGCAGCTGAGCATTGGCTTGAATCACGCTTAATATTTTCGTATCGCTGGGTGAACGATTCTGGCAACTCCCGATTCACCAAGTGCACAATACCTGAGAGGGGACTAGTGATGGCGGTTGACAAACGTGGCGGCAAATCAAGGAAGGGTCCCAATGCTTCCTCCCATGTCTGCCGAGATGGAAGGACATCTCTGGCCAACTGACCGATGTTCTCAGGTTTCGAGCTACGTAGCAGTTCCTCGCCGATATCCAGCAATGATTCGATCCTGGCCAGGTTAGTCTATGGGTAAAGAAAAAAAAAGAATACTGCAGAGGCCACTTACGATAGCGATTCCTCATTGACATGAGTCAGGTTCTCCTGCAAGATCTCGAGGCTTGCTTTGGTGCTTGTTTCCCCGACGCCAGACTTTTTCATCTGGTCAATCAACGAGTGTGCCAGGCTAGCAATCTCCTCTGATGGGGATTCCATAAGGAACAGTAATTTTCCGGTCAGTTTTGAACCCTGAGTTCCAGTCTGGAATCTCTTAGCTGCACTGGGAACTGAAGAAACAACCTGTACAAGCCCTTGCAGCGTGTACGCAACCTCGTTTTCCACAGACAGATTGTCTAGAAGAGAAAGAAATATTGAGTCTTCTAGCTCTCCTTGACTGGTCGGATTCTGCAAAGCGGAAATAACCACAGACCAGTGCAACTGGCTCCCTTTACAAGCTAGTTCCAGCGCTCGAATAATGAGTGGCCCAATAATCTCCTTGTCGACTTCATTCAAGTCGAGGCTCGAAAGAAGCCTCTGAACAGCACTTGCGTTGGTCATTACATTTTCAAGTTGCGCAACCCGCTTGACAAGTTCTTCAAAACTGGAAGAGAAGCCAGGCCAAGTGCGGCAGAGTAAAATGATCGAAATCAAATGGTCACCGCTAGGAGAGAAAAGCAGCTCTGGTGCATCTTTTTGGATAAAGTCCAGAAGCTCCTGAGAATGCTGCCCAATCTGCGGGATACTGCGAACAACCTCTTCCACAACCGCTGTTGCTCCATAAGGCTTGCCATTGCGGGACCGCAGTACTTCCAAGCAGTTGTTCAGCAATTTCAGGTTTAGACTCTCAAGTGTATGCAAGGCTTTAGGTTCAAGTTCTTGGTCGGCGAGGCGTGACAGTAAAGACGCCTCTAGAGAGAAAAGACGCTCAGCCTGAGCACATACTGCATCCTGAGAAGATATGAAGTCCTTCGATTGCTCGGGTGACGAGAGCCTGACAGCTTCCAGTAAGTCTTCTGACAACTTTGTCCATAGCTCGTTAAATGCGTTTTCGTAACCGAACGAGAATAGAGCAGTAAGATATTCGGTGCAGATAGTTTCAGAGGACTGTGTAGGCAGTGACCACCGAGAAGCCTCCGGTTCGGGTCTCACGTACTGCACTATTAACGGAGAAAGCTCTTCGTGCAGAAGCTTTATGGTGTCTGGGTCTGATAGACCTTGTGCTAGCCACATGGCGGTCTCAACATAGATCTTCCAGCCTAGCGTTCGATTCTGCGCTGGCTCTTCTCTTGAACTCAGACCATCGTGTATTGCCTCCATCAGAGCCGTCGCACTTGACAGCCCAATATTATCGTCACTGGGAGAATTAGGATCTAGCTTTGCTAGCGTCTGTATCGGAACCAGTTGCAGCAGTTGGTAGATGTTTGACCAGAAAAGTCCCGGGCTGCCCTGAGATCCCTTCCGTATGTATTGGAGCAACCTCTTCGAAGAAGATGTTTTCCCAGAGTAATCATCAGTCCATATCTGAGGCCGTGCAGACGTTACATGCAGTAAAGCTTCCGATAAGTCAGAGGCGGAGCCGAGTTGGGTTATGTGGAGTGATTTGCCCATCAGAGCTGCGCTGACTAGTCTCCAATCCAGTTCTTCCGGTTCTCCGGAGACAACTGTACGAACCAGCGTATACATTGAGCGGCGAACAAAAGGATCATCATGGTAGCAGAATGTCCATAATGACTTGCTTCCGAGTATGGTTTCAACCTTCGAGATGTCACTTTGACGGTCCTCTCTTGTAGTGTTTCCTCGTGCAATGTCAGCAATGTATATTCCGCGAATGGTATCTGAGATCACGTACCTAGGATACGGTTGAACAACAAAATCGCAGTTCCCACTACACGAGCATACTTCGCCTCGGCGTCTTCGGGCTTGATTGTCCTTTCATCGCTCAGGGTTAGAGGAGTTTGTTGAAGAATGACATCATCGACAAAGTCAAGAATAGAGCTCTGAAAGACCTTCCAGATAGCGTTCCGCTTCTCATCGGTAGAAAATACACGTGTTATGGACTCTAAAGCGGACTGATGAACCGGTTTATCATTGTCGTAAACCCCAGCCAGCCAGGCCCCGACTACCTTGGGCAGAAAACGGGCAACTCGCTTGCCCACGAGGCTAGCAATCAACCCTTGAGTAGAATGCGCAGACTGCCTCACTCTGCGATACAGATCGATCGATGCCCTGGGGTAAATTCTAATCTGCGAATGGTTAGACTCGATTCCAGACCTTGTCGAAAAATAAACTCACCCAAGCTTCTAGGAATCCATCATCAAGGGTACCATCATTCGTTGCGACACTAGAAACGTAAGACTTGATATCGTCTATAGCTTTCGTCCTAGTCACATCGTCTTTTTTGGAAAAGTTCTTAAAAGCAATCGCCAGTTGAGCGTCTGATATTTGAGACAGATCCGGTGGCTCAGCCACGTACGTGAGAGAAGATAGCTCTCTCCCCTCGCCCGACACAGACGACGAGAACCCCGCAAAGCCTCCAAAGGTGCCAGCAGCAGCACGGCTGCTCGACGCTTGAGATTTGAACTTTTTGCTCATAGCAATTATGTGGGGTAGCGGGGTGACTGAAAGAAGAGAAGCTCGGCCAGTTTGAAGAGCAAAAAAGAAAGAAACAAAGAAATAAATGTGAGATAGAATTCAACTAAATGGTTCCTATCGGCTCACTGTCATCCCAGCTAGCAAATTGTTATACTGTTGTTTCAAGGTCGGCTGGACAGCTATGACGGCTTTGTCGGAGACCTTATCGGGACGCACGTGATCTGGTGTCATCGATCAACGCGGTCTGGTCTGTCCGAGGCCCAAAAAAGAGGCGCCTCATTCTGACGGGCTTCGATTCCTCCAGCTTCAAGCTCGCCCATCACAATGAAATTTTTCATTGAGTAAGTGCTGCATACTTTTGCGTAAGGAGCTACAGCATCTAATAGTCCTTCTTGCCCTATAGTGATCTCCCCGTCCTTTTCCCGTACCCTCGTATATACCCCGAACAATATGCCTACATGTGCGATCTTAAAAAGACCCTCGACGCCGGGGGTCACTGCGTCCTCGAGATGCCTTCGGGCACTGGAAAGACAGTTACGCTTTTATCGTTGATCGTCGCCTACCAGCAACATTATCCAGAGCACCGGAAGCTCATCTACTGTTCCCGAACAATGTCCGAGATCGAGAAGGCGTTAGCGGAGCTGAGAGAGCTGATGAAATTCCGCTCTGAACAACTGGGGTACACTGAGGACTTTCGAGCTTTAGGTCTGACCAGTCGAAAGAACCTGTGTCTTCACCCATCGGTCAAACGGGAAAAAAGCGGTACGGTTGTTGACGCTCGATGTCGGAGTCTAACTGCTGGGTTCGTCAAGGAGAAGAAAGAGAAGGGCGAGGATGTTGAGCTGTGTGTATATCATGAGGTATGGCAGTGGAGTCACTGTATGAAGCTCGTGGCTAACATATCCAGAATCTGGATCTTCTCGAGCCCCATAATCTCGTGCCTCCCGGCGTCTTCACACTCGATGGCCTCTTGAATTACGGAGAGCAGCATAAACAGTGCCCATATTTCTCTGCTCGGCGCATGGTAAGTTCTCGCATAAGTGGAAGTTCTTGGTATACGCTTACCCGCTAACGCCTCTTCAGATGCCATATTGCAACGTTATCATATACTCCTACCATTACCTCCTGGACCCGAAGATCGCTGAAAGAGTTTCCAAGGAATTCTCGAAAGACTGCATAGTGGTATTTGACGAGGCACACAACATCGATAACGTTTGCATAGAGTCGCTCAGTATAGATATTTCGGAAGATTCCTTGCGGAAAGCCACTCGGGGCGCGAACAACCTGGAGCGAAAGATTCAGGACGTAAAGAGCTCCGATGCAGAGAAACTTAATAACGAATATACGAAGCTTGTTGAAGGATTGCGCGAGGCCGAACAAGCTAGAGACGAGGATCAGTTCATTTCCAATCCTGTTCTTCCAGACGATTTGCTCAAGGAAGCGGTCCCGGGCAATATTCGTCGCGCGGAGCACTTTGTTGCCTTTCTGAAGAGATTTATCGAATATCTCAAGACGCGAATGAAAGTCACCCACACCATTTCAGAAACGCCCTTATCCTTCTTAAATCACGTCAAAGAACTGACTTTCATTGAACGAAAGCCACTGAGGTTCTGCGCGGAGCGCTTAACGTCGCTCGTTCGGACACTGGAGCTTATCAACATAGAGGATTATCAGCCGCTCCAAGAGGTGGCGACGTTCGCGACCCTGGTCTCGACTTACGACAAAGGTTTTCTTCTGATCTTGGAACCTTTCGAGTCTGAGGCCGCTACAGTCCCGAACCCAATTCTACATTTTACGTGTTTGGACGCCGCTATCGCCATCAAGCCTGTATTTGACCGGTTCAGCTCGGTGGTCATCACATCGGGTACCCTGTCGCCGCTCGAGATGTACCCCAAAATGCTTGGATTCAATACCGTTATGCAGGAATCATACAGTATGACTCTTGCCCGTCGATCTTTCCTTCCCATGATCGTTACCCGCGGATCGGACCAAGCACAGATCTCGTCTTCATTCCAGATCCGAAATGATCCGGGTGTCGTACGAAACTATGGAAACATTGTCCTTGAGTTTTCCCGCATCACCCCCGACGGGGTCGTCGTATTCTTCCCGTCCTACTTATACATGGAGTCGATTATCAGCATGTGGCAGGGCATGGGCATCCTCGACTCAATCTGGAACTATAAATTGATCCTCGTCGAAACCCCCGATGCACAAGAATCATCACTAGCCCTAGAAACTTACCGAACGGCATGCTGCAACGGCAGAGGCGCCCTACTGTTCTGTGTCGCCCGTGGCAAAGTTTCTGAGGGCATCGATTTCGACCATCACTACGGGCGGGCCGTGTTATGCATCGGCGTTCCATTTCAGTATACCGAGTCACGCATTCTCAAAGCCCGGCTTGAATTCCTACGAGAAAACTACCGCATCAGGGAGAACGACTTCCTTTCCTTCGATGCTATGCGACATGCTGCTCAATGTCTGGGTCGTGTCCTTCGAGGCAAGGACGACTACGGAGTCATGGTTCTCGCTGATAGGCGATTTCAGAAGAAACGAACCCAACTTCCGAAGTGGATTAGTCAGGCACTGTTGGAGAGTGAAACAAATCTCAGTACCGATATGGCTGTTGCGACGGCGAAGAATTTCCTGCGGACCATGGCGCAGCCATTTAAGCCGAAGGATCAAGAAGGTATTTCCACTTGGAGTCTTGCGGACTTGGAGAGACATCGCGCCAAACAACTGCAAGAGCAGGAAAGGGTGCAGCGGGAAGGGTTTGCCCATGGCAATGGGACAAATGGTGCTCGCAGTGGAGCGGGGGATGAGTATGACGAAGGGATCGATGAGGATCTCATGATGCTAGATGCGCAATAAGCTCTGGCAGTCGAGCTCTTGGTTCGAAGTTTTTTGCTGTCGCATATTCTACAATCTTGCATTTGAAAAGAGGCTGGAAATGACTTGCATGATACCACGGGTGTCTGGTGTTGGTTTCTGAACTTGGGGTCACATACATTATCTTATTTCAAGCATAATTTGAATTCTATCTAATATTCATCAGGTATAAAATGCAATGCTTGTAAAATATTAAATGACAGGAAACTTTTTATTTCCGCTTAGACAAAACTCCAGAGTTCATGGGACACATCAGGAACAAAACTGCGTATAAACAACGATGAGAGGCCCTGAAAAGCATAAACATGTACATCGGCTAGGAAAAGAGAGAAACACAGCTTATCTATAGAAATATAAAGACCACATCACATCTATGCCACAGGAGCAAGAACGTCAAAGGCGCCAGTACCGACGTTTCCGGTTCGGCCAACAACGATCCTACTACTGGGGTTGTTGAGGTTATCCCAGTCGCGCTCCAGAACCGCCTCCTTGAGGAAACCAACCGTCGTCTCGAAACTCATCTTAGCCAGCGGCGAAGAGATGTCCTTGACGAGCTGGTTGCGGTTGAAAGCACGGAAGCCACCAGAGTGCGTCATCACGTCGCCGATCAGGTTCAGGTGACGGTTGTCGACGGAGATACTGTGACCCTTGAAAACGGCGTCCATTTCCCTCACAATAGAGGCGCGAGCGGCTTCAACACCGTAATGAATGCGCATGTGCTCGATGGAGTTGGTGTAGATGGTGTGCGGCTGGATGATATCTTGGTAGTCGCGCATGGCAAGCAGGTTGACACCGTCGGTGACGACGCAGGCAGGTTCGCCCTTTGCCTTGTCTTCTTCGACGAATGTGCAGTTTCCGAGACCAGGAATGGACTGGATGACGGCGCTGCGGCAGGCTGATTCGACGAGAGGAAGGAGGAGGAGCTTGGGCGTTGAGATGTCGTACTGCAGCTGGATTGTGCAGGTTGAGCCCTTGTGCGGGTTGAACTTGAACTGCGTGACTTCGGCATATTTTCCTCGCACGTCGTCCTCGCGCAGCCTCGAGTCCTTGGTATGGCCCTCGTCATCTTCCGACTCTTCCGAGTCGTCCATTGCGACGTCACGATTGTCGTCCTCATCCTCGCTTTCGTCTTCGCGCGTGTCCATCTGTTGCACCATTCTCTCTTCGTCCTCCTCGGGACCTTCGTATGAGACCTGGTTCGACCTGTTCTTTGATCCGCTAGCGCGTTTGGCATCATTCTCATCGTCTTCGACATCATCGTCAGGAGCTTGCTCTTCATCGTCACGGCCCCTGGGAGCTTCCTGGACCGTGCCAACCGAGACGCCAAGCTCAGGCTGTGCAGCTGAGTTTGTCAGCTTCTTCTCGTCGTATCGCTTCTTCAGCTCAGCCTTAGTGAGCTTCACGAGCCTAGGGATGAACTTGTTCTGAAGAGTAGACTGCACATCCCTGATGGTGATGGCGTATTCTGCAGTATATTCTTCCGCAGGGAAAAGCGTGATTTCGATGTCATAGATCTTTGCCTTCGTGCTACCAGCAGAAATCCTCTCTCTGACCTGCACTTTGTCGACGACTTCGGCGATACTGAGCTTGCTGATAGCCTTTGCGAACCTCTCGCCGTGCTCCCGGGGCAGCTCCTTGTTCAGAATAAGGGTCATTGTCGGAGTCATGATCTCCTTGCTGGCAGTCATAACGATTTCACGAAGTCGTGGAATACCTAGTGTCACGTTCTTTGCAGAGTGACCAGCCAAGTGGAAAGTGTTAAGTGTCATCTGAGTGGACGGTTCACCAATAGACTGTCCAGCCATGATACCAACGGCCTCACCAGGATCAATGACCGAATTCATGTACTTCATGTTCATCAAAGAGTTAAAAGCGCGCTTAGTCAAGCTGGTCTCGATGCCCTTCTTCTTGTCTTTGAGAAGTTTGTTCTTGTTCTCATCCTCAAACTACAGAGTAATCGTTAGAGTCAACAACAACCATTCCAACAGGATGAACCATACCTTCTTGAGCGCCTGGGCGAATGTCTCGGACGTGCTACCGAGGTTACCCCCAGGGTGGTAACGGGCCAGGACCGGGTCCATGGCATCGAGTTTTCCGGTCTTGCGCACTTTCTTGATCGCATCCTTGTGCCAGTTCGTTACGGCCTCTTTCTCCAGAGTGTTGTGATACTTCTGCAAGTTCACCTGCTCCATGATAGATTTATGGTTGGACGCCAAGAACTCAAAGTCCTGAAGATGGACTTGCTTCGTGATATCAAGACCATCCTCTCCGTACAAGAACTGGACAATAGAGCCATCCGAAGATTCTCGAACTGATGAGTCGTACTCTGCACGCAAACCTTCCATACCCTTGATCAAGCAGCGCTGCAAGTAACCGGATCTGGAGGTCTTGACGGCAGTATCAATCAGACCCTCACGACCAGCCATGGCGTGGAAATAGTACTCTTGAGGCTTGATACCAGTCAAGAATCGGCCATAGACATAACCACCAGCCATGGGGTTCGTGTCGAAAGCCCTAAAGCAAGGAAGCGTCTTACCACTAATCATAACGGGCACACGTCGACCTTCCAAGACTTGCTGACCCAGGTTGCAGGAAATCAGGTTAGCATTGACAGCGGAACCCTTGGCTCCAGTGACAGTCATAGACTGCATTTGGTTCCAAGGGAAGGGCTTCGCCAGGCCTCTTGGGAGACAAGCCTTGGTAATCTCAGTTGACAGCTGCGCAGACCGTGCGTTCGATACGCTGTCGAGGCCGCTCTGCTTATCATCATCACGCAGAACCTCTTCAAGACGTCTCCGTAATTCGGCATCCTCGTCTGGCACCTTCGTTTGATCAAGCGTCACGTATTTGAGCGCAACCTCGCGGCCGATCTTCGGTCCCTCGCTGAGTTTCTCCTTACGCATGCGATTTCCCTCCTCAGTTAATCGAAGATCATCGATACCACATGTGAAGGCGCGCATGTTCAAGAACCTGGTCAGAAGGCGTCCAAGAATACTGAGCAACTTTCCAGCTACCGTGTGGCCGTAGACTTCGTGAATGGAATCGATCAGACCGCCTGCGGTAGGTCCAATCTGCTTCTTATCAAGAATGCCGCAAAGCAGCTCACCATCCCTAAAAATGACCTTGTCCTCTTCGTTGTTCTTTCCCCATCGATCTCCTGGCGTTGAAGACTTGCTGTCAAGGTTGAGGCCTGCTCTTCCAGGTGGCATAATATTCTTGAGAATTGTCGTTATCACCTGCTTACCAGTCCAGAGGGGCTTCGGCCGGATTACCGCCGGGTCAACCATTTGAATCCTCTCAGAAACTGTGTGCGAATTCTCAGGCCTCAAACAACTGTACAGCAGCTCGTGATAGTCTTCCCTGTCGAAAAAGGCGTCTCGGCAAGTAAACCAGGTAGCCATGGAAATGTGATCCTGAATCAAACCTCTGAGAGGCTTACCCGAGGTCGCGACGAGATACTGGTGGTCTGCATCGGCAAGCGTCATAGCTTCCGTTCGAGCAAGTTCGTTCTGAGGGAAGTGCATGTTCATTTCGTCACCATCGAAATCAGCGTTGTAAGTGTTACAGTTAGCGTAGTGCATTCGAATGGTCTTCTCGTTGGGAAGAACACGAGCCTTGTGGCCCATGATTGAGGGTTTGTGCAGTGTCGGCTGTCGGTTCATCAAGACAATGTCACCGGTAGTGAGGTGACGGTAGACCTTCTTATTGCGCGAACCTTTGATCCTCCAGTTTGAGGGCGCCAGAAGCTGGTTGGCCAAGGCTATCCGTTCGTCAAGGCTTTTGAACTTGAGGTTGGTGACCTGTCCTAGCTCGTTCTCAATGGCCATGGCACCAGGGTACTTGTCAGGGCCGTTAATGACTGCTTGTTTCAACTCCCAGAAGTTATGGTTGGTGACAGGCTCCGGATAAGTCAACCTCATCGCGAACACCATCGGAACACCGATTTCATTGGTTTCGATGTTGGGATCAGGCGAGATGACACTGCGAGCAGCAAAGTTGACACGTTTGCCCATCATGTTCTTTCTGAACAGACCCTCCTTCTTTTCCAGGATCTGCTTAATACCATTTGCAGACTTTGCTGCAGCGGCTCCAGTTTGACCGTTTCTATCGCGATCGATCAAGCCGTTGACAGTATCCTGGAGCTGGACAATGGCATGTAAAAGATCGCGGTAATCCCGAACACGGGTAGCTGAGCTGTCGCCGAGGGTCTGTCTGTCTTTGCTGATTTGATTGATGATGTCGCAATTCTTCAGAATCTGGGTTAAGGGTGTATTTTGTTGCGCTTCCATAATCGCACCTCCCGCCTGTTGTGGAGCAGGTCGGTATTTGTTTGGTGGAACCAGAATATTCTTGATGAAAAACATGTCCGCAGTGACTTTAGAGTCCTTGACGGGCGTAGGTCGAGAGTTGTATACGAGATTGAGAATCTCGGCCTCTTTTTCGAAGAGCAATGTGATCGCCGCATGAACCTCGGACGATGGCATGTATTGCTGGGTCTCGCCCTGCCTCTTGCTTTCTGCCTGTGCCACAACCGCATTTCCGCGTGCAACTTCTTCTTCCGCGCCATGAGCCTCCGAGGTAACACTGGCAGTATCGGAGATGCCATTCGCGGACGCTTTCTTCTCTTTGATGTTGAGTTTCTTTGCCTGCTGAAGGAGGATTAAAGGGTTCGGTATCTGCAGCCCTGCCTGAATCATCGCCGCTCGACCCTTCTCCGTGAAAGGCTTACGGAAAATCTTGGAGGCTCGATCCTTTCGGTAGCCTGGAGATATTCTAGCCAACAGATCAGCTACTTGGTAATAGAACAGGTCAGAATGGATCAAGTCGTAACATACCCACTGCAACTGGCGCACTTTTTGGCAGCCACGACATCCTTGAAAAACTCCTTTATAAGATCCCGCCTTTTCTCCATAGCCAGCGGATTCTTCTGTCCGGCCATGACACTCTTCAGCAACCCAGCCGTCTGTGCCTCGCGGATGCACTTCTTGACGTAAGCATTTCTGCGGGTTATCAGATCGTCCTCGTCCTCGTCCTCTTCGTCGGATCCGTCCGCGTCCTTGCTCTTTCCAGATTTCGACGATTTCGTTCCCATAGAGTCGATGAATGCTACCGATTGTACCAGGCCATATTGTAAGAGGCGCAACTTGCAAGCGTATGAACTTAATTGAGTCCGAGACATCTGAAAGCGGTGACAGAAGACGCATTGCGCTCGCAGTAAACGGTAGAGTTGGTCGAGGTGCGTGACATTGTACACATGTACAGGGAGCTCGATGTGTCCAGGATGGCCAGCGCAAGACCAGGAGTTCATGCGACATGTTGTGCAGCTGTTGTTGTCAGCCTTTGTCTTGGGAGCTTACGGCATAAGCCAATTGTGGAGAACACGAGACATGGTACGTACACATGGTCATTCCAAGCACCCAATGCAGTATCGTATAGACCACCAGGAACAGGGTTGTTGAAGGAATCAAGAGTCGGGGTATTGTGAATTCGCTTTACTGAGATCGCTTTGATGTCTTCGTCGGAGTAGACATCAAAGTTGATCCCCGCAATTTGGGAGGCCACGGGACGTGCGAAAGTCGCCATTGTCCCTGTCGCGGCTCCTTGAGCAACAGAAAACGCCGGGTTTGCGAATTCTTGTTGTATATATCGGTTGCTGGCGGAAGAGCAAAAGGCGGGAGGAGATCTTGAAGCTCCGAAGAAAAAAATGTCCCGGCTTTTTTTCTGCCGATTGGGACCGCCTTCATGGCCACGTTTGTTGCGAGCTCCGCGTATGACGGCCTCTCCATCTCCAGTACCCTACGCTCGCAATCTACTGCGGCTTATCCAATCGTCAGTGGATATCCGGACTTGCCTGTTCTTGACACGCCATCCCAATCAGAATCTTTGCTTCGGCGGGTGAGTCGAGGACCCTCCGTCACAAGCCATGGCGGACCTGTCGGGCAACGTGCTGAAGCGGCCTCACCCTGAGGATGAAGATAACAACGCGCAAAAACGACCTCGTTCGAATCATGGGTCTCCTCATCCTGGGCAAGGTGCGCCACCCGGTGGTATCGACATCGCAAAGGTTGTGGCCGAGGCTAGAGCAAAAGCTCAAGCCGTGCGCGACAGGCTGATGGCTGAGAAACGAGTTTCCGCGTCCCCTTCTCCAGCGCCGGCTGCTTCGAGCCCTAGCCCTGCGCCTCCCGGTGCTAGCTCTGCTATGTCGAGACTAGAACAGATGAAAGCTAGAGTGGCAGCAGCAACAGGACGATCACAGGCGGCCGCGCAACGACCCAGCGCTCCTACCCCTCCGCCACCTCCGCCTCCCTTCGAAGACGATGAAGACGATGGCGCTTCGCGCGCCCGAGGTGGTCTCGATGTCGGTTTGCATCCTGCCCTTCTCTCGGATAACCTCGAATTTCGCGGAGGCAAGGGGCGACAGATGCAATCAAGAAACCGCAAGCCCGAATCTCCCGCGGTCAGCGGGAAACCGGATCGAGCTGGCCTTGACCTTTCAGGGCCGTCTATCGAAGAAATCAAGAACAACCCCTATTATGATCCGAATCTAGGGCCGAAAGCTACGATCTCCAAGCCCCGGCAGTCGCGCCAACTCTTGTTCAACCAGAAAGGTAAATATATACAGCAGGCTGCAGCTCTTCGCCGGCAGGCTCAGCTGGAGGCTATGAAGAAGCGCATTGCGGAACGAGCAAGGCAGGCCGGTATCGATGAAGATCTTGATGTGGAAAAGGCATTCCTAGTGCCAGCTCCACCAGCGATTGAATGGTGGGACGAACATCTGGTGAACGAGCCTGATTACGCTACAATTGACGATGAAAATAACCTCAAGGTTGACTCTGCCGATTCTATAATAACTCCCTACGTCCAGCATCCCGTGCTTCTTGAGCCTCCCCAGGAAAAGCTCAAGCCGGAACAAAAGCCTATGTATCTTACGCAAAAAGAGCAAGCAAAGATACGCCGGCAAAGGCGAATGGCTGACCTGAAGGAGCAGCAGGCGAAGATTCGCCTAGGTCTTGAGCCAGCACCCCCACCAAAGGTCAAGAAATCGAACCTTATGCGCGTGCTAGGTGAACAAGCTGTTAAAGATCCCACAGCCGTTGAAGCGCGGGTAAACCGGGAGATTGCAGAGCGGCGCGCACAACACGAGGCCGCCAATGAAGAACGCAAGCTTACGAAAGAAGAACGCCATGAGAAGCTCGCCCGACAACAAGAGCAAGACGCCGAAAAGGGTATCTTAATGACAGTGTACCGGATCGATAGTCTTGCGAACGGGCGCCACCGATTTAAAATCAGCAAGAATGCGGAACAAAATGCGCTCACTGGCGTATGCGTTATGCACCCCAAATTCAATCTAGTCATCGTCGAGGGGGGTGCCCATTCAATGAAAAACTACCGAAAGCTCATGATGAATCGGATCGACTGGACCGAGAACGCAGGACCTGGTGCCGTACGGGAGGGTAATCGGGAAGCCCAGGCTTCCTGGCTCGCCGCAGAAGATGACAAGGGAGAGTTGAAGGATCTCAGTACAAACACATGCACCCTTATTTGGGAAGGTCAAGTCAAAGCTCGGGCTTTCCGTAAATGGTTGGGGGCCCGAGTTTGCGAGACAGACTCTCAGGCAAAGGATGTGCTTGCGCGTGCAAAGTTGGAGAATTTCTGGACTTTGGGAAAGAGTGCAAAGCAGCAGAGCGAGTTTTAAGACATGGGTGCGAACAACAATTTGCCGGACTAGAGGCTGCTCTATCAATATCATTAAAGCGTGACGATGTATCAGTAAACAATACCCTATACAAAGCGCAGGTTATCCAGAACATTATTGAAATTGGTATCTCAGATATGTGGCATTGAAGCAAACGTAGAACTTTTTCCGTGACCTATCCCAACCCTAACAATGCAAGATGCAGAATGCAAAAGTGTAACCTTCAAGCGAACAACTGTATGGTATTAATTATCACTGGCGAGGGGGCCATTGGTTTTGCCCATTGCTCAAGTGCCGCAGGAGATCCAGCTGGGCCTTCACCTGGTCGAAGTTCATAGCCTGGTTCTGCTGCGGTTGACCTACCCCGGACTGCTGCTGTTGGGGTTGCGCCTGTGCCTGCGTCTGTTGGTATTGCTGTACCTGCTGTTGCTGCTGTAAGGCAGCTAGGAACATCGGATTGATATGCGGAGTGGGTGACATTTGCTGGTATGGGTTGGGTTGTTGGTAGGCCTGCTGGTATGGCATTTGGAAGTTGAATGGTGCTGTCGGCATTGCAGCTTGGGTGTAAGGCTGCTGTTGTTGAGGTTGTTGCGGGAGGGTTGAGTAGGCTGGGTATTGCTGAGGGTTAAATGCGGGATAGGGCTGGGGTTGAGGCTGAGGCTGAGACTGAGACTGGGCTTCCGACCTCTCCTGCTGATGATACGGCTGGCGATCATGGTGTGACTGGTCCCTGCCGCCTCTTCCACGCCCTCGACCACCACGGCCGCCGCGATCAGAGCCTCGACCGCGGCCTCGACCGCCATAGCCAGAGTTCCTGTTGAAACCATCATTCTCGACGGGCGCTTCCTGTCGCATCATCTCGTGCAGGTTCTTAGGTCGGGCAAGCGGGGTATAGCCATCTTCGTTATCGTCGTAGTTGAGCTCGCTGTGGCTCAGCTTCGAAGGGCCGGGTGGCCCTCTTGCAGCCTTGGGACCACCGTCCTGGTTCTTCCCCTTTCGCTCTTGGCGCTTCTGCTTCAACTTCCGCCTGTACTCAGCTTCTTGTTCGTCGTCGGAGAACTCGACTTCGTCTTCGGCAACTTCCTCGTCGTGGAAATTGGACGCATCGCTTCCCTTCAAGCCCTTCAGTGGTTGGGTGAACACGAATGTAGAGTGTTCCACGACGTAGTACACCACAGCGCCTTTCGAGAGACCGCGCTCTTCGACCTCTGCCGTAGTGGGAAATCGGACAGTATATAAAGGGTTCTCGACCCGTCCTAGAGTCTCGGAGACCACGCCAGCAACGCGGCGATCTTCCAGGCAAAGAAGTGACCCTGACTCGAGGACCTGGTACTCTCCGGTGACATTCGCGGCAATGAGAACTGTGTTTTCAACGACGGCCTCCACATTTCCTAGGAGAATAATCTTCATTTCCGGTGTGATAGTAATGTCAGGGATAGGCAAGCAGTCTTCCATGATTTCGTTGGCCGTCTTTAGAGGAGCGCCAGCTTTACCCTTGCCATCGCCTTCGTCATCGGAACCCAGCTCCCCCTGCATCAAGATTCGTGCTTGTTCCTCGGGACTGAGGATCGGATAATCCTCATCCTCGTCGCTGTCATCGGAAAAATCCGAGTCGGAACTGTCTGAGGAGGACTCATACGGGTCGGAGTCCATTTCCCATTCGGGGTGCTCCTCTTCTTGTTCCTGCTCGGCTTGCCCGGTCGCAGCGCTCTCAACGGTGGCATTCTCTGTACCGTTCGTGCCAGTTGCCGTCTTGTCGCTCTCCTCCAGTCCTCCGTTCGCTCCAGATCCTCCTTGGGGCTGTTTATGTTCCTGTTCGACTTCCATCGCATCTGTACCTCCCACAGCGGGCTTTGCCGTCTCTTCAATCTTTGTCTCCGATCCGTTTTGCACAGTAGCAGGCTGAGACTCGTTTGTTGTCTCTGTACTGAGAATCATAGGATCAGTGCCATTGGGGTTCTCTTTCGCGCCGGGCGTCGGGCTTGTTTGATTTTGATTGAGGCCGTCGTTGACCAGGCTCAAGCCGGGAATCATGGGAGGTGGGTTCGAGGATACAGGAGCCTCAGTAACCATATTATCATCTTTGTCTTCCGGCTTTTGCGCCGTAGTCGCCGGCGTACCTACAACAAATGGAGTGTTGTAAAAATCGCTTCCTTCATCTGCTGGAGTCAATGCAATGGGTGGCGTATCGATCATGTCAATCAGTTTGGCTGGGACATCTTCAGGGGCAACCCCGGGGTTGTTCTGGTTATGAGGCTCCGTCATAGTACTGGCAGAAGGTCTGATGAGAAAATATTCTCGGTAAACTGCCGGATCGTAGAGAGTGTATAATATTCGTCGAGGATTCTTCTCGGGAATTTTTTTATGGAACTGCCATTTTTGCCGTTGCGGTCGCCGAACGTATTTCTTATCGATAAGATAATAAATACGGCAATGTTTTCGTGTCCGCTTCTATGGCGACGGCGCGGACTATTCTCTCATCATCCCTCCAGCTATAGATTATATGCACAATGCCTCGGAAGGGAATTGAGGTTCCTTCTGTGTCGCAAGAGCAGCCAGCTCCGCGGACAAAGCGACTGTATAAACGGCATTCCTCTTCTCGTCTCAATCCGCTAGCTGACATTAACATCACAGTCCGCCTCCGCCGCCCTTCTATCTTCCTTTGAATATTGCACTCTACGTCTGTATCATATCGAACGGTATCGCAGCTTTCCTTGCACCCATACAAGACTGCGATGAGGTCTTCAATTTTTGGGAGCCGACTCACTACCTGGATCATGGGTACGGGCTCCAAACCTGGGAATACTCACCCGTGTACTCAATCCGAAGCTGGTTATACATCTCTATGCACGGCATCGTCGGAAAAGTTGGCTCCTTCATGGTTGGTAAAAAGTCCTCGGAGTTCTATTTTGTTCGGTTCTTCTTAGCTATGGTATGCGCAGCCTGTCAAACCAGGCTGTACTCGGCCATTTGCCGGACGCTGAGCCCTAGAATCGGATTACTGTTCCTCATGATCGTCGCATTCAGTCCAGGCATGTTCCATGCCTCGGCTGCTTTTCTTCCTTCCAGCTTTACAATGTATGCATCCATGCTAGGTCTTGCTGCCTTTTTGGATTGGAGAGGAGGGCAAAAGACCGCAAAGGGGATTATGTGGTTTGGTCTCGGCGCGATCGTTGGATGGCCGTTTGCCGGAGCTCTGTTGCTTCCTCTCCTTTTTGAAGAGGTCGTTATCGGCTTTCTCTCAAACAACATGCGGCAAGTCTCCTTCGACGTTCTGAATGGGGCTATCAGGTGCTTAGCAATACTGGTATATTTTGATCATTATTTCATTCAGTTCAAGCACTAATTCCCATAGGTCGCCGAAGTTACTGTTGACTTTAACTTTCTCCGCAGACTCACCATTGTGCCGTGGAATATAGTCTCATATAACGTGTTTGGAGGCGAGGGTAGGGGACCAGAGATTTTCGGCACAGAGCCTTGGACGTTCTACGTCAGGAACCTGCTCCTCAACTTCAACGTCTGGTTCTTGTTCGCGATCGCTGTGGCTCCGCTGCTGCTCCTTCAAGCCATATTCCGTGCCCAGTCGACGAACAAAGAGACTTTGTTTAGGACTGTAACTCTTCTGTCGCCCTTTTACATGTGGTTCGGCATCTTCACTCTGCAGCCTCACAAGGAGGAAAGATTCATGTACCCGGCATATCCATTTCTTGCGCTCAATGCGGCGATCGCGTTTCATATGGTTCTCTCATACATCGGCTCCAGCAATCCGAAAGAGCTGATCGGACGCGTCCCTGCAAAGTTAAAGCTTGCAGCAGTGATGTCTGTGATCTTGTTTGCCATCAACGGTGGGCTTCTAAGGACTCTGGGTATGATCACCGCATACAATGCTCCGCTGAAGGTCCTGCAGCCCTTGGAGCAGGCGGGGGTAGCACAGCCAGGTGATTCGGTTTGCTTTGGTAAGGAATGGTATCGCTTCCCTTCGTCTTTCTTTCTCCCGAACGGCATGCGCGCCAAATTCATTCAAAGCGAGTTTCGCGGCCTGCTTCCTGGCGAGTTCCAGGATGCTCCGAACTTTTCGACCTTGCTTGAGGGCACATCTCGAATACCGGAAGGTATGAATGACCGCAACGAGGAGGACACGGGGAAATACGTAAGTTCTCTGGCCTGCAGCTTCTGATATATATGTAAGATGACTAACGATTAGATAGGCCGACATCTCTCAATGTTCTTTCTTGGTCGACTCGCACTTTCCCGGTCGCGAAACTACAGGCTTGGAACCCAACTATATACAAAATGAGGCGCAGTGGGAGGAATTATCCTGCGCATCATTCCTTGACGCTTCCCATACTGGTCTTCTGGGTCGTCTCATCTGGGTTCCCGATTTACCGATCATCCCCGACCGATTCCGCAGGAAATGGGGTCAATACTGCCTGCTGCGACGGCGCACCGCGGACCCTGAGCCGGAGTTATTATAGACCGTATGAGCACAAACAATGTAAATCGACAAGGCGATGGCATCTTACTGTTGCTCATATCCGTACACTGGTTGCGATCGCAATGGCGTGACCATAGAGTTGATGCGCGGCTTTTCCTAATACGGTAAAAAGATCCCAGGCGCGGACTTCGAGCAGCCATCGCTGCAGTTGATATGCGGGCTGATAAGCACCTCCCCTCAGTGTTCATCGCGGGGAACTGATAGTCGTTTGTCTATCGATAATGATGCGCTCGCGAAGGTCGCATCCGATTAACACAACGGGCAATTCGGCATGCCATCCTCTCAGGATGATGCATACAATTCGTTATAAAAACGATAAATCCAGCTCTCAACCGTTTAATGGAATGACAACAGTATCAACCTCTATCTCCACTCAGTCATGATTCCAGAGACATTTTATTTCACCCAGCACTCTATTGGGAACGCCGTCGCTGCCTCCGCAGTAACAACGTTCGTCATATGGGTCCTTGCCCAATTTCTGCAGAGGTGGAATGTATCCAAGCAGTCGAAATCGTTGGCAGGACCCAAGGATCAGAAACCAACGAGAAAATATGGAGGTATGGCTTCTTCACAGGCAGCAAAAACGTGGGTAGCTAATTATCGCTCTGGGTTTAGAATGGACGCCGTCTGACTTCAAACGACCTCCTGCATCCCCATACCCTAACTGGGATGTCCACACCACGAAGCCGATTCCCTACCGCCCATTCAGATATGGACCGTAAGTAGCATACCTAAGTGAGGTTACTATATGCCGGCATGACTAATGTGCAGTAGCAAGTACTTTATCACCATGGGACTGCGAAGCCTGAAATGGGACGAGTGGATCGGTAAGCCCTAAGCCGCTTGCTTGTCCTTACCACAGAATCAACTGACAGCAACCAGAGCTCGACAACCACTACCTCCGCTACCACGCAGACAAAGCTCGCCGGCTCAAAGAGCGCGGAGACAAATGTTGCGCGACTGCCCCCGAAGCATGGGATGCCGCCATCGAATTTCTTGAGGAGCTGTACGACACCTTTACCTTTTCCCTTCCAAGTCATGACTGACGCCCAATTCCAAACACAGAACCTCCTACCTCCCCGAACGCTACCCCAACATGTTCCGCAAAACCCCAACAGGCCTAACAAACCTCCTCACAAACGAAACAATCGACATCAAGCAACGCCCCCTCCCCGAAGACCCCATGGCTATGGCCGCTCGCCTCGTGCAAGACGACCTCGCAATCATGATCGAGAAGCCCGACGGCGAGTACTACCTCCTAGCAGGCGCCGTCCTCCTGGCCGGCTTCTGGCGCCTCAGCGACAAATACGGCATGCGGCTATCGGATATCCACACATCCGGCGACGTCCCAGGCTACAAAGAGAAGCTCGAAAAGGGCATGATGAATTTCTTCCGCCGCCTTAAGCCCGAGGACCCCGTTGTCCGCAACAACTACTTCATCCAGGTCGACGACGATCTCGCCTGGAGCCATAGTATCGGGTCTGAAGATGCGCCCGTGGTCTCATGGAATACGGCGCAGAAGGATAAGGCTATTGAGCACCATTATTTCCGCTCGGAGAGGCAGTCTGTGCGGCGGTTGCCGAAGACGGGGGCCGTCGCGTTTACGATCAGGACGTATTTCGAGCCGATTACGAAGATTGCTGAGGAGCCGTATGTTCCTGGGAGGTTGGCCAGTGCGATTCGGAGTTGGGGTGATGATGTTGCTAAGTACAAGGGGAAGGAAAAGTATGGGGATGTGCTGCTGGAGTATTTGGATCGGAAACATAAGGAGCAGGTTGAGGCGGGGTTGGAGGTTGAGAAGGAGGATGAGGTGAGGAGTTATCCATACTAGGGGCTTTATCAGTGATATTGTTATGTTCGTTGTTCTTCGTGAATTGTATATACACGCATCTCGATCTTCAAGCGATTTGTTTGTCTTGGTATCATTAGTCTTCATTTCTATAAGACCGCGATGCAGTTATTACCAAGTTCAACTCCAAATACCAATACAAGACAGACAAATCCTCCCAATTGGAATCCTGAAAATGCTACCATAGTATGAAATCAAACGCCATAAACCAGATACCATTTTATGTTTAATGCAGATGAATCAAACGCCAAGAGGTGAGGCAGGGCCATGGAGCTGAGCATGATCACGCTCCCATATTGTAGCCCTTCTTCCTCGCATACGCCCACTCCCTCTCCTGCCGCCATTCACATTCTTCCTGGAACTCGCAGATGCGACATTTCCAAGCCTCCATAACCTCAACACCACGCGGGGTCCTCTGTCCTCGCCACCAAGCCATTTGATCAGTCACGTACGATTCCAGCGTGGTTGGGTCGAATAGGAAGGATCGGCTGCCCAGGACGCGCGGCCGTAAATCTGCCGTTGCAGCCGAAGATATGTAGCGAGCTGTTAAGAGCGGCGACAGAATTGTCGGGTAAGACTCGAGCATGGGGGGTTGGAATTCCGAAGGAATCGACGGGGCAACGGCTGCGGACTTTAATGATGGCGGGAGGAAGGTAAAACGGAGTTGATCTTTCATGAGTTTCCATAGGCGCGTAAGGTTGTTGTGGGCAAGGAGGACGCTGGTGGAATCCTGGCTTGCGGAAGGGTACTGCATTTCTGTCTCCTCTGATACTGAGCCAGAGTTGTCAGAGCCGTGAGACTGGTGCCGCGTGATTGCATCTTCCGGGGTAGGGATGTAATCTGGATCGAACTCCATTGAAGATAATGCATCAAAAAATTGGTCGTTCAGGGAGCCGACTTCACATATGAAGGCGTCGGTGAAAGTCTTTTTAGGGTCGAGGTCGTACCGCGCCGCCAGCAAGTCAATAGTAACATCGTCGCTCAGTGTCAAACGGTTCAGCATGTGATAGTAGAGCTGGAGCTGTAGTAAGGTTGGACGAAACGAGGAACTCTTGACCGTCGGCGTGGAGTTGCTTCCTCGCGTCTTAATGTCTGTCAAGTAGATCCGAGGCAGCTGTTGGAGTTCAGAGGTGGATTGACTGCTGACCGGATCCTCCATAGCCTCAGGCACTACTTCGTGGTGCGAAAGGTCCGAAAGCTTTCTTCCTCCATGCGCAGGAGACAGCAAGTAGTCCGTCAACGACATCTGGTACTCGGGTAAGACAGCCCTCGACGCCGCCGCCTCCGCGTAATGGGAGGCAGCCGAAGCCTCAAGCTCCGAGTCAGGACACTCATAAGAAAGCTGGTCGATAACCCCATTGACCAACTCCCCATCCACAAGGCCCCATACCTCCAGTTCTCGTGTAATCCCAAACTCCCTCAACGTCCGCAACCCCTGTATAACGTTCCAAATTCGCAGCGCCAACGCGTCTTCTTTCGTCGTAATCTGCACCGGGACAGTCGTATAGATCTCATCCTCGAGTGTCTTGTGTATCGTACTACCCTTCTTCATCGCCGGCGTTCTCCGCTTCCTCCCATGTTTAGTCAATGTATACCAATACTGCACCTCACACCAGGCAGGCGATATTAAATCAGTAACGGAGAAGGCCTTATTAGGCGGGCGTCGGAAGCGTTCTACGGGTGATCTCGTATCCAGCGAAGCCTTTGCCTTCGAATCAGCATCTCCGCCAATATTTGCTTGCTCGCGAGCTACATCCCTCTCGCGCTGCCGTTCGCGGCCTTCCGTGGAATCGGGATGCTCAACTAAACGCTTCGGAGTCAGGTCAGCGTTTCCTCAAACCAAACATGCATAAGAGGAAACAGGTCTGAGAGCGCTCACCAATCGTGGGCCCCCTATAGACAGGGATCCAGCCTGCCTTATGTGCAATCGCGTCCGAGAGCGCACCTCCAGCTGTCTGAACCTGCCACAGGGGACTCTTCTCCCGCCCCAGGACTCTGGGCACGCGATCGCCCGGTACATCGTCGCCTAGATCTTCAATGTCCGGGATAACTGCAGGTACAGGTGCGGATGCGGGTGGAGGAGTCAGAGCGTGTCGCGTCGGGCTGGGATGGTGTTGGGGTGCTGTGGTCGTTGTCGCCACAGGGCCGGTCGCGTCAACTTGCGCGAGTAGCTCGTTCAATACGTCGGTTTCATCGGCGCTAAAGTCGGATCCGTAGTCACTGCTTGAATTCAGGGCATCGTCGTCGTCTGGTATGAATTGGGTAGGGTCAAGTGGTGGTTGTGGTGTACATGACATTCCTGTGCGGAGGTTGGTTAGAGAGTTACTTTTGCGGGGAGGCGACGGAGAAGAAGGGTTCCTGCAGTTGATGGCGTCACAACGTCATTTTGAGGTGGACTCACTGGGCGGTTCGGGGCGTCTTCATCGTCTTGCGCGATCAAGGAAGATAAGTTCGACGGTCGAGTCCAAGTTGTCTCGTCCTATTCCGTAGGTTTGCTTCGGAGGAAATCGCGAGCGGATTTCCAAGCATCATTCGGGCCTTCGAGAGAGTAGGCAGCCGCCAGGCAAATTCGAAGGCAGCTACCATCCGTGATTAGTGATTAGTTCAAAAAGTTGTCCCGGATCTTCGTCGAACTCCTAGATAACTTTTTGCTTGGTAAGTAGCTGCTCATCATGAATGCAGTTGGCATCCTAGTACAGGTCTCAACTATATATTTTGGGCATCGGTCCCTATGCTCCAAGTAATGGACCCCCACTTTCGTAGAACAGGTTTCAGCTATCATCAAAGAGGCAAGTAATTTCTCTTATAAATGTATTCTATTGTTCTATAATGCAACCAAGAACATATCCTGCTCTAAAATCTATCCCAACACCACCCCATAATCGGAGTATGCAAAGAACCAACCAACCAGCCACGCAACATTAGTAAAGAGACCCTGAAGATCAACAGCTGATTTAAGCCTTGATAACAGCCTTGGCCGCCTCTCCGACCTGCGCCTCCGACGAAGCCGGCTCCGTCAGCGCAGTCTCAACTTCCCTGGCAGCCTTCTGATTCAACCAGCTCAGGTAAGTCTGCCAGCCCACCGCGATGCAACCCGAAAACACATTGCGGAACTGCGGCGGCACATACATGAAGCTAAATGCAGTGACCATCGGCCAGAACTTGGCGCTATTCACGATACTCCGCGGCAGGGCGACCTTCAGCCGCTCCCATGTCTCCTCTAATGATGCGCCGGATAGTAGTGAGTGGACGCTGAAGAAGTAGGTGTTGAAGACGGGTGTGAAGACGGCTTGCTGGACGACGACTTTGGTGACAATGGAGAGGAATTTGGAGGTGAAGTTGAAGTTATTGTGGAGAAACATGAACCTAGATTGGTTCCGTTAGCAGGACGTCCTCGACATCCGTCCTATTCCCACCGAAGTCGCCAACAAGAATGTAGAAGACTCACCAGTTATACGAGGGTATGCTCGACCCAATGCCCACGGTCAAATGGCGCATCGTCCTCCAAGGGTCATACCCTCCTTTCTCCTCAGCAACCTCTCCGCTGTCCTCTCTACCCGGCTCCGCAACTTTTTGCGCCGGAGCCTCCGGCGGAAAGAAAAACTGCGCGCTCAGATCACCACAAAGATAGATGACTATCGAACTGCATATCTGCGTCGTATACGGCCGTTTCTCCTGGAACCGAGAATATGACCGTCCCATCCGCCCCAAGGGGCTCGCCCTAATTATGTGTCCCAGCGATCGTGATTCGGACCGAGCGGGGACTGTCGGAGATGCTCCTGGCGGCGGCGTAGGAGGGATGCTGTTATGTGATTGCGCAGGGGTAGGCGAGGACGCCGGCGGCTCGCTCTTAGGAGTAGGTCCATGGTCGGGTTTAGATGGTGGTGGTGAAGTAGACTCATATCGTTTTGTCCGTAAGCGCGGGGAAGCGGAGGATCTGGAGGGGGTAAAGGTTGGGCGTCGGAGGAAGAATGAAGGCCTCATTGTGGAAGCAAGGCGCGCCGCGCTCGCCGCGCAGGATGATTAGTCTCTTTGCTGCTTGTGCTATGTCTTCTAGAGCATGGTCTGGGAAGAATCAATGAATGGGTATCGGCGAGAAAAGAGCGACTGAATGCGGATAAGCAACGGAGGTTGTACTCTGGGTAACAATGTGGGACGTGTCCGGACAATCGACAAAGAGCGCAAAAAAAGAAGGTTAAATTTAACAAAAAAGAAATCTTTTAGGTTTGAATAACAAGGGCTAAGTCGAGTTTGATCATCGTGATGGCGACTACTGGAAAATCGGCAATCATAGTCCCAAAATGCCGAGGATCGGAGATGTCTGCCTATCGGAGCGTCCATAGACTCCAGCATTACTCCAACTATGGGGAAATCACGATAACAGCTTAGGAGTTGGGGAATAAATTTGAGAATTATTGATTGTATTATCTCTAAGATGCTAACGTCCACCGTCTATATGCAACAAATCATGCAGGGTATATCAACAATGCAAAGTTAAGACAACAAGAAGACCACTTTTCGCTTCCATCGCATCACACATGGACACATTAAATGGGTAAGGTGTAAAAGCAATGCGGGAATGAATGCTAAGAATTATGTACCGGGGTATAGTATAGGATAGGTGGGCGAATGTAGGCGTAGGCGTCCCGTTTATTTGCCTCCAAACGACTCGCGCGTGTTAACGCGGTCAATGTCGTAAGGGTTGCCCTCGTACAAGGACCTGTGAGACCTGTGGGAAGCGAACGAGCGGGCCGAGGCCTTGCTGCGGAGCTGTCTCATGGTGGGGAGCTCTTCAATAGCGGAATCAGCTTCGGAGCTGGCGTCGTCCTCGGGGTGGGGGGCAGGCGCTTCGGTGCGGTCGTACTTCTCAATCTCCTCCTCCTCGGCGGCCTCCTCTTCGGCTTCGGCTTCGGGCTTGGCTTGGGCCATCATGCGGCGCATGAAGGCGTCAGACTGGGCGGCGTACTTGCACTTGAGACGAATGGGCCTGCCGTACTTGTAGAAGAGGAAGGGGAAGGGAACACAGGCGAGGGCGAGGAACGCAGGGATAGAAGAGGCCCAGTGAATACCGAGGTCGTTGTACATGTAGGAGGTGAATAGTGGGAAGACGGCACCAAAGATGGAACGGAGAACGGAGTTGGCGGCCAGGACGGAGGCAGCGAAGATGGTGTAAGTGTCGATCAGGTAGCTCATGATACTCAGGAAGACCAACACCATGCCGAAGCCGAAGGGAACACCTGCGGCAATGCAGGCCATCCAGTGGACAGAAGGGTAGTTGGTCCAGGCGAACCAGAACAGACCAATCGGAATTGCGACGGAGGCAACCATGCAGGGAGGCAGACGAGCCTCGGGAGGAGCAAATCCGTCATTCTCATCCTGAGCCCTGATGTACCGCTTGTTATCCCAGATACTGTAAGCAACAGCAAAGATCATGCCGACCATGATACCCAGGAAGGGGAGGGCACCGACACCCTGGTTCCAGCCGCGAGTCATTTGGAAAACGATGGGATAGGCGGCGAAAAGCATGTACAGGGTTCCATAAACAATAGCCATGTACAGTGACAGCAAGAAAACAATGGGCTCGCGGAAGAGTAGAATCCAGGGTCGAGACAAGGCCGTCTTGAAAGCTGCGCCGAGGGAAGTCTTTCCCTGTTCAATGTCTGTCTTGCTTCGGTAGACTTTGCCGGTGATCTTGGAAAGTCTTTCAGCACGGCGGCGAAGGAGAACTGGGGCGTATGTCTCTGGCAGGAAGAGAGCTCCGGCAATCCAAAGGACACCTGAAAAGGCACCTAGGAAGCCCATAACCCATTTCCAACCAGCGTTCATTCCGAGGAATCCACCGATGATAGGGCCAAGGACGGGACCTAAAACACAGAATGTCAGCTTTGGGCTCATAATCAAGACGAGTCGTCAGGCCATACCTAAGAACGGAGCAGCAGCGAACAGACTCATGGCAACACCTCGCTGCTTAGCAGCAAACATATCGGCGATAACACCACCAGCATTCGTAAGAGGCGAAGAACCGAACGCACCGGCGAAAAAGCGAAGAATGATAAGGGTCCATGCGTTCTTCGAGCCAGCGCATCCACAGTTGAAAGCCGTAAGAGCCAGGTAGGTAAAGAAGTAAACGATCTGGCGGCCGAACATCTCACTCAGAGGCGCCCAAAGCAAAGGTCCAATTGCGAATCCCAAGACGAAGAGAGAGACGCCCAGGGTCGCAACTTCGCTGCCGATACCAAACTCTGCTTCGATCTCTGCAACACCACCGGTATACGCTGAGGAGACCAAGGCGACGGCCAGTGTCGCAATCGCAGCGACGAGCGTGAAAGACCATTTCTTTTGCGGGGAGAATTCCATGGGGTTCCGAGGATCATTGGGGATCCAGACAACGGCGTAGGGGTCCTCCTCTGTTCCTGATCCAGCGTACTTATGATCGATGACTGCCTGCGTGACGGCGCCCTGGTCGGTTACCAGACGCCAGAAGGGGATCTTGTGCGGTGCAGGCGCCTCAATGGGTGAGGTCCCGTTTGGGGCTCCATGGTCCTCTTTGGCCATGGCGATGAACTCGACTGCCGCTCAGTAGGTGTTGACGTTGATAAGCCACGCGGTTGAAGCTTGCGGAGAAAGCGCGCCGCGCTAGATGGCGTAAAATAGCTCTAGGATGGAGAGATAGCCGGTTGAGTGCGAGGAAGCTATACAAATAGCCTCAGGAATGGGCGTAGGATAGCACGAAACCGGAGATTCGTTTGAAACAAACAAGTATCATTCCTATCAGGGACCCCTCCACCTATATATACAGAGGCACCAGGCTAAGCCGCAGAAAAAGTCTTCTGACTTCATAATTATGGAACCAGGGAAATCTTGACTCGAGTAGTGTCGGATCTCATGCTCAGACGGTCTTGGTGTTAGGCTGTTTCTGGTCAAGATCCAGCGCACTAAGTGGTTGCCAAGGGGCGTTAACCGGCTTATGCCGCCGCTATGCACAGTCTGCGATCATAATTTCCGATGCAGATGGCAAGGTCGGGTTTTGCCGAGTGCTGGAAACGAGAGACCTTGGGCGGCGCCGCTGACATCTGCCTGGTGATTTGTCCAGGGTGCGGTCTTCCGTGGATGACGCTGAAGAACTAGCCGGGCCCGAGATCGAGAACTTCTCTTCCTGGTGGTGGCTTGTGTATAATTCCGTATGTATTATTGGATTAGTGATGAAGCCGCATTTAGGGGTTAAGAGGTTATGCGCCCATCGGAAACGGACTTAAACATTTTTGACGGAGTTCATGTCAGAGTGTCAGTGCTATGCCAGTCCCGCATTCGGCTCACACGGCATCTAAGGTTGCTCTCGGGCTCGGCTGACGATGCGCCCTTCCACGCGTTGCTTATCAGTCAGATTCACGATAACAGAGCAGATAACTATTCTCCGCCGTGCATATAATCCTGGCCTCCTGACGTCTGTGCTTAGCAACCTGGCCCCAGGTCACCAGTTCGTAGCCCACCGAAGGCAAAAATTCCCAGTCTCTGCTCCTAAGGCGCTCGCAGTTGTATAAAATTATACAGACGCGCAACCACGTCTCTATCACCGCAGTGGACCCGTCAACTTCGGAGCCTCGGCGAAAGAAGAAAACTTAGCAATCGGAACCCCATCGTGACCCACTGCGCCAGGTCAAAGCCGTTAAGGGGAACTTCTAGAACCACTTTATGAGGCTTATGCACACGCTGTCAGATAATCGTCCTGAGTCATCGTAGGGTTATGCTGAATCTTCGATTTGCCGAGGTATCTTCGATTTGTTTCATCTGGTGGCGCTGCCTAGGTCCTCGTCTTCGTGGTAGAGGTCTCGGGGCTTTTTCTGGAATGAATAATTAGAACTAATATTATTATTGGATTATGTGAATGTTCTTTGGCCATTTGTTGCTAAAGTCCTCGGCATTTTGGATTATGGTTGCCCTCAGAATATGCGATGCTTATTTGTAGCTTATCGGCGTTGACTGCTTGAGAGTTGAAGATGCCCCTCGAATCACGATCACGCTAGACTAAATGCTCAATCTTGAACCATTCAAAAGTTCAATCAGCTCTCGACAGTATGTATCCACAAGGCAGATTCGCTAATATATATTGTAGTAGGCACTAGTGTAGGCAGCATATGTGCCATATAGATTGGGCGCAATCTCAACCTCGTCTCAGGGGTGGATTAGAGCGATGCGAATCATGCGATGCGGCTTCGGCTCTAGATCATCTACATAGATATTCCAGCACGCAAGGCTTGCGGAAAATGGAAAGAGTCGGCGGCCATCGTCTAATATATACTACTGATGAGACTACAGGTCGGTCTCGCGTCCTACGAAACGGCCTATCCAGAATTCAGATATATTGCAGGCGTGTGTGATGGCCATGGGGGTACTTGTCCAGCACTCGATGCAGAGCCCCGGCCAGCTCGCGAGCAGGTACGTGGTAAGTAGACAGGCGGTGCAGGAGTTAGTATTCGTCATCCTTTATATCTGAGTGAGGAGACACCATTACAGTCCAGGCAGGGGACAACAATACTCTTCACAGGGCTGCCCGGAGTTCGACTTCACTGACTTGTCTGGTGTTTCTCATACGGTGGTAGTCGCATCACGGTCGCGCCTCTCCTGGATCGAAAGACCCGGCCGGCGGTCGCGCCGTGGGAAACGAGGCGTATCTCTGCTGGGACTCTCCTGGAGTAAGTTGAGCTTACCTTGTCGCGCTTTGAAGACAGCAACCAGCGCCATCCACGCCGGTCGAGTGACCATCCAGTCCAAGGACATCGAGGCTCCCCTAGAGACCACGATTACGCGTCGCGATGAGCATGGCAGGGAGGGGCGTGTGGAACTGGGAACGCGGTGGTGCCTGCGACCGCGAGAAACCAGCACGTTTTGCATGCTACTGATTACAAGTGAAGGTTGAATGGGACTTGGCTTGATTGATCATAGATACTGCATTGCGTCCATGCCATCCGGTGGCATCGACATGACACCATGCGAGGATTGAAGAGTCCTTAATGTACATAGTATTCGAGTAGACCCATGAGAATCGCCAGCCGCTATGGGCAGCCTACTATTTAAAACGTAGCGAGAAAAACAAAACCCATTGCCGAACCCATTGATATTGTGGAAAAAAGAAAACCCGTCATGTATCGCCAGTCATGAAAAAGAAAAGATGAACCCCGTTATCGCCATCCCAGAAGAACCAACCACGAAGAAAAGCAACTTAAGAGCGCTCACCGCGGAGGCGGCGGGCGAGCTGGATGTCCTTGGACTGGATGGTGACACGCTTGGCGTGGATGGCGCACAGGTTGGTGTCCTCGAAGAGGGAGACGAGGTAGGCCTCAACGGACTCCTGGAGAGCACCGATGGCGGAGGACTGGAAGCGGAGGTCGGACTTGAAGTCCTGGGCAATTTCACGGACGAGACGCTGGAAGGGGAGCTTGCGGATCAGGAGCTCGGTGGACTTCTGGTAGCGACGGATCTCACGGAGAGCGACGGTACCTTGAGGGTTATTAGTATGACGCGACGAGATGATAAGTGGGATGAGTGGTACATACCGGGCTTGTAGCGGTGAGGCTTCTTGACACCTCCGGTAGAGGGAGCGGCCTTGCGGGCAGCCTTGGAAGCGAGCTGCTTACGGGGAGCCTTGCCACCAGTGGACTTACCTGTTGGGGTAAAGTCAGCATCATGAAGCTATTCAGGGAGCGACGCGACCGTGACACGGCCGTGCCACGAGAGAAAGGACAGCAAGGTGAGGACTTACGGGCAGTCTGCTTGGTACGAGCCATTATTGACGATGAGGTTTGATGGATTTAGTGGAGTTTGAGATGAAATTTGATGATGTAGTTGGGAAACTCGATGGCTGAATATAGGTAGTCGGAAAGGATAGTTGGATGTAAGAAAGATGGAGGGGGCGGGTGGGGGAAGGTATTTGTAGTAAGCGAGAGGCGGGTGGTGATCCTGTGGTTTGCCTGCAAAGTTGGGTGGCCTTAGCGCCCTTTCCTTTGATCAAAAAAAGCGTTCGGAAAGCAGCACACCATAAGCCGTGATTTCGCGGCCCAGTTTTACTGGGGAGATCGAAAGGGTTGCGGGCCAGGCGGTCAGCCTGGCAGTTACACTAAGCGAGACGTTCCCGGAGGGCCAATCAGCAATCAGGATCATTGATCTGGAATGTCCCCCATTCACTTACTGATCCCATCCCCATCCCCGAATTCTTGCCAGATCAGAATTATTCCAGTAGTTTCTGTAGCCCGTAAGAATTTACTTTCCACTCTCCGTATTCTGATCCGCGTCTTGACGCGTCCATGCGGCGCGATCAACTTCCCCCTGCAAGATCAACTGCGTCATGGTCACGTTACCGCCCGTTCTAGTCCGCTCATCAGATCAACCGCCCCCGTCCTCTGATTGGTCAATCCTCTCAACGTGAGTGATTCCGGCTCTCTCCCCACGCGCTTCCCTTCTCTATACAAATATCTCCTGTCCCGTGAAGCACATCCGCTTTCCATTCTCAACAACTCTCGCCGTCCACTTGACGTTTAATCTATCTCCACCTCACAACCTTAACCTTAAATCTCTTCACACACTATCAACATGTCTGGACGTAAGTGACATCTATCTGCCATCCATCCCATTGAGGCTATCTCGAAGATCATCGACTGACGCGTCCTCTCTACAGGTGGAAAGGGTGGAAAGGGTCTCGGAAAGGGCGGTGCCAAGCGTCACCGCAAGATCTTGCGTGACAACATCCAGGGTATCACCAAGCCCGCTATCCGCCGTCTCGCTCGCCGTGGTGGTGTCAAGCGTATCTCCGCCATGATCTACGAGGAGACCCGTGGTGTCCTCAAGACCTTCCTCGAGGGTGTCATCCGTGACGCCGTCACCTACACTGAGCACGCCAAGCGCAAGACTGTCACGTCTCTCGACGTTGTCTACGCTCTCAAGCGTCAAGGCCGTGAGTACCCTCGATCGTTGTTTCATCCCATTCGCTCTAACCGGTCCGCTCTCAGGTACCCTCTACGGTTTCGGTGGTTAAGCGTGTTCTTTCTGCATTTTTTTCGTTTCCACCATCCTGCGCGGTCGGCGCGTCGATTGTCCTTCCGCAGCAGTGACGCGACGGTTTGCTTTTCGGGTTGGTTCACGGTATGACTGGGACGTTGGGGTGTTCTTGATCTTTTATTACACAAGTGTCATGGGTCTCTGGGTTTGCTTTAACGTATCTTCTATTTACTATTTCCCAAGCGTCCACTACTGGCTAGTTAGTGTTCGTCTTTGATTTTCTGTATCATAGCCTTCATGCTCCCGGCTGGCGCCATGGGCTAAATACGATCGCGCTGCATGAGACGCGGTCATATGAATACAACCGATCAAAAAATCATCTTACTCCTTGTAGCCCTTGTGGTCTTCGTAGTGTTTTCCTGTTTTCGGCCTTGGTGCTCATCGTTGTTTTGGTCGCCAGTTTCGCGTTCGCGTTTGGCTGCCTTGTCGCCTTGTGTCCTCGGTGTACATATCGAGCTCTATAGTGGCAGTGTCTGTATACTTCGACCTGTGTTTTGTGTATGGTATTTTCTTTAATAATGAACATCTCATGCGTTCTCTTCTCTCCCTTTCGGCCATGTGGTGCGTGGGTAGGTGTGTCCAGTTTGTCCATCGTAGATCTCAATCCGTCCCTCGTATATCCGGCCTCATGAGTAGCTTGCTTCCTTGGCCTCAATCCCATGGGAGCTGCTATGTTTGAGGTCTGGTCCCTTCTACGCTGGCGTCGTGTCTTGCTGTGGACTGGGTATGTAGTGATGGAAAACCTACGGTGCCAATGTAGAGTTGGGTTTGAAGATGATGCAGTACTGTTATGCTGGAGTAGTCGACGATATATATATCGACGTGCAAGTCCACGGTTTTGCCGAAACAGCCCAGAATGCGGGTACGAGGACTCATTAAACATACCACAATACTAAGCTTCTAGCAAAGAGCATTGATATACTACATATAACTACACCAAGCACATTGTCGCGACACAGAAGCTGCACAGCGGCCTTGATATATACAGCTCGGGAAAGGGCCGGATTCGGGCCCATTGAAACGTATGCCAAGACCTTCCAGATCGAGGAAAGCCCGACCCGAGCACTGGGAGGCCGGTCATCGAAGTTGCAACGAAGACGCCAAGTCCACCAAATGGGAATGGCCGCGTCGGTTATCGTCCCTTAGATCGCGAGCCACCCTTGAACAACACCATTGAATACGTTGAAGAACGAGACTTACGGCCTATGATGCTACTGAAAACGTCTGACTATCCCAGTCGCTGATTACATCCGGCGAAGTCCATGGCAAATGGACAGTAAACGCGAAAGACAACACCATTGCGCGACGGAATCATGTACCGTCGGCCCACCGTATAGCACACAAGTTACAACTGAAAACGAACACATCAAGGCCATAATCGGTATTGGAAACCAGATACACCAGCRCCAACCTGAACACACATGTCAGTACCCGCGAACGGTATGCCAACAGCCAAACACCTGCAACCACAGGACACAAAAACGCGATCATGCACATCCCAACGTGGTACGGTCTGAACCATCGCCATTTATGCCCCATCCGCTGCAAAGCCAAGATTGGGATTACAGAGCCTCCGACCTACAGAGCCTCCGACCAACAGAGCAGCGATGACAACGGTACTCCCATTAAATCCGACATTCTCGAGCAGCTGGGGAAACCTTCAAGGGCCTAGGTCAGCCCATGCCGGATACTTAACAAGCGGATAGTCCATCTACCAGAACGGCCCAATGAAACCCCAGGTCTGCCTGACGAAGGTAATAAACACCCCCACACCAGCCGCGTCCTGTGAATAACAGTCAACTGCATAGGTGATATTGACTTTCGTGACGATTTGATTTCTGCTGCAGCAATCGCAGCACTGATCAACGGCGATATATTCCACAGCCCAGAGGCGTTATCTGTCTGGACCAAAAACACTACGATGCCGCAGATTGCGAGACCAATCCCGCTGTAGCTAAGCCACAACCGATGCTCGGGCACCGGAGTCCGACCGATTCGTCTCTCACGATACGACATCAACTGATCAGAGAGATGGCCGCCCACGTGCTCGACAAGGTCCGAGCCGATGACGATAGCTAGACTCTGGAGGCCAACCTGCTGCGCACCCAGGCCGAACTTATCAGGAAACACCTAGGGGACCTCGATTGCTATTAGGATACCAGCCAGAAGAAAGACAATGGAGTACGCGACGGCAGGGAATAAAACAGATGGGCGTGTAGCCAAGGTCAAAGGACTGAAGGAGTCTCCCAGGGTTAAAGGGGTCGAGTTGAGACGCCCGACTTCGAATAAACGCGACCCGGTTGGTTTCTCGTTATTTTGAGCGGACGGAAGGTAAAGCGTCTCACGGCCGAGCAAGAAGTACAAAACGAGCTGGATGCCGTTGACCCGAAGCTTGCCAGCAACCCGGGTGCAAGTTTTACGCCTACGTCTCGCAACGAGAGAGCAGCAAGGGAATTCAGACCATTGCCAATACCCAATAAATCCACCGATATCCCACCCTCACAACCACAAGCCCGAAGATAAACGGATATTTCCGACAAGGCTGCAGATCAACGAGAGCAGAAACACAGGACGTCGACCATAACGATCAGCAAGGGGCTTCCAGATCAAAGGTGCAGCGCCGAGAACAGCAATGATCAGGGAGGTGAGATAGCTAGCTCGGTGCACACCGACGCCCAAATCATCTGCTATTCCCACAAGGCACACTGTATAGCCGCCGTGGTGAACGTTGCCATCACTGCATGGAAGGCAACTAGGGCGAGGTTGATGATTTTCCGAGGTCGAACGAGGAGTCAGCACAGTCCAACTCACCAACTGATAGCGGGTGCGTGATACCTTCCAAGCCGGCCAGTTGTACGGGTCGTTGTCGTCCATCAACGGGATAGGGTTGAGCTGCAACGTCCCGTGACGATTCAGAAGATAGTTCTGATGCTCCCTTGATAGGCCCTCCTCACCGCCGGTGCTGAACATATCAGATGGCACCCCGGGGATACCTGCCTCGACATGCTCAAACTGTGGTTTGTACATCCTACCGGTGCTTGGATCTTACATTCGGAGGAAGCGGCACGGGATCACGAACGCATATCTATTTCTTTATAGCACCAGGACAAGTGGGGACTGGGGATGCCTGGCCGACCCATAATACCTCTTTCCCAGATTTAGTTCGAGACCCCTCAAACTCTGCCCATGCCCCTCGGAGCTCTGAAGACTAGGAGTCGTTTAGCGAACGAGCTGGTGAAGCCATCATCAGCGTTACTGAGCGCAGATATTATCCCGCGTAGCTTTCCTACAGCATCGCCATCATCCTGGACTATTTGAGACAAACTTTGCCTCATATGGTCTGTTGTACGAGGCCCGAGGGAAGTTCCCTCACGGGACAGGAGAAATTGTGAGATCAAAGGAAAGTTGACAAGCATCCGCATTCGATAGTATTGGATGGACAAGTGTACTCGAGCAGCGACACGGCCATCTGTTCCCTTCGAGGGCGCTGATAATTCGAACGGCGATATCAGGGCTCCGACCAAGGCCAAACTGTCTGACCACACATCGATCTGCCAGCTTAGATCGGCCCATTGGGAGAGAGTCTGCATTCTGGGAGGCTCTGCCCGCTCTAAGTTACCGTTGTACAAGGCTTCCACGGCTTGTTCAATGATGGGATGAGACGCCCTGTGACACAATGAGTGACTTCACTGCCGGCGATAAAAGCTACAAGTATCTTACACAACCTTGGCGACGTAAAGGTCGCTAATATTTGGGCTGGGTATCTCATCGTTGACCACATTGTGGGATTGCGGTATCAAGAACGGTCGGCCTTGCGTCAACCCCATCACCCTGCGGCAGCTGTTAGTTTCTTGGTTATCAGGGAGAAAATGACGGCTTTCCTGTCATTTTTGACCACCCCATTACACAGACGCCAGCGGAGGATATTCTCATCTGGCTTTCTGGCGGCCGCCAAAGACTGAAGCCCGATGTGAAACGCAGCCTTGACACACAGCGCATGAGTTGTATAGCTGGATATCGAGCGCCGATGGTTCTGCTTGTACTCGACCATCAGGAGCAGCGTTTGCACTGACCAATTAGCACGACTCGAGCATCAGAGACGGAGGCCGGACCTAGCTCATAACTCGGACGTTCTAGAGTCCTCGAGTCAAGCAGCGCGACCGACCTCTCGTAGAACGTTTCTTGCCGAGGTGACCCAAGCGATGCGGCTGCATGTGCCCAGACAATGTTCAGCAATGCGAGCAGCACCTTTCGAAACCTCGGTGGTTGCTGGTCGACCGATTTATGGTACTCCTCTAGTAGAGCCGGCTTGCTGATATACGGGTAGCACCAAGTCAATCGTCGAGAAGTACCCGTTGAGAAGTGTCGCGGCGTCATCTTTTTGCGGTAGTGCATACAGCTCGCTATTTGCAGGGGCTGCTGCTGCTATCGCACTGTCATTCCCCGCATTGGATGCTTCATAATGTCGCTGGGCACAATGATGGCACGGATCCAGGCCCTGTGCCGCACCGCTCGCCGGTAGGTACATCATCATTGTTTGAGCGAAGATTTTCGAGAGCAGTCGAAACATGGCATAGTTAGAGGTAGGTCCTTTGCTGGCTGTCAGACTTTTTGCTAGATGAGAATGGTGACACTCACCGAAATATCCGATTTCGCTATCTGATGCTTCCGTCAAGGCGTGCGTTGAGAGTATGTCAACAGGCACACCCTCGTCTACGGCCGTTCGCTGGCTAGGAGACTCTTGTTCCTTCTGTCTATCCATGGCGATAGCGCTATCATCTCCCGAGTTCAAAGGTGTCGTAGAGACACTTCGCAGCTTTTCCTCGAGGATCTCTATCCTCTTCATCAAGTCATATCGGCTCCTGGAACGTGTCAGAGGTTGTTCTGCGATTCTCGGAACCAAGGCCTACCGTCCTGGCTTCGTTACCCGGCCACTGCCATGAGGCGGCGTATAAAGACATTCGAGTTGTTGATCTTGACACCGAGAGCAACTCGGTCRTGTTCCTTCACACTGCAAGTCGTCAACTGCGAACCGGCACTGATGGAGCTGAACACGGCTACCTTGAGTTTCCGGCGCCGGCACTCGGCGCAGGCGACCTCCGTTCTTCCAATTTTGCGTACTTTAGTCATATTGTAGTCGTTCCTGTAATTTGCTGCTACGTAGTTGCTTGGAGCCCTGGTCTTCTCCACGATGATCCCCCATATCTCGAGATTTCCCCACACCGATGCCAGCCCGCGCTTGACCAATCGGAAGAGCCCTTCCCGCGTCTCTATCCGAGCCCGAGGGCACCCTCCGTCCTCAACTCAACCAAACGCTCATACAGTTATACCTTGAGCTTGAAGGTTACTTGTGCGGGGTACTGCTAGTCTCATGCATCATCATCCAAACTCGCCATCCGAGGTCTTCCAGAGATAAATACCCACCGAACCCTAGCCCGACCACAATGGCTGCTCGAAGCACTCCGTTACGAAGAACAACACAAGATGATGTTGACGTTCATTACCAACTCGGTGAGCAGAACTATCTGGGCTGCTGGAGTGGCTATTCTTACTATCGCAGCGTTAGTATACGTTGTCTATCAGCGTTACCTTCATCCTTTGTCCAAGTACCCAGGTCACTTCCTCGCAAGTGTCACGGACCTATGGCAGGCCCATCAGTTCTTCACCCTCCAGCAGCCCTACAACTTGACCAAACTCCACGAGAAGTACGGGCCAGTCGTCCGATACGGTCCGGACAAGCTGAGTATCATCTACGAGAGCGCCATCCCTATTATCTACCAGAGAAGCGCAAAGCCCATGCCGAAAACCGAGTTCTACGACGCATACGGAGCCGCTCATCCGAATGTGTTCGGCATGCGCAATGAAGCAGTGAGATACTTTCATTCCCCAGAGGCCTAGGCATCTCTAACAAATGCTGTTTTAGTTACATTCTACAAGACGGCGCCACATGTCCCATAGTTTCGCCGCCAGCTACATCAAAGAGATGGAGCAGTACATGGACCTGAATATCGCTATCCTCAAGGACCGGATCCGCTCATACTGCAGCAGCGGCGAGGCCTTCAACCTGAAGAGACTGCTTCACTACTACATGATTGATGTGATTGGAGAACTCGCCTTTAGCCAGTCGTTCGGGGTGCAGGAGGCCGACGATGAATCGCTTGTTCCTCCTGTAATTGAGCATAGCCTGCTAGCCGCCGTGACTGGTGCATGGCCGTCCATGACAAAGGCTTTGAAAAAGTGGCTCCCGTACATACCGCACGATGGTCTTCGAAAACTCTTCACAGGCCGAAAAGCCTGCGCGGATCTTGCCTCGACATGTGTTCAGCGCTGGCTGAGGGACTTGAAGGGTGATGGGCCGTTGGGTCAAGAAGACAGGGAGGACATTCTGACCAATCTGATCAGAGCCAAACATCCGGAGACCGGGGAGAAGCTTACGAAAATTGACCTAGAAACAGAGGCATTTGGCTTTATGTAAGTTTGCCTCTAGCTCCTTGGTAACAGCAAAGTAAACAGGTACTAATGGCGTCCAGAATCGCAGGAACACACACTACTAGCGCAACCTCAACCCTCCTATTCCACCATCTCCTCCACAATCCCGATTTTATGAAGACCTGCATCGAGGAGATAGACTCGAACCTCCCTGCTCTCGGCTCACTTGAGCCGGCATACCCAGTAACAACCGCCGAGTCCTCACTCCCTTTCCTTCGCAACTGCGTGCGTGAGAACTTCCGCCTTACGCCTGTCTTCACAATGCCACTAGCTCGCTGCGTCATGGATCCAGCCGGGGTGACCATTGAGGGTCATCATTTCCCTCAAGGTGTACGTACCGCCCTATTTAAATAACTACTAGAAAGTACCACCTAACCGACTCTGTATATCCAGACCTCCAACGCCGTCTGCAACCACGCCTTCCACCACAACCCCGACGTCTGGGGCCCAGACCACAACATATTCGACCCAACTCGGTGGGACGACCCATCCATCGCCGCCAATGCGCGCCTCTCCTAGTGTACCCAGGGTGAGCATAGCGTGGGCTGCTTACCTACCTGCTTACTTGCTATGCAGCTAGACGAGGGAGCCAACGAGGACTGGGCGCATTCGCCAACCGAGGCTGCGTCGATAGACGCTCCACTTGCGTAATCAGCCTTAGGTATAAGCGCATTGAGAAGCCTCATGCATTTCGGCCTCGGCGGACGACAGTGCATCGGGAAGACAGTGGCCACGACAAACATCTACAAGCTCTTCAGCACTATACTGAGGGAGTTCACATTTGAGCTAGCGAATGAGTGGGAGCGAATCGATGCCGAGAAGGGCTTGTATAAGGGTAAGATCCCGGACCTGGTCAGCGTGGGAGTTAGTGACCTCGCCGGGCCGTTGTTAGTTAGGGCTCGGGTCCGTTAAAAGTAAAAGCAATGATGATTTGATGCGGGAAGATGCAGAATTGACCTCGAAAGTTACCGTATGCAGGAGTTGGATATTTCATGGCAGGTGAAGCTGGCTCTCATATGTGCAGGCCGCTCATTATATAGGTAGAGCCAAAGGTAGAGCCGATTCTCGTGATTTGAACTCTTTGCGGGTTTTACTTCCTGGTCTCTTTTCCTTCTCCCCCTTACCTACCGGTACCGCTGACCCTTGGCATGCGGGGAGGTAGGTACCGGTACCTGACCTATAGTACTATCTTCTATAGCACTTTAGGTACCAGCACACCGCTAATTCTGTCCGCCTCCCAGCTGCTGCATTCCCCTTCCAGCTCGACAGATACTCACCCGTCTGACTGTCAAGCAGAATGAGAAGTTATCAATGGCACCGACACCTTCGAAAACGCGTCTCTACACGCGAAGGGAAATCGAAGCCCTGATCGCAAACAACGCAAAGATCATAATCCTAGATGGCGAAGTGATCAAAGCCGACGCGTGGATCCCGTACCACCCTGGCGGCGAGAAAGCGATCTTGCACCTTGTTGGCCGCGACGGGACAGATGAGATACGCGCGCTTCATTCGAGAGAAGCACAGGCGCGGATGAGGAAGTTTGTGATTGGAAGAATTGAAGGGAGGTGGGAGAATTTCTTGCCGCCGATACAGGGGGGCTTCTTTAGGAAGTTGGGCGAGGATGGAGATGGACATGAACAAATTGAGGATGAAAAAGGCGTCGCTACAGAGCTACCTCCGGCGATCGGTACCAAAGTGAAGCCGAAGCTCAATGGCAATGCGCTCGAGCATGCGAAGACCGTGGAAGCATCTACAGCCCACGCCATATCATCCGATATGACAAACTACCCTCCCCTCGACCAAGAGTCTCAAGACACAATCATCCAGAAATACCGCCAACTTGACGCACGTCTCCGTGCCGAAGGACTGTACGACTGTCCATATGGCTCCTACGCTATTGAAGGTCTTCGATGCATAGCCCTCTTCACCCTCTTCCTAACATGCCTGCACTACGCCTACTACACTCTCGCAGGACTCTTCCTCGGTCTGTTCTGGCATCAGCTTCTCTTTACTGGTCATGACGCCGGGCATATGGGCATAACCCACAATTTTCATATCGATACCTGCATCGGGATTTTCATAGGCGATTTCCTCGGCGGACTCTCGATAGGCTGGTGGAAGAGGAACCATAATGTCCATCATATCGTCACGAATTCACCCGCCCATGATCCAGATATCGAACACCTACCGTTCTTCGCGATATCCTCTGATTTCTTCAACTCGTTATACTCGAGCTACTATGACCGAGCTCTGCCCTTTGATGCTGCTGCCAGGTTGTTTGTAAAGTACCAGCACTGGCTCTACTACCCCATTCTGGCGCTCGGCCGATTCAACCTCTATTTCCTAGCTTGGTCCTACCTAGTTAGTCCAACGCAGGTTGTGAAGAGAGGCCCGGCGTGGTGGCATCGGTACGTGGAGATCGCTGGGCTGGTCTTCTTCTGGTACTGGTTCGGGTATAGGACGATCTACCTTTCCATCCCAAGCTGGTCGAGCAGGGTTACATTCTTGCTTGTCTCGCATGTGGCCACAGCACCTCTCCACGTGCAACTCACATTAAGCCACTTCGCCATGTCAACCGACACAGCCAACACCTCCATCTCCATATCTGGGAAGCTGCATGAGTCCTTCCCGCAACGCATGCTCCGCGCAACAATGGACGTCGACTGTCCGCCCTGGCTCGACTTCTTCCACGGCGGGCTGCAGTTCCAAGTCGTGCACCATTTATTTCCGCGGCTGCCGAGGCATAATCTACGGAAGGCGCAGAAACACGTCAGGGAGTTTTGCGCGGATGTCGGGATCCCTTATGTGATCTTTGGGTTTGGGAGGGGGAATCAGGAGGTGATTGGCAGGTTGGGCGAGGTTGCAGAGCAGTGGAGGGTCTGGGAAGAGTGTCGGAAGGTTGCGGCGAGGGAGTTGGTGGAGGGGTATCAGAGGTGATACTAAGAGGCGACGAGGAGCATTTTGATCGGAGACTCGGTCTTTATTGTTGCCAAGTTCTAGCGAGGTAGGCCAGAACAGGAAGGCACAGACAGTCCCCTGGCCCAGGCCATCGCACTTGCCTTGTGGGATAGGAGCAGATGTTAAGGGAAATGACACACTAAACTCTTCGGTCACTTGTCTTCAGAAATGGTTGAATCTATTGTGCAGCTACCACTCCAACGAACTCAACACATTGACAGGAATCGCGATTTTGACGAACCATACCTTCCTGCGCTCGGGATCGCGATAGAGTGCGGGCCTTCGAACAACCAAAGCACTCTTCCAGTGCCGGGGCAAACAACGCATGAGGTATTGGCCAATGTACTTTTAACGAAAAGGATCCTGCATCCATGGCGACATGCCGTGAGCTGGAGGGGGAATGCTGATAACAATAAATCTTTCTGGTTCTCAGGGACGAGCCTGATCCTCCGCTGGCCAACCTTTGCTTCACTAGTACGCTATGGAGACCGGGCTCCCCGGGGCCCTAGGTAACGCCCCAGGTGACTCAGTTCGCCTTCCCGGGTACTAGCATTACCGGGGCTTGGCAGTCAGAGGGAAGAGGCGGCAGGGATAGAGACGGAGTCTTTCGACTGAAAGGTAAACTGGATCTCTGTTGACCATATTGCTGATGATTGATGCTGTCATAGCTACAGAAGCTAAACTATCACAGGCTCTCATTCAAAAAGCCGAATACTCCGTATACCGCTCCCTAATCCACCTCTGGTGCAGACTACTATATCAGAGTCGGCATTTCCAGTTCTCACCACTGATCAGGGTCCGCATCGGCAAAGGTCGTCCCCGCCGCAATCTCATCATACCAGACCTGGCGCGTCCCCTGACTGCCCTCCAGATACCCCTGATCATGCCACGAATTCGCATACAGACCAGCGCGGAACTGAAACGCCCGATCGTGCGCAATCGTCGTGGCGATATCATAAACCTCGAGGACCTTCGCCCCATCCAACCAAACCTTAAAGTACCCCGTGTTTCCAGACTGCCAATTCACCTGCAGGACAATCTTATGCCACTCGCCCGCGCTCACGGTGCCCAAGTTGGGAAAGGTCCTCGTGGCCTGGTTGCAGATTGTCCCCGTCTTCACGCGCGAGTACAGCTGGTTCCCCTGCAGCCAGATCATGGTGGACGGCATCCAGTCCTCGCAGCCGCTATCGGTGAAGTCGGCGATGAACTGCGCGAGGTTGTAGGACTGGGAGGTGAACTCCCAGTTCTGCTGCAGGCGGAAGGCGAAGCCGTAGAAGCCTGTGTCGCCGCGTTTGTAGACGTTGTTCTTCACGACTTCGGAGTGGTATCGGCCGCTGTAGCTGCTGTCATAGGTTTGGATGGCTTTGATGGCGGTGGAACCCTGGTAGACGACGTTGGTGACTTGTTCGATCTTGCCGTTGTGTTCTTGGTTGATGGAGTCCCAGCCAGAGGTGGTGCCGGTGTTGCTGAAGATCTGGCTGGCGGAGGCAGTAAGGCTGAGTGCCATCAAGGCAGCCGTGGAGAAGAGTTTCGAATGCATGTCGGATCAAGGAGAGGAATCTCAGAGGCTGCTGGAATGAATAAAGATTGAGGAGGAACAAGGTCAGCGAGGACTCTCTTATATACCTTTTTCAACACCCGCAGCTGCAGTCTGACCATACCTACAGGGACCCTCAGCCTCAGCCCATCGTGCCCTGTTCCCATCACATCATTGCACGAGCCCCAGTCATTAGGCTATCGGCCTCAGATTAATCTCATTTTAGGCTGCTCGAGCCAGATCGATTTCCCTCTTCAGTCGACATGTTTTAGCCACCATGTTTGTAGAGTGCCCTGATGCTCCACCAGGGCGCCAACGGAGGTTTCCCCGCACAAGCAATGGCTGCGATGCACTAGCGGTGGATCCAGGGTCTCGCTACTAGGTAGATTACTGTGGAGTAATTCAATCGCCCAATGAACCGGATGACTTTCTTAGCGCGACCGAGTGAACTGGATGACTTTCTGACAGAGCGCTGTTTCGGCCCCGTCACACAACTTGCCTAGTAATTTACTAGTAAAATTGTTCTTTGAGGCTCGACCCCGGCCAAACAGAATAGTACCCTTGTTTAACAAAATCGATTCTTCATAATCCTAACTAAACTAAGCATTCTGAAGCTATTCCGAACGTCTAAAAGTTATATTTACGTTAATAGAATGCAGGAATCTCATTGGTCAATTTAAAAAGGGGTAATTATCTAAAACGAATAACTTTGTGCGCCCGCAGAGGCCTCGTACGCCTGCCAGTTCCTTCCTAACACGGCCAAATTGAAGCTATTTAGACTGGGGATCGTAGTGGGCGTAGCGGGTGTAGCAAAGGCCTTGTACGCCCGCCAGGTAAAGGCCTTGGTGGTGAAGGAGGTGCGTGTCTACGATTACTAGCTAAAACGCGGCGCTAAACTCCTTTAGGTCATTTTTGTCAGAAAGTCATCCGATTCACTTGGTCGCGCTAAGAAAGTCATCCGGTTCATTGGGCGGTAATTCAATCTTCTGCAGGTGAATCTTAGTGATCGCTCACTCATCTTGACAAACCATGCTGCCACCAATGGGACATCACGCCTGGTAGTCTGGCTCTTCAGCTCTTCAGCCCGGCCAGGACTGTTTCAGGGCGAAGGCGCCCGATGCAAGATTTCTGGCCAACAACAGCAGAAGGATGTTCGTTTGCTTGCATAGAGACCTCGGCGTCGCCGAAGAATTCTTGTGGTCCGGCCCGGCCCTTCAGGTCCAGGCTGCGACTCTGCGAGACAGTAGACTCGGCGCCTAGCAGCCATGGCGATTGGCGGGGTTATTGTGGATTTTCCACTGAGGTTCCAGAGAGATCGTGGATGTAACCGTGCTGGCCTAGCCTAGCATATCTTGATGAAATTAGTTTGAGCTTCGAGGTGTGGTCAGATCCCATATGGTACATTTCAGCCGCAAGACGATAGTGCATCAACCACCGCTGTTCGAGTGATTCATTGATGATGATGATGCCAACGGCTGTGGCAGTCCATCCAAACATAACATGCATTTTTTCTATAGCAGACGTCTCACTCACGATGCTATAGCTCATGATTAGAAGCTTCTTAACCACACTCATTAGCTTCGGAAGATCAATCTACATGGATGTTCGTTAGATCTTCCTGAAAGCCGACGGCCGCATAAGTATTTGAGCCGTCTACTCCGTAGCCGAAGAAAACAAATGACAATGTCCACCTCAATGATAGTCTTTCTGGCCGCGGTAGTTATCAACGTTCGAGCCTTCCACGTTTCTGAGTCAAATAGAGCAACACTGGTGAAGTTGCAAGGCTAGAACTGGAAGGGAGTTCCGGCATTATGTAGACATGGCAAGAGCATGGGCCATGGTTGATTTGTTGTTGGGCGCGTCTTGATGGTATAATGTATGTCTATACGCGCGTATGCGTATGCATGGTGCAGCTACCTAGCCTAGTCTTGGTAGACTATGGACTGGACGGTAGGTATACTCCAACTTCGCTGCTATTGCACACTAGGCTAGGTACGCAGCCGGTTAGCCTGAGCAATAGGACAGGCTCCAGTTGCTATCTTTCACCACTGGGAGCCGAGAACTGCAGAGCCAAGGCAAGCTAGGACCAGTGGTTTGGAGCCATTGATCTCGATAGCGCTCTCAATTGCCCTGAAGAGTTAGACGATTTAGCAAAGGAAGGAAATAGCCCGTCCCGCGAGAACTACCCCTCTATCTCCCCCTCTCGTTATTTTCCCTCAGGGTCCTGCCTCTTCATTTCTCGATCCCAACAGACCTAGGGAGCTATCCAGAAAAAAACACAGCAACATGGCGAGCACACTGTCCGATCTAACTTCCACCATCACAACCGCATTGTCGAACCTCCCACCACCAGACCAGATCCAAGATGCCGAACGCATGAAGCTTCTAGGCGCGATAAGCCAGCTCCAGGAAGCGCTGGAGCCTCCCGAGCTGGCCGTACAGAGGATGAGTGCTGGGGTACGTCGTATCCGAGGCCTTCGAGCTAAGCGCACGCCTTATGTTGAGCTTGCTAACACAAACACTGAACAGTTCTACCACACTGCATATATACGGGTCGCGCAGGGAATGGGGGTTTTCGACGCATTCGCTGAAGCAGGGGATGTAGAGATGAGTGCCCAGGAGCTTTCTGCGAAAACTAAGGGGGATGCAATGCTTCTGAGTAAGTGAAAATTTGTCTCTTCATCCCTCCGGTGGGTCGAGAAGAACGCCACTAACTCGCCAGAACGTGTGATGCGACACCTCTGCGCTCACCGTGTCTTTGAAACTACCACTGCAGGAGCGTATCGGCCTCTGCCGCCAGCGATAGCGCTCAAAAGTGGCACGGTGCCTAATGAATTAATAAAGCACCAGTAAGTAGGATACTGTATTTGTCGATATTGGTACTCATATTGAATGCAGACATTCAGTCATGCAAGTGTCTGCGAAACTCTTCGACTACTTCGAGAAGAACGGCTACCGAAACCCCGACGACGCCTACGACGGGCCCTTCCAGTACGCGTACGGTACAAGCGACCACTACTTTGACTGGTTGAAGAAGAATCCCGAGGTACAGCATGCCTTCAACGTGGCAATGACGGAGACCGAGCGGGATAGCGGGGACTATTGGTTCGATCTCTATCCAGTTACGGAGAAGCTGGCCACCTCTGATCCGGATCGAGTTTCGATTGTCGATATCGGTGGTGGCGTGGGTCACACCCTCAGAGCCTTCGCCAAGCGGTTCCCCGAACTACCAGGCAAACTGGTTCTCGAGGATCTTCCCCAGGTGATTGACGATATCAAGGAACCACTTCCGGAGAACATGGACACCGTCAAGCATAGTATGTTCGAGCCGCAACCGATTCATGGTGCCCAGGTGTACTATTTGCGGCGGGTATTGCACGATTGGCCGGACAAGCAAGCATTGCTAACTCTGTCTCACATCCGGGCCGCCATGGTGGAGGACTCGGTCCTGCTCATCCACGACTACACGTTCCCAGACGGCCATGACGGCCCTGATGTTTCACCATTGGCGGTGATAATTGACCTTCAGTTGATGGAGCTGTTCTCCTCTCTTGAGCGAACACAGCAACAATGGGTGGCTCTTCTCGAGAAGGCGGGATTCAAGGTGGCGAACATTTATAAGGGGCAGTCGGACGCACTCCCCTCTGCCCTTTATGAGGTAACCTTGTGAAATCTGTATGTCCACAGTTCGGAGTATAGATAGAGCCCGGCGTTGGTTTTGCAGTAGTGGATAAATAATGAAGCCATTGGGGGTCTCTGGAATCATGAAGTGCTGTTCTGAATCTGGTCCATCGTAGAATAGTCGTGGCCGCGCGGACCATTGACCAATTTGCAGCATGCTGCGTGGAACTCCAAGTGCTTCTTGAGATAGTGACTCAATTCTTCATGTGATTGCCCACTGACAGCCAGAAAAGAGAGAATCTCATCGTCTGCCTTTAATTCCGCCTTCAAATTTTCCAGAGCCAACGAAGCCCCTACATTTGAATTGCAGAGCGCTTCGCAATGCGGCCACGCCAGAAGAGCGTTGATCGCCTGCAACCGGACTGAGTAATCCGGGCATTTGGATGCGATCATCCACAGAGTAGGGATGACGCCGTTATCGAGAGTGATTGTCGGACGCTCTGGATATCTAGCCATGATCGATTCGTAGTAATCCAAGAGATCCACGAATCCGGAAGCCATATCGATAGGCACCAGTCCGCCTAATAAGCAGGTTTCGTTAGCGACGATCTGCGCGAGACAGGTGAGTAGTGAGAGTTCTACCCTGCGTCGCTCATTGTAACTTAGATAGTGGAAAGAACGGCTGAGAAAGGACCGGATCTCCGCCTTGATCCCATAGGCAAAGGAAAGGATTTGTTGCTGCCTGCGGTGTAGATTATCGTAATCGGCTTCAATATCAGACGCGGAAAGCGACCAGGCCAGACCAAGAAAAGGAACGTCGATGTGCAGCAGGCGGATCACACATCGGTATACATCGTCTGGACCGTGTAGTTGCAAGCTCTGACTTGGAATATCCGTATCCAGCGCTGCATTGAACAGAAACGGCCGCCCCTTTCCGAACTGCGCGAACTCGACATCAAGCCGCTGGAATGTTTCAACCAAGCAACGATCCAGGGGCGATACGCGGTGCTGCTCCTCGAGTTCCTCTCCCAAGACCCGAAGTCCGCCTCGGAGGTGTTGCACGGCACGATCATACTGTCCTAGAAGGGACTCGGCAATGACAAAAAGTAGGCAGCATAATAGCACAACTTCCCGCAACTGGGGATCGCGTGAGGCCTGGCGTCGGTTCAAGATTGAAAAGGAGCGGGAGGCCTGCTCGAGGGCGAACCGATGGCGAGGCGCGGAGAGATCTTCCCCAGACAAGCGCATTTGGTTATGACAGGAGTCTTCGTGGATAGCGCCGAGCATACTGGCAGCGTGGTAGACCGCACGGTCGAGATGGCTCATCTGCAGAGCCACTCTCTGCCAGAGCGAGGAGTCGAAGAACGCCAACAGGCTTGGAATCGAGCAATGTGCAAAGTACGAGAACGAGCGCATCTCGTCAGCGGTTGTCAACCATCCCAGACGCGATGTTATCACTGGATGTGTCACGGGTGTAGATTTGTTGACTGGCAGTCGAGATAAGTCATAACCATCGCATTTGCGGCCGGTGGAGACGCAGTTGTTGCATGCTCCTGGTGTTTCATCGCATTTTTTATGCCGGGCGCTGCGAGAATTAGTCAAGGCATCTTTCAGGACTCAGAGCTATCCCCACCGGCAAGTTCGACAGCCCGTCAATGATCGAGTGGTGAATTTTCTGCGCCGTGTTGGCATTGCGTCAGGAGACGACTGACGTTGAGGCATTGTACGAGAAAACGCGCTCCGCTGCGTCTTTTCCAGTCGGCGACATGGCCACTGGGTAGTAGGAAATACCAAGTTCTGCTATTTTGAGAGACATATAAACAAGTCGAAGTGTTGGACATAGCCTCGAGGCTCACTCAGCTATCGATGGCACAGCCACGTGCGAATGGCACCCAAGCACCAGAAAGGGAAGGTGGACCCGCCGACATCGGGATCCGCGCTATTCTTGAAGACATACGGAGTATACTTCGTACATATCTTCAAGGTCCCTGACTCTCCGTGATCTCTTACCAAATTATTTAAGCAATGTAAAGTTGCAACTTCAAGTTCTCAAGACAAGTTCCGGAGTTGTTCTGTGCCAATAGCCCGGCCAGTTAGGGCTCTAAACAGTAAGTACAGAGTACTGTACATAGAGGTAAGGGATACGGTAAGCATTGAGGAGAGAAATCTATTGACCAATAAACCGACAGGATTCGAGCTCTGGAATGCTGCAATGCATGATGCCTCTGCGGCGTGCAGCCCCTTGCTTGGCTGGTCCCAAAAAGCAAAAGCAAAAAGCAATCCATTGCTGCATAAGCTCAACCTCATCACGACGTGCCCAGCGAGGTTGGCGCCTTTTCTCTCTCCAGTCGACACCTGGCCATGGCTGAGCAGAAGGATGAAGCAGCAATCCTGAGCTCCGAATCAGTGACTGAAACAAACGAAAACAAAGAAACCCGCCTCATCCTCCGCAAATTCGACATCCACCTCCTATCCCTCTTCACCGTCATCAACCTCTTCAGCTTCATCGACCGCGTCAACATCGGGAATGCGCGCTTGCTCGGACTCCAGGAGGACCTAGACCTCTCTGGTCTACGTTTCAATATCGCACTGACATGCCTCCTTGTCTCCTACTGCGTTGTTGAATTGCCGTCTAACATCCTCTGCAAGCTCGTCGGCGGACATGTCTACGTGCCTATTTTGGTCCTCTGTTTTGGTACTGTCACTATGCTAACCTCGCTGGTGACGGACAGAGGGGGCTTGTATACTTGTAGATTTGTGCTGGGGGTGTTTGAGGGAGGGATTTCGCCGGGCCTGGTGTTTATGCTCTCCTTGTTGTAAGCGCCATTATGAAACTTCCCTGAGCAAGCCTAACAGGGCCAGCTATCGGCGCCACGAGCTCGGATTTAGAACGAGCATCTATATCTCTGCATCTTCAGCGAGCGGTGCATTCGGTGGTTTGCTTGCGATTGGCCTATCCAAGATACCAGCGTGGGGTCTTATTCATACGTGGAAGAATATCTTCTTCTTTGAGGTTAGCAAAGTCCGTTTATTGTTGACCTCCGACTCTAACAATCAGAAACAGGGACTTGTGTCTGTCATACTCGCAATAATCGCCTTCTTTACCATCCCAAGTGGCCCCGGAACAGCCAAGTTTCTCACCGAGTCTCAGAGGAAGATTGCTGCAGACAGAATCCAGATCGATGCAGCCGGGACAAGCGAGCATTCACGTACTACAGTCCGGCATATCATACAAGGACTGACGACTCTACCAATAGTGGCTTGTGCATTAGGCTTCTTCTTTGGAAAGTGAGTTCCTTACCCTGCATTTGCCTCAATCGGAACTACTATATGCTGAGTATCCACGAACAGCACGTGCGCCCAATCCTTCTCCCTCTTCTCCCCATCTATCATCCGTGCAATGGGCTACACTGACGAACTCGCCCAGCTCCTATCCGTCGGCCCCTACGTAAGCCCGAACGCCCCCCTCTTACAAAAACCCTACCTATCCCCAGCTAACAACGCAAAAGGCCGCAGCTTGCCTCCTCTCAATCCTGACCGGCTACATCTCCGACCACTACCGGACACGCGGGTACATAATCCTCCTCACCGCACCCCTAGCCATAACAGGCGTAGGCATGCTCCTCTTCCTACCACCCTCCATGCCCTCTGCAAAATACGGCGCGCTGTACCTGGCCGCCCCGGGGATCTTTTCCTTCATCCCGCTGTACATTACCTGGGCTGTGAACAACGCTGCCACGCCAACAGTTAAAGCCGTTGCGTCGGGATTAGTCTTCACGGTGGGCTCGCTGGGTGGTATCCTTGCGCCGTGGGTATATCTGTCGGATGATGCGCCGGAGTATCGGAATGGACATGCGATTATGTTTGCATTTTTGATGGCATCGTGGGGGGTTGCAGGCTTGCTTATTGTCTGGGTAAAGTGGGAGAATGGGCAGAGGGCTGATGGGAAGAGGGATTGGGTGCTTGAGGGGTTGGATGAGGGGCAGAGGGAGGGATTGAGTAGTCGGCACCCGGGGTTTCGGTATGTTATTTGAGGAGATCTACCATGTGGCAAATGTAGCATTAGATCAACTGCTATACTATAGAGAAGAGTATAGAGCATTATCAGGCGTGAAGCCAGTAGTTTTTTGTATCTATTAGCCCTAAGCTATCACTACTATCTCAAGCTCCAACTCACTGATTCAAGTTAGAGCTCGAGTGAGCTACATACCGCAATAAGGGGATTCGAGATGCGAATCCTTGCAATCATCCAAAGGACAAGAAACATGAAGAGTTCAGAACCACACAGAAGCAAGGCAAAATGGTATCTCTCAAAAGCCACAATAACTGACCAAAATCTCTTCATCATGGAGATATTATCCACACTCATTTCTGCCCCTGCGCCTCAACCCCAACCCCAGGCGAAACCGCCGTACCAGGCTCATACCCACCACCCGGATTATACGCCATCGCGGGCGGCGGCTGATACCCAGCAGACCCCACAGTCTGAAAGCGCCTCATCTGCGCATCGAGTTCTTTCTCCTGCTGCACGAGGACACAGCACGAGCAGCAGCAGGAGAGGATGCAGTCTTCGCCGACAGAGCCGTCGATGCCGAACTTCTCGCGCATGTCGCGCCGCTTCATCATCTGGAGGACCCAATTGAGACCGCAGCAGCTGGCGAGGAGGTAGAGGCAGCACTGATGGCGATGCGGATGTTAGTGGGTGGAATTGGGTAGGTAGGAGGAAGAGCGGGCTTACGTCGCCGTTAACGTTGCGCCCTTCTTTCAACCCGGGGTCGTCGAGGCGCTCGGCTTGTTTGCCGTAGAGCATGCAGGGGCAGAAGCAGCTCATGAGGCCTGGTGGTGGGTTAGCGGGGGTTTGATGGGTTGGGGAGGGAAGGCGTACAGGCTTGGACGGGGCTGAAGCAGCTCCAGACGGAGTTGTTCCATTCGTTTGACATTTTGATGATAGAATGGGATATCGACTCTTTCTTCGAGATGGTGAGATTGAGAGTGTGAAAAAATGAGGGACCAGAGTTGAAGCTTCAAGTTGGACGAAGCGCGGGGTCGGCCTGCTTTTAAACAGCTCTCAGCTCTCAGCTCGCAGCTGCAAGCTGATCATCGCAAGCACAAGAGCTCGTATTAGTAGCCATCATTGGACAAGCAGCTCCCAAGCCACCGAAGCCAAGCCTGAGGCTGTGAGATCAATGCAAGACTCCGCCGATGCTCCGCCGTCTTTGGTTTGGCGGCTGAAGGAAACACGAGATAGCAGGAAAGATGGACACAGGCTTTACTCAAAAAGGGTGTCAAGCTCGTATTTTCGATTATGATAGCCAATTGTGGATTTTCACGTTCTTTCAAGCTCGTATACAACTTTGAGTCGTGGAAGAGTGAATGAGCGCATGTTGTCACTTGAAATGGACCGCCCCGTTGTCGGCAGTTGATGCTGTAGGTACGGTACTTGGCTTATCATAAATAGCTACCCAGGATTCAAGGTGAGATATATCTGATAAGTGCACAATTTCCTACGTAGGCGTTCAGAACAACTCCTTGACCAACTCCCTGATCGCGCCGAGGGTCTTCTGCCCGGCCTCGGTCCTGCCCTGATCCGGCAGGGAAAGGGCACACTTTGCCAGGATGTTCTCGATCTCGCTTCTATCCACCCCCTTCTCCGCCAACGTAGTAGTGAACCCCAGCTGGTCAACAAGAGCCAAAATCCTATCCCCGACCTCCTCGGCATCAACAAGATCATTCCCACTGCGCTTTGCTCCAGGGACGTGATCCAGGACCTTCGCAATGGCCGCGGCGTCCTTGGCATCCGCCCGCGCCTTCAGCTTCACCACCCGGCCCAGCGTCATGCAACTGGTAATCCCGTGCGGAATGCCATATGGGCTCCCGAGCGCATACCCCAGCGTATGGCTGAGCCCCAGTCCGCTGCCGGCGTTGAGCCCCAAGAACCCCAGGCTCGCAAACGCCGCCAGACACAGCCTGATCATGACGTCATCATTACGAGGATGGGCAAGGTACTTGGGGAGGTTGTCGAAGAGCTCGCGCACGGCACTGAGACACGCCCACTGGCAGGGGAGGGTGGCGGTGGGGTGGTACTGCAACTCGATGGCGTGGTCGAGGGCGCGCAGCCCTGTGCTGGCGAAGAGGGAGGGGGGCGTGTAGGCCGTGAAATGGGGGTCGTAGATGATGACGCTGGGAGCGAGGCTAGAGTGGGCGATGCCGGTCTTTGTGCCGTCTGCACGCGTGTAGCCGGCGCCGAAGGTGCACTCTGCTGCGGAGAGAGTGGTCGGGATGGCGATGTGGTGGAGAAAGGAGGCGGAGCCGGACTTTTCGTGCACGCGGTGGGAGATGGCCTTTGCTGTGTCGATGGGGCTGCCACCGCCGACGGATATGATGGTGTCGATGTTCTCGAGGGCGAGCACTTGGGTGGTTGCTTCGTCGATCTGGGCGATGGGGGCGTGCTCCTTGACGGAGTCGCATGTGGCGGCGTGGTGGGAAGGGGTCAGCCAGGACTCGAGCTGCTTGATGAGCGGGGTCTTGGTGGAGAGGCTGTTTCCCGTCACGATGAAGGCCCTTGAGGTTGGCGACGGGAGGAGAGAGCGGATGTGTTGTTGGACGGCGCCGGGCCCGTAATGGAGGGCTTGGAGACCGTTGGGCTTCCAGACTCCAGAGGTGGGAGTGGGAGAAGAGTCCATTCTTGCACACAGTTGGATTGACTCGATTGTCGGTAGCGAGGGCAATGGCTATCCAATGTTATATACTGCGCGTAGCTGGAAGAAGGGCCGCTCCGGAGCTTATGGATATACATACTCCGTAAGCTTCGATCCACAGTGCACGAGCAACCGACGATCCGAATCGGGCTGAACGCTGCCGAAGAGCGGAACCCGGATCTAGTTATCTAGTCATTGGGCCGGGGGGGGATAAAACAATGTCCAAGGTGAAGAGATGCCGCCACGAAGTGGTTCAACCTCTTGTTTGACGTCAACCTGACCACACAGGCGTTATATGCTTACTCGACCACGACTTTCATCCTTCCCAAGACGCATAAGAACATGTCTCATTTCCAGCCACCAGACACCGAGAATGAGGAACGACACTTGCTTTCTCCCCAATGGCATCCAAGTGAAGGTCTCCGAAGTATTTGGGGGCTTCAAATTTACCACCAAAGACCACGCTCAATACAACTCGTTCCCGCCAGAATGGACCGTCTGCCTATCGACAAAGGTCGCCCGGCCGCCGAACAGCAAGGAGCCTGAATCGCGTGCGTTTACGACTCCTACCCTCGAGAACGACAGAATATATCTCTCCTCGCTGTCCCTGCCATCCTGCGAAGACTTGAAACCAGGCAGCGCGCCGACCAGAATTACAGCCATGGTGTTATGGGTGACGTTCTTCTGGTACTTCCAGGAGCCGGAGCCTTCGTTAAAATCGTCCGAACTACCTCATCCTTCAAATGGACCGAATAAGACCAACTCATGGCATCTGATTGTCGAACCTCGTGGGATCCTGAGCCGAAAAGATCAAATGGTGAAGGTTGAACGTGTAGGCATGCTCGCGAGCAAGGACTCGTCTGTCGGCTTGAAAGGGGACAGGATAGAGTTGCCGCATATGTTCATCAGCCAGAAGGCTTTCTGGGAGCTCGACCCTAGGATCCACCTCTTCAGCATCAGCGCGGTAACGCCAACACCGGGGAAGTCCTATCCAACCCCGTCTGGCTCCCTCGACTCGCTCGGGGTAGGGTTTCCCTTTGGCGCCGGCCCCAACACATCCGGCTGTTTTCTTCCGCCGTACTACCCGCCGCAGTCCCTGCAGTATACGTATACGGGAGACGTCCTCCACCCACTGCGCCCGAAAGCATATAAACAAGGCGAAGTGTTCTATGTCCGATATATCCCAAGCGGCGGGGAATATTTGACATTCCGCATTCCCGTCCTGCCCACGATCGAAGCCACTCGACAACAACAAAAACCGGAGGATGGATCGAACGGCCGCAGCTCAGGGCCAGACCTCTGCCTTGACGCCGAACAAGCGAACGACCTGAGACTAGTATACGATTGGCTGCGGAAGAGACCGCAGGATACGGCCCTCCCGCAAACAGCGTCAATCCACGAACATGCCAGTTTCCTAGAAGACCGCATGTGCAGCCAAAACTCTTTCCCCGTCCTAGCCTGCTGGGACTCAGCGCCAACGGGATTCTGCGAGCTGTTTTGGGTGCTGGAAGATCCCGTTGGCCGCGCACTGGGCAACGCTTCCGAGTTCGACCGCGGCATACGGTGCCTGATGGGGGACGAGAACTTTCTCGAGCCGAAACAGCTGAAGCAGAACATGAGCTCTTTGGTTCATCACTGCTGGTTGTATGATCAGCGGACCGATACTGTGGTCCTTGAATGTGCTGCAAATCATCCCGAGTATGTGTTGTCTAGAAAGCCCCCTGTCTCCATGATGAGCGCTGACGCAGTCCAGTATGATCTCCACGCTGGAGTCTATCGGGTTCGAGATAGTCGAAGGTGTTAAGCCTCCCCAGGATCGCAACTTGATTATGCGCATCCACAGGAGGGACTGGTTGAGACCGATTCTTTAGCCTGCCATGTATCACGATTCACGACGATAGCGGGCGCGACTTTTAGCTAGGTGTTAGAGTATCGATGGGAAACTGCTATCGTGAGTTATGTGTTAGCTGAACCGGATGCCAGGCTTGCCATTCAGTCACGCTGTTCCCATTCATAGAGTTGAACATATAGTCGAGTGGATAAACAGGGAGAGTTCTGATGCCTTGGAAGATTCTGATTTTGGGAGTCCCAATTGTGGGCAGTCAATGCCGATTCGACCTAAGAACCAGACCGATGCTCGGACTCTGCGACTTCTGCATGCACTCTATTGTTAGATAAATTGTACAGTTTATAATATGGTAAGGTTGATGTTGGTCAATTAAACCAGCACTGAAATACACCATGAAGGAGAAACAAGGATATAACACCGTCCTGAAAATTTCTTCGCCGGTACGCCATGCTGCCCAATGCCTTTTTATTTTCTTTTCTTCCTTTCTTGTAGAGATGTGATTCCCTCGTATTGGCGGCCTCTCCCCATCTCCGCCATCGCATCCGGATCTTTTATCGTCGCGGGGTATAGTTTCGGACTGTCCAAGAGCGGAATGATACCCTGTATCCAACCATCTCGGCGACGATCAGATAACCCAGCGGTAACTGGCATATCTGCCCGCAGTCTCACTCTTCCGGATAATCTTCACAACCTGCCCGCGCCTAAGACCCAGGTACCTCGCAACAGGATCCGACACCTGGATTCTAGGCAGCTGCGACTCCTTCAACCGGTATCTCTGCAGAAGCTTGCCCTTCTCCTCGGGGCTCAGAAGCACGTGTTTCGGGACGAGCTCGTGCCGCGTGATGTTCACCAGTAGATCCTGCTCCTGGAAGTGCTCGCAGATTCGGCCGGGGATGCCGCTAAGCAGACGGACGGCGGAGGGGGAGATGGGCGTCTTGGTGATGAAGACTCCAGTGTGGAAGTTTCCTTCGTCGACGGTGTGGTTGAAGGTTCGGACTTGCTTTGTGCCAATGCCGCTGTCGTCCGGGCAGAATTCGATGTAGATTGTGCCGCAGTCTGGTTGCGGGTCGCGGTTTGAGGGGGAGGGAAGGGGTGTGTATTTCGCTTTCATGGCTTCGGTGGGGCGGGCTTGGATCTTGAGCTTTTCGCGGCTGGAGAGATGGCTTCGTTAGATGTGTCTCTTTGTTTTATTGTGAAGAGGGAGTCAGTCGACTGGCGGGGATAGAGTCGCACCTTGGGTATCCTTTTTCACCGACGTATTTGCTTTTGAATTCGTCCAGCTCGATCTTGACTTCTTCGTCTGTTACTTCGTAGCCCTGTCATTCCAGATTAGTGTCCTTGCGACTGTATTTCGAACAAAGAACGCTATCGTACGCGGTCCTGCAGCATCTCAAAAACTGTTCGCCATGTGCGCCAGACGCGGATGGTCTCGCGCTCGGCGTCGTCGGCGGAATAGTTGAATTCGTCATCCATCGCGAAAGAGTACTGAGATTAGGGAGGGCGTGATAAAGAGCGAAAGGGCGGGCGCAGATAATTCCTAGCTGAGACAAAAGTGAAGCTTCGGAGAGGAACAACGGAGAGTTCGAAAAATCGGGCGAGCGCTAAGAGCGCCAACGGTAAGCGCCGCCAATGAAACGCCAGAAAGCCCCAGAATCCTAAAGGCCAGACAGATCTTCCACCTTATTCTTTTCCCTTTCCTCTCACTCCAAATCCTCTCTTTTTCCTATCTTTCTTTTCTCTCTCTTTCTATATTTCCCCCTTTTGGGATTCTTCCTCGGGGATTTGTTTTCTCGGGCTCCAATTTCTGCCTCGAGTCCGTTCGGTCGTTTTGTCTTTCGGAATCCCCACGTACCTACGGTAAATAATATGGCCGCTGCTGTCAAGTCCGAGGCCTCTGAGCCCAAGGTGAGGCCGACCAGGCCCGACGAGGAGGCCTTCAAGGCTGCTCTCGCTCAGGCTGAGAAGGAGCACGCCGCTGTTCAGGAGAAACTGGTATGTACCCTTTTCGTTCAATTGCTGTCGCACAGCCCATTGGATTTGTCACGTGGGACTATACTTGTCTCTTACGCCCTCAATTGCTGTCCATATACTGAGTGCTGGTAGAACCAAGTCAAGGCCAAGATCGAGACCGCCAAGCCCAACAACCAGGACTCCCCCACCGCAAAGAGACAGCAGGAACTCCGCGCTGAGCTCTCCTCCATCCGCCAGAAGCAGTCCGGATTCAAGGCCTCGCGAACCAGCACCCAGGAAAAGATCAATGCCCTCGATGCGACGCTCAAGGCCCGCATTGCCGAGCAGAACAACTCCCGCATCCGCATGTCCTTCAAGAACGTCGAAGAGCTTGACCGTGAAATTGCCCGCCTGGAGAAGCAGGTCGACTCTGGTACTCTGCGTCTTGTCGACGAAAAGAAGATCCTCGCCGATATCTCGAGCATGCGCAAGCAGCGCAAGAACTTCGCCAGCCTCGACGAGGCCCAGAAGGTTATTAACGACCTGAAGACCCAGATTGCTACCCTCAAGAAGACCCTCGACAACCCTGAGGCCAAGGCCCTGAGCGACAAGTACAGCGAGATCCAGAAGGAACTTGACGCGATCAAGGCTGAGCAGGATGGCGCCTTCAAGAACCTGAACGCTCTGCGTGACGAGCGCACCAAGCTCCACGGCGAGCAGCAGGCCAAGTGGACCGCCATCCGTGAAGTCAAGGACAACTACTACAAGGCTCGCAAGGCCTACAAGGAGTACGAGGACGAGGCCTGGAGGATCCGCCGGGAGAAGCAAAAGGCCCAGCGCGAGGCTTTCGAGCGGGAGAAGAAGAGGAAGATTGCCGACAAGAAGCTGGAGGAGGCTTCTCGCCTTGCTTACACCGACGAGATTCTCACTGCGCAAGGTCTTATCCGCCACTTCAACCCCTCCTACGACTTTGCTTCCCTCGGCCTCAGCGACAAGAAGGACCAGACCTCCGAGTTCCGTGCCGAAGTTGGCCGCAAGGTTGATGACTCCGGTATCAAGGGTATGAAGGTCCTGAAGAAGGATGAGGACGACTACTTCATCGGCACCGGTGGCAAGAAGGGTAAGAAGGGTAAGAAGGGCAGCGCCAGTGCCAGCCCTGCGCCGTCTACCCCTGCCGAGAGCAAGTTCAACATGAACGTTGGTATCATCGAGGACTTTGCCAAGGTCAAGATCGACCCTCCCATGAACCAGTCCGACGTCCCTGCTGTTGTTGAGAAGCTCGCGGCCAAGATTACCGAGTGGAAGAAGGACCAGGCCGCTAAGACTGAAGAGGTAGGCTCTCCCTTCATCTCTGATGAAATTATGAGGCTAACAGTGTACTTTAGAATATCAACAAGGCCAAGGAAGAGATCGCCCGCCTGGACGCGGAAGAGACCACGGCCACCGAGGCCAATGGAAAGACCGAGAAGGATGCGGCTGCTGAGGTGGCCGACGACCTCAACAAGGCCTCCCTGGAGGAGAAGGCCTAAACGATCGCCGATAGAACTGCATACATAAGCGTTGCATGAGCGGATACCTACTCTTGACGTTACTCCGTACGTTAGATCTGCGGATCCTCCAAAAGTATAGCATTCCTACACCCCTTTTCTTACGCTTATCGTCATCCATCCCGCACCATCCCTCTATCATACTACCTATCCCATCTCCGTCCTCATTTCTACCATCCCTTTTTGTTACGATGATGCTCCCTCAAGGCATTGGTTCTTGTTGTTATTATATTCCTTCATGTAATTGATCTCCCCTCTCTCTCCTCGAAAGCGAAAGCGTGCAGGGAAGCGAGGCTTTGAGCGAATTATACGTTTTGATCTGAGTTGGAAACAAGAAGCGGTTGCATTTCATCTTCATCTCTCAAAATTTGCCGTAGCCCGATACCCGAGAACTACGGAGTAAATTCGTATTCATGTGAGTCAATCAGGATTGGCTATATGGAGTAGTGGCTGTGCAAAAAGGAGGCGTCTGGACTGGAACAGCCACCCTTTCTGACTCGTAAGCGCCGCATCAATTGGCCAGTGGCCAACGGGTTCTCAAGTAGAAATGTAGACCAGACCAGATCAAAGCTATCTCGATTCTCGATTGGCAATTTTGACAGGTGAATAGCGCTGCCTAACCCGAACCGTGGCGCCAAGTTCCTGCTAGGCTGCGTACAAGTTGTAGTTTTTGAGCGCTGGCATCTCCACTCCTTCTCTCTTCTTCCATCCTCCTCTTCCAGAACATAATCTCTCTTTCAAGCATTCTCTGTACGCCATACAAGACCTTATTCTAATACCATCTGCTTTCTTTCTTTGCTGCGTCTAAACATCCGCTAAATAAATAACGAACACCTCATTCGGAATCTCGGCGCCAATACCACTTCTTGCGCCATCTCCGCCATCCCCAACACTTTATCCCGACAACACCTTCTTTGACCTTAAACAAACACTCCATCTACTCTCTCCCATCTCCAACAAAATGTCCTACAAACCCGTATGTCGCTCTCATCATCCAACTTCCCATAAAAGCCAACACTAACACCAAACCAGGACGGCCCTCCTCCTTCCTACCCAGCCCCCGTCCACGACCCCTACAGCCACCCAACCCCTCCCCCGGGCGCCGGACAAGACTACTACGGCGCGTCTCCTCCACCACAACAGTACGGCCAGGGTCAAGCGCCATACGGATATCCGACGCCTCCGCCGCAGGGATACCCGCCCCAGCAGCAGCAGCCGATGTACTACCCACCCAACGGTGGGTACCCGCCGCAGCAACAGCCCGGGTACTACCCTGAGGAGCAGCGAGGCGGTGGAGGCGGCGGCGGTCTCTGCGCGGGATTGTTGGCGGGTCTGGCATGCTGTTGCTGCTTGGATATCCTGTTTTAGGAGGATGGTTGATATGTTGCGAGTTGCGAGTTGGAAGTTGCAAGTTGCAAGTTGCAGGTGGCAGGGGCAGCGGGTGTGACTCGGCCTCACATCGCTCGTTGCGCGACGTTCGGTAGATTCGATATGGCTCGTGGAGTCTAGTCTGTTCGCTCGCTTGGGTCTTTTCTTTTCCTTTCCTTGATCTTTTCTTTTTTATGTTCGGCGCTTGGCTTAGAATTGATTCTACTGGGCATGATATGATGTTTGACTGGTTCCCATTCAGTCTGTTGAGAAGTCAGTTTGCGGTCATGAACTATTATTGATATCCTTTGCGTCTTTACACGCGAGAACGTCGCTCCTTGTGTTCGGGTTAGATAAGTAAATACTCCGTACAACGGCATTGATTCATCTCATTATCATTAACAGTCATATCATAATGGTATCATATCGTAGCATAACATAACATCCTGAGAATCGCATCGCATCGCACCAAGTCGCAAATTGTAACATCGCATAACCATCCCAACCAAACAACCTCCCGTCAAACCATCAATCTTGCCTCAACGCACTAGCTCAAGACCTCCCACTAAACTCACTCCCCCCATACGCCCTTCTCCGATACCGATCACTCCGACTCCTCGACTCACTACTACTCCGACTCCGACTCCGACTCCTCGACCTGGACCGATACCTCGAGCTAGGCGGCGGATCAACAACGCTCTCCTCCTCAATAACCTCCACAACCGCACCCCCTTCCCCCCCATTAGACCGAGAACGAGAGTCACTCGTCAGGCTCTCCTCAACGATAATCGCATCCCGCCCACGCCTCGACACGCCCGAGCGCGGGCCCCGTCGATTCCGAATCCCCACGTCCACGATTTCGGATGGCGTCGTTGAGGTCGCGATGGTGGAGGGGCTGAAGCGCCGGCCCGATGTCAGGGAGAGGTAGAGGAGGTATAGGAGCAGTAGGAAGCCGGCGACTGCGCCGAGGGTTGCGCCGACCACGACGCCCGGGTTTGGGGGGTTTTCGATGCGCCCGTAGGTTGAGGGGATGGAGATCGCGTTGTGCGTGATGTGGGTTGTTTTGGAGTCGTTGTCTGAGTCGCGGGGGATGATGGGGATGGCGTTTGCGTTTGCGGCGAGATTGGGAGTTGAGGCGCGGTGGATAGGGATGGTTGTGGATTTGTCTGTGGAAGGGGTACTAAAGCGCTCGTGGAACTGGAGAGGTGGGAGTGGAGGCGGCATTGCGTCTGTCGCTGTAGCTGTCCGTTTGAATGTCGGCTGTCGGCCGTTTGAGCGATAATGCAGGTTTCGCAGGTAGACGGTTCGTTAGGGCTTTGTTTGTCTCGATAGCGCAAGTATATGCCGTGGCATTGTTTTCGGATGACGGTGTTTCTTGCGTAAGCTTATTGTGTATGAGACACGCGATGGGATGATGTCTCGCATGGAATGGGACAATAATGCTGGGATTATCGGGGGCGTGGGTGGTTTTATGCGCTGGTGACTGGTGCAGCTGGTTTTATTCGGTGGCTGGGGATGGCCCCTGCTCGGACAACCCTTGATCGATCTACGGAGACTCCGGTCTCGACTCGATTCTCGCTCAAATATCTCACTAACTCACTCACTACCCTGCCAATATTTACAGCAGCTATCGCGATCCTAATAAGCGCCCTTCCTGGGCTGATACTTAACCCCATTAGCGATCTCAACATCCAGCGCTGTCCTAACCGGCGTCCCATGCACCAGCTCAAAACTATCCAATTTCGCACCGCTATTTTCCAGCGCCCAAAGCGTAACCGCGACCCAGTTCGTCCCCTGATAGTTGAGTATTCCCTCTGGCACCGGGAACCTCGTCTGCGGACCTATATTGTTCACGTACTTCCCGTACTGCCATCCGTTCACGTATAGCTGCACTCTATACGCGGGTGCGGGAGTCGTGCTGTTGCCGAATTCGAAGAAGATCGGGACGTCCCAGCCAGATTCGATATCAAGGTCAAACGAAGTCGTGTAGAAGGAAATGCCGGGTTTCGAGAGACCCTTGAGCGGGGTCGATGATTTCCACCCCTTGGACTTTGAGGGCGGGTAGGGCTGGTGGTACCCATGTCGCTCGGCGTAAAGCCCGCCCTCGTTCAATGGGCCGCGCGATTTATCGATGTAGTCCTCGCCGCCGAAGTTACCGGTTAGTTTCCACGTTATGTCGCTAGCATCGTGGCCGGTCAGTTCATAGTTGAGGATCCCGCGGGGCTTCTTCATCTCGTCTTGCCCGACGACCCAGTTCTCGTTTAGGCCCATGTTGTCAACCACTACGGTGAAAACGTACTCTTCTCCTGCTGTGAGGGAGGGAAGGGTATACGTTGCGTTGTGGTCTTGGTAGTCGTTTGACCCGGTCCAGGAGCCTAGGTATTTGCCGCTTAGCCAGACGGACGAGCCAAAGGCTTGCCCGCCTTGGGTTTGGATGGAGAAGTTGCTCTCGCGACCGTTTGCGGTGAAGTGCCCGCGGAAGAGGAGGTAGCCTGTGTGGAAGCCGTAGTCGCCGGCGTAGAGTGAGGTGGGAGTTTTGAGGGGGTAGATTGTGTTCTGGGTAGGTTGGTCCGCATCTGGCCAGGCAGAGTCGTCGTAGTTTGTTTGTATCTCTGGGAGGGTGTCGATTGATTTCCACTTCAGGCTTCCTAGATCAGGGAGACCGATCTCTGGAGGGGAGTACTTGACCTCCGTGCTCCATATTCCGTTCTTGTCGACTGCGTGGTGGGCTTTCTTGCCATTGATGAAGAGGTTCTTTGCTGCCTTCGGTGCTCCGATGACTTCGACCGGAGTGGTGGCATTGAAGTCAGCTGTAAGGTGCAGGGCGCTACCCTTGACGAAGGCAGTGCGGACGAGGTATCCGGCTTTGACGATTACAGACGCAGCGATGGCGTCCTTTGTGCTGTATGGGATGCTTTTCTCTGTGCCGAGTTGCGGCACCCAGTAGTTGTATGCCGAGTTTCGGTCTAATCTATCAGCTACCATGTTATTAGTTGAAAGGAGGACATACCGAGAAGAAGTATCTTCAGATCACCAATCTGAATGATACGCCGTGTAGGCTCAACATCCCAAGCAACCACCACAGCACCGCGGATTTGCTTGGAAGAGATGCCGGACTTGGACCCCTCAACGACCTTTGCCTTCTCCTTGGAGGAGACCGCAAGTTCATGATGCTCCCCAGGCCCACCAAACAGCACAAGGACCTTGCCGTTATGAAACTCCTTCCAAGTGAAGACTTCAGCAGTTGAGTACAGAATGTTCGTACCGGCAACATCGAAATCAACAAGATGAATCTTAGAATCACGCCCATTGAGCACCAACGACCCTCCGAGCTGGGGGACCGTCAGGTTTCCAGCACTTGTCGGGAGCCGGAGTTTATACGGAGTAGACGCCAGGCTGTTATAGGCGCTGTGGCGGAGCACGAAGAACGAGCCGGTGCCGTTTCCAAGCAACGGCGTCACTGTTAGGTCCGCCGTGTTGGTGTATGTCGTGTTTGTCAATGTGCCTGGGGTGGCTAGGAGGTAGCCCGGAGACGAGTTGATGAAGTTTGCAAGCAGCTTGAGCTCACTGTACTTCTCTCTGTAGATTTCTCGCGTCTCGGCAATGGGGGAGCCGTAGTCGTAAGAGGTATATCCGCCTGGATGACCGAGGTTGCCCCAGTTCGTCCCGCCGAAGGTCTGGAGGGTTAGACGAGTCTCGTAAAGAGATGGCCATGACGTACCATGTACAGACCGAGAATGCCCACTCCAAAGCTGAAGGTGTTCTTATGGAACACCCTTTCGAACTCGTAGCCAGTAAGAGCAGCGCATTTCTCGAAACCAGGTCCTCCCCATGGGTCGAATGCGCCGACTTGGTACTGCACTCTTTAGCATTCAAACATGCGACAGGAAAGAGAGACACTTACCTCAACCAAGGTGTAAGGTGTCGATGGGCTAATTTCAAGATGCAAATCGCGGTAGTCAGTTGGGAGATTGCCTTCAGGCCATACATCCGGATTCGCCTGCCTCTGTTAGCTGAAGAACTTCTTCCTGGTGATTCACATACACAATCAAATCCAAGCCTATCACCATTAGCACTGCGTGTAGAAATAGTCAATTGGCAACGTACGGATAGTTATCATGCCCGTAGATATCAACCTCGCCCTTTCCAGTCCCAGGAGCATTATGTCCACCCGGCCAAGCATCGTTGCTGATTGTGGGAACAACAATTCCCGCCCTTCGAGCCTGGTCGATGACGTATTGGAAGTAATCCGGGTTGGGAAACTCCTGCCCACAGCAGCCTCCACTGTACTCGTTATCAGGTTGGTAGAGGATCACAGGCCCGCCATTGGTGATCTGATATTTGGCAATGACTGCGCCGATGTGGGAAATGTAGCTGCTGCGCGTCAGTCCATGCATCCCAATTAATAACAGAACAAAACAGGAGTGGCTTACTTCTCCGTAGCATCCAGGTAACTCTGATCAGCTGACCGAATAGTCCCATTGAGCTTCTGCAGCCATCCCGGGAACCCGCCTCCAGAAGCTTCCGCGTTGATGTAAGGGCCCGGACGCGCAATGAGCCAGATACCCAGTTCCGAAGCCGCGTCGAAGAACGGTTCCCAGGCGAAACTCCCTTCAGCTCTGTACTCTCCAGGCTTTCCTTCCAGGAGGTTCCAGTCGACATAGAATGAAATGGTGTTGAAGCCGAGGGCTTTGACTTTGTGGAGGATGTCGGTCCATAGCGAGGGGACTGGGAGTCTGCTGGGGTCAGCGTATGCAGTACATAGGAGAGGAAGAAATGGCATACCTCCACGGATGAATTTCAGCGGCGAAGATCATGACCCTCTCTCCATTGATGAAGAGGGACTTGTCGTCCCAGGTGACCTACTCATTCCGTTAGACCACGGTCTTTTCAGCCCGACAAGAGAAAACACACGTATTCCTGCAACAAATCACGCTTCTCAGGGTCCGGATGCTCCGTGATTGTAAAGCCATTGAGCTTATGGGTAAGCGCAACACCAGCTGCCTGAGCTGCCAGCAGGGCAGCTGCACCGACTCGCAACAATCTCATGACGATCGACTCCACGGCAAAAGCCTAGACGAGCTGCAAGGCTCCAGATCGCATTCCTGCGGGGAGTGCATCATATTAATCCTTTGACCAGACGCAACCCCGCCTCTCCTCGAGAATGGGTTAATTCCGTCCGGCTAAGTGGGTGTAAGCACCTGCATTGAGCTGGCCTGGCTTCGAATCATGGAGCAGCTCCCGGCAGACCCTTGCTTCGGGACAAGAGGGGAGGTAATCTGGATCCCAATGACGAAATCATCTCGCCAGACGTCCAAGCCGGAGCCAAGGTTGGATAGATGAGGTGGAGTGAGGTGGGCGGACAGGAGAGGAGAGTCGATCGCGGGGGAATTTCTCCGCATCCCAGGCCCTGGCATCGGTCAGCAATACCTAAACGACAACCGCATCATCCAGTGGCCACACCAAGTGTCAATTATATCATGGTCCGTTCAACGTGCAATGCAGAGCTTCAGGGCCTTTACAAAGGCACTGAGGTAGGGAACCGGTATACTGCGTACTGCTTCTCCAGATGACTACCCTGGCAACAGACAGGGATCAGACCGACGGTCCTAATTATCCGTTGGATGTTTACTGCCGCAGCCTAGAGTTCTACTTTACCCGAATGACTAGGTGCATGTATGCAAGCATCGTACGGCCCGCACTCTAATAATCGGAGCTCATCTCCGGTCCTTCTAGGGTTAGATCAGGTTGAGGAAAGAGCGACCTTGGCCCGGCGTACGTACCTTCCTGGTGAGCAGGTACACGAGACGAGTAAAATGGGAAGGCGCGACCCATCATCAATGAGATTGTAATTGGCAGGAACGACCGGCAATGACCTCGATCGCTCCTTCCCATTTTATCTCCCTTGTTGGCGAGGCAACCGAGGACACCGAGCGTAGAAGGAAAAAACGCAGCTTTTATTCTATGAATAGCCCTAATTATACAGTTGTGTTGCTTCGGTCCTCTTCCTCGTTCGCCTTGGTGTACGTCTCCCGCGTATCCATCTGCTCCTGCTCGTCCTGGCCGAGGATAAGGTTCTCCTCCTTGATGGCCTCCTCTTCCGTAGCGAGGGCTTCCACAGCAGAAGGCTGTGCTGCGGCCTGCTGGTCGCGCTTCATCGTCGTGTTGAGGACGGGGGTGGAGTCGTTGAAGATACGGAGGAGCAGTGCGCGGCGGTCTTCCTTGGGAAGCATGAGGTTGACGGAGTGCAGAGAGCGCCAGAGCGGGAGGACCATTCGTTCGCTGGGAAAGTTAGTAAACTGATTTAAAATCATGGTGGGTGCGCAACGTACCTGAACTTGTCCTCTCCTTCGGGCTGGATGTAGATGATGCTGCATCCCATGGGGATATCCCTCACGCGCTCGCCAATCTCGCCGAGGTTCTGCCAGCCGCCACCGTCGACCTTGGGGAACATCTCCACGAGGAGCTTGCGGAAGGTCTCCTTCTCAGTCAGGGTAACGGCGCGAGCAGGGCCCAGCCATGGCTCGACAATGCGCAGACCGTCAGTCTGGATACGCCAGCGGCAGACATCGAGACGCTGGGCGTCCTGCTTGACGAACATCTTCACACCGCAGTGGACGAACTTGAGACCTTGGCCCTGGTTGGCGACGAGGATATCGCGGGCGAGAGCGCTGGTGTAGTAGACGGTTCTTGACAGAGTCGCCTCGGCGTTGCGGACCATGAACCGGTCGCGGGGGAAGCGGTCTGAGATCTGGAAGAAGTCGAAGATCGGCTGGAGCTCTTCGTGGTTGGGGTCCAGGTATCTGAAGGGCTCCTCGATGGGCTGGCCCGGTTTCCGCTTTACGGGCTTCGCCTGAGCTTCGGGGGCTGACGCCTGGGGGGTATCTGTAGGTGCGGGAGTGGGAGTGGCATCGGATGTCGGGACATCGGGTTCCTGGGCAGGGGGAGGTTGGTGGACTGGACGGTCTCCGATCACAACTTCGGCTCCGCTGTCGAGCTTGGTGCGCTTAACGGGGAGTTCGTCTTCGACAGTGTCCGCATCCCTCTTCGCTGAGGTTTGGCTAGTGGCAGAGTAGGGAGGCTGGTGAGTGGCCTCGGCGACGGAAGCGTTCTTCGCCTTCTCCAACTCGGCCTGCTCGTCATGGGGCACCAGGTCGTCCAGCGCATCGATCTTCTCCAGCGGCTCGCCAGAACCGCTCTTCTTCGAGTCAAGCTCCTCCGCAAGAGCAGCCACAGTGCCCTTGGGGATCACCTTAGACGAATCCTCAGGCTTGGCCTTGATCTCAGACTGCTTCTCCAGAACCGTGATGAAGAAACCGCCAGTGTCCTGCAGATGAGGGTAGACGCGCATACACCTTTCGAGGGGCAGGTCACTAGTAGGGGGGAACATGCCCTCGGCGAGGCGGCCGAGACCTGCAATGCCCGACTGGGCCCTCTGCTCCTCGACCTCCTTCCAGTTGTTCCACCAACGGTTCTCCCGGTCCATGACCCTCCAAGACTTTAATCCATCGACACGCTTCAACCCAGGCAGTTCCTTGCTGCAGTCGACAATCTTGACCTTCTCCAGACCACCGCAACGCTCAATCGCAGTCGCAACAACGGCCTCGTTCTCGATCGGGTTCAAACTGCATGTGGAGTACACCACACGACCGCCAACCTTCAGCATCTGCAGTGCGCGGATAAGGATCCGGACCTGAGTAGCGTACAGTCCGGCGGCGTTCTGAGGAGTCCAGTCCCTCCAGACACCGTAGTTCTTTCTGGCCGTACCGTCACCAGTGCAAGGCACGTCCGCGAGGATACGGTCGAACTTGAGGTATCTGTTAGGGGTGGGCTTGCCATCCTCGCTTGGCTTCGACGGCAGTTTGATGGAGGGGTACATGGTGGCATCGTGGTTCGTAACGATAAGGTTAGGCGAGCTAAGACGCTTCATCTGGTGGATCAACATGTGCGCACGCTTGTGGTCGCTGTCGTTGGCGATAAGCAAGCCAGTCGTTCGTCCATCATCGTTCAGACCCTCGGGCCCAGCGGGCTCGGGGCCAACAGTCCCCTCCTTCGCCTGCTTGGCAACCTGAAGCATCGCCTCCTCCTCGCCGGCGTGAACCATCTCCATCAGCTGCGCGGACTTGCTTCCGGGCGCAGCGCACATGTCCAGGACCGTCATGCCCGGGCGCAAGTCCATCAGAAGCGGCGGAATCATACTGACAACCTCCTGCCTGCTGATATTTCCAACATCCGTCTCGGCGACAAGGAACTTCTGGAACGACGCGAACGGCGCAAAGCGACGGATCACCTGCTTGGGGGTCGTCATGGACCACGCAAGACGGTCGGGGTACCAGTCGACGGGGCGCGGCGGCTCGACATTGGCGCCCTCATACTGAACGGCGGTGATCTCGGGGATGTAGTAGTTCTTCAGACGTTCCTGCACGAAAAGCGCATGGCTTTTTAGGGCTTATCAGCGCTGGCCTCGAAAATGGCTTTTTCGTTTTCATGAGAAACATACCCTTTTGAACCCGTGAAGCGGAAGCTGTTGGGGAGACCCCGCCGCATAGCCTCCCAGAAGACCTCGCGCTCCTCCTCGGGAATGATGCCCTGCTCATTGTAGTACTTCTCGAACCGCTCGTTCTCCTTGGGGATGTCCTCCCAGTTTCCGCGCTCGGAGCGTTGGCCGCCGCGTCCACCACCACGACCGCCCTTATTGAACTGCAGCAGAGTCAGAGTATGAAAGAGCCAGTAGAGCGAAAATCAAACCAACCTTCCTATCGCGCTTACCCATGGCTAAGACAGTAATTGGCTGATGGTCTCGGCGAGGGTATTCGGGGAATTTTCGAGCCCCAAGTGATCCCACCGGAACATTTCTATTCCGGAAAACCCTCCCGAGCATATTTTGATGGAGCAGGAAGGCGGTGCGGAGCCGACCAGGAGATTGGTCAGTTCGAAACTGAGAGTCACGTGATATGTTTGACTAAGCTTAAAACGTAACTACATGTTTACGTAACTACACGGTACCTGCCTTTTGCGGGCAGCTTACCCGGACATCCAGTACCTTACCATAAGGGCCTACGGTTGCTTGTGTAGTTGTTCGACTTCATATCTCATGGATCAATCGTTCTATAAACTCCAAACAAACAGCTCCAAGAATAACCTACTTATCCACCCAGCTCTTTGCCAACCGACTCTTACTAGTCGCCAGCTGCGCAACAGAAGTAACAGTCGCACTCCCCAAGATGTCAAAGACCGCAATATCAGCCTGCATCTCCTTCGCAAACCAGCTGCGCAGCTCCACCGCAACTAGCGAGTCAACACCATACTGATGCAGCGGCTTGTTCGCATCTAATTCCGCCATGGGTATTGACAATGCCTTGGAGAGCCTGGCCAGCAAGGCTTGGACGACGGCTTCATTGGCCGCGGTGATTGCCTCCGCCTGCGTGAACAGTGCGGCGACGTTAGTGGTGCTTTCTGCTGCGACTGTGTTGTTACCGCTCGATTGAGTTTGCTGGAAGAGTTGGCGGAACATGGGCTTGTTCATGAATGCGTCGGCTTCGCCTGGGCTCAGTTTGTCGACATTTGGGGTGATGCGGACAGTTGTTTGGCAGGGGATACCAGTGATGGGGCTCGCGTTGCAGTAGACGTCTAGGAGGGCGTGAATCTCCGGCTCGGTGATGGGGGTCATGGGCGAGTCCATGAGGTGCCGTTTCTGGAGCCGGACGTCATCGACCACGGCGCCGGTGAAGCCAACCACTCCCAGGTCCAGTGAGGTGGCCTTCTCACCTAGTCCGACACGGTATGCTGCAAGGGCGTCTTGGAATGTATTTCCTGCGGCGTAGTTGGCTTGCCCTTTGGTTCCGGAGATGCCCGAGATGGAGGCAAGCATGATGAAGAAGTCCATGCCGGCCGGCAACTGCTGGTGTAAGTTCCATGACCCTTGGACCTTAGGGGGAAGTGATTCTGTCCAAGAAGCGTAGGGCATGGCTTCAAAGAGGGCGTCTCGAAGGACCATTGCTGCCTGGATGCATCCTTTGATTGGTGGCATCCCTTGCGACTTACACGCTTCAAGTGTGCTCTGAAGTGATTTTGGATCCGCAATGTCGCAAGAAGGAGTCAACACACGGACGCCCCTACATCCGAGGTCGTGCACTAGCTGTTGAGCCTCGAGGGATTTGCTTCCTGATCGCGAGAGCAGAAGCAGGAATCGAGCACCCCGATCCGCCAGCCATATGGCTATATTGCGACCTAGGCCTCCAAGTCCACCGGATATAACATATGTGCTGTTTGCATCGAGCGAAGTGGTGGGGCGCGGATTCAACACAGTCTAGACATGGCAATCAGTGACTACTGCTAGGGCAGGAGAAGAACTGATGACTTACCATCACCTCGTCGTCCTCTCGCATCTCAATCACAACTTTCCCGTTATGCTTCCCGCCCTGCATAATCCGAATGGCCTTTTCAAACTCACCGATACCAAACCTATGTAAAGGCCGTGCCGGCTGGATCTTTCCCTGCTTAACCATCTCCAAAACCGCCGACAGTGCGGCTGCACACATCCCAGGTCGATCTTTCATCATGGACGCCAGATTAATCGCACTGAAAGAGACATTGTGCAGGAACTGTCCCATCGGGAGACTGTCATTTGCCAGGATATCCTTGATACCAATCTCCAAGAACCGCCCATAGGGCGCAATGCAGTCCCACGAGGCCCTAAGGCTTTCACCAGCTAGCGAGTTGAACACCGCATCGACGCCGCGGCCCTTTGTGCGAGCCTTGATGGCACTAGCGAACAGAGTAGATCGACTCGAGAAGATGTGCGCCTCGGGGATATTGTAGACATCCATCAGGAATTTCCGCTTCTCGTCCGAGCCAACTGTGGTAAAGACCGTGACTCCCAAGTTCTGAGCAAGCTGGATAGCCGCCTGCCCTGTGCCTCCAGCACCAGAGTGGATGAGTATTGACTCGCCTGCTCGCATGCGAGCCACCTCATAAAGTGCAATATAGGCCGTGGCAAAGTTGACTGGAACAGCTGCAGCCTCTGCAAACGACATCCCAGGCCATATCTTGGCCACGCCGGCACTCTCTTTCAGACGAATGAAGTTTGAAAAACAGCTACCATGAAGAGCCACGACTGAATCGCCAACTTGAAATTTCTGACAGGCATCGCCTGTGCGGACCACGACGCCAGAACATTCAAACCCCATGTGAGGCGAGCTCAGCTGGCCGACAGCGATTAGGACGTCGCGGAAGTTCAGACCAGCGCATTTGACTTCGACCTCAATCTCATCGGGGTCCAGGGCGCGTCCCGCAGCCTTGTCTTCAATGAATTTGAAGCCTGGGACCAGTCCGGAAGACACAGTATCCAGCTGGAGGGGGACATCGGCGGCTGAAAAGCGCTGGATCTTCTGCTGGTTGGGAACTGTGCGGGTAGCAATCTGGTTATTTAGCTGTGCAGAGGTGACCAACCGGCCAATGTGCAGCAGGCCTTGTTGCTCCAGATACTCTGTATCCTGCTTCATACTTCCCGACGAGACTAGCAGTTCAATGATTTTCAAAATCTGACCCTGTTGGTGGTCAGGGCTAGCTTCTTCAAGAGACAGCAGATAACAGCTCTTTCGGTCATCTTCCGCAGTCAGCACACGGAGAAGCCCTTCAGCGAGTCTCAGGTGAGGCCTAGGAGTAAGAGCACCGCCGCCGGAGCTAACCCATAGGACATCAGCTGTAGAGCACAGCAGACGCTTTAGTTCATCGAAAGACTCTGCTGGGATATCGACGAGTAACGGATGCAGGAGCTCGACGAGGAACACTCGCAGCGAGGTCGTATCAGCAATGTCTTTCTGAGACTCGCCAATTGGAACGCATTGAACGGGCGACTCTGCCAGCCGTTGACAAACTCGAGCCAAGGAATGGGCGACTTCTGTTTGCTGTGGCTGGGAGGCATCATAGATAATCTCAATACTACCAAAGGACACTTGCTTTGTAGTATCTGCCACAGCGGAAGAAATAAGAAAGGCGCTTTCATGGCAACGGGCATCGTCGTAGTCCGGCAGCGCTACATCAAGCCCCGAGAAGCCGGTTTGCTGCAGGAGCTCATGCCACTGCTTCTTGTCGACGCAAGGCCCGAACTTTCGATACGGCTCCGAGCCTAACATGGTTAGCAGTCTCCAAAACAATAGCAGTATAGCTGTCTTACTTAACCACCAGCCCTCTAGAAGACCGAAGATACTGGCTGTGCGAATGACTTGGGTCTCGGTGATTTCGTACAAGATGAGTTTTCCGCCGCTGTAGCTTGTCAGATGTGGCCTTATTCAGTTGAGATTACTTACGGCTTCAGTAATCTGCGAGCATTTGTCAGAGTCCTCTTTAAGTCCACTGTGGCATGGAGCACCTGCATCAAGTCAGCACACGATACGAAGAGACAAGTCAATGCCTGGCATACCAGTGACGCTACAACAACATCATAGGTCCCGCACTCAAAACCTTGAGCCTCCGGATCCTTCTCAATGTCAAGCGTACGGAACTGCATCAGCTCGCCCTCCCCGCGGAACTCGTCCTGAGCCTCGCCAAAGAAGGATCGCGAGATATCGGTATAATCCCAGCGGGAATATCGCCGGTCATTGGAGGACCCGCCACCGCGACCCAAATATCGAAGCATTATTTCTGTCAAGGAACCAGTACCGGCGCCGATCTCGACGATCTTCATCTGGGGGTCGCGGTGGGCCAGGAGATCTAGATACGTCCCAAATCGCCTCAGGCCATCTGAATCGAGGAGCTAGATACAGTCAGTAATCAGCTTGCTATTGGTCCGCTGATACCTATGTAGACTCACCTGCTGATAAAAGCGTTTCATCTGATCACCTTGAAACAAGAAAGCCAGAGGATCGAGCTCGCCAGTCAGAAAGAGTGGCAGGTTGCGCGCCACCGACACTGCCAAATTCGCTTGTTTGTTCTCATCGAGCAGTCGTTCTTCGACCTGATGTATGTAGTCTTTGTCGTCCAGCCGACTCTTCCAGGGCTCAACCGCGAACTGGACTTGGCCTTCATCAATGAGCCGCTTCTGCTCCCACATCCAGTCGATATACTTCGTCAAATGCGGCTGAGCTGGCTCGCTGGGCAATTGGCGGAGAGTCTGTAAAATACGAGCAGTCAGGACAAAGTCCAGCTCCGTGAAGAAGGTGGCGCCCGGCCCTGAACGGTCTTCCTCTAGTGTGTTCGCGCAGAGATCAGTAATCTCATCGTTTCTCAGCAAACCCAAGTCCGGTTTCCATTCGATGTGATGACATAGTCTCTCCTGAGATGGGGTCACCGTTTCGTCGTCATCGTCGACTGCTGCGCTGACCACGTTTGACCTAAAGCCCGAGACTTTGACCAAAACGTGCTGCAGCTCCTCATCGAACACATTGATATCAACTGAATTACCCCGCTGAACGTCGTCCGACTTGATCGCGTGCACCTTTAATACGTCAGACGAGAGTTGGGAAAGGCCATCGTCGGAGATCCAGAGCTCTTCGATTTGCGTGGGGACCATGGTAGGAATCATCTGCGTTCCTGACTCGGTCATTGTCCATATGGCGGTCTGAATGATGGCATCGAGGGTCGTAGGATGGATTGTCTCGGCGCCTTCGCGGACCCTCTTGACCTTACTGGTAACCTGGCTATCATCATCCCGGGTCCACGCCAGCGAGGTCACCAGCTGGAATGATTTGCCGTATCCAAGCCCGCAACGGCTTGTGTACTCGTAGATACCTTCGTCGTCGACGGGTGTATGTGCTGCATGCTGGACAGCGGTGTAGCCGCTTATTTGGTCAGCTAGCAGCTCTAGACCAATTTCCTTATCTCTGTTGCTGTCCTCCGAGGCATATACAATATGTATTGAGCCAGTGCAATTCTCGGTCCATGTCTCGTTGTCGTAGGTGCAGAGCCTAAATTCAAATGAACCCGTGCTTCGTGAGTCTGCACTCTGCAAAGGACGCATGTAAAAGCCAGTTTCGATACCGCTGGAACTCGAGGGAACGCGAATAGGAGCATTGAACTTTGCCTCTTTAATCTTGAAGCCAGCGATTTTCTTGTCGGGCCCAGCCATCTGCTTGGCAGCTTCGATGGCCATTGCCAGCATACCCATTCCTGGATATAAGATTGTATCATTAACCTAGGAAGCCATTAGAGTGTGCCCAAATATATTGAAGAAAACCGACCTTGTGATCCTCCACCCATGGCATCTCGGCCAAGCGAATGAAATGCCGCCAACGTGCTTCTAAGGGATTCCAGTTCGGATCAGGCACCCCGAGAAGGTCATTGCGCGCGAACTTTCGCAAGCGATGACCTTTGCTAAGTTGCGACTCATGCCAGTAAGACTTAGAATGATCAAATGGATATTCCGGCAAATTCGACAAGCTTTTAGGCTGCCTACCGGGACCACCATTCACGCTCGATAGATCGACTGGATAGCCCGCTGAATGCAGGTGGCCAGCTGCCGTCATCGCAGTATCGACTGCAGCCACATTCCGCACCAGCATCGAGAGATACGAAGTTGATTTATCTTTGTTGATGGCCTTGAGGATATCCTTGCAAGCTCCCTGCATCACCGAATGTGGCCCGAGTTCAAGTAGGTGATGAATCGGAAGACTTCTAAGATGGCTTCGGTCCAGCTTTCTAGGAGGATCCGCTGAGCTTGAGCACAGGGTAGACAGTGCATCCAGGAAAAGAACGGGAGACACCAGATTTCGCACCCAATAGTCAGGCTTAGCTAGTTCCTCAGGTTCAATCCAAGTGCCAGTGACAGACGATACCATTTTCGGACAAGCCTTGTCATGCAGCGTAGGTGCATCCAATTTCCCAAGTGCTGTCCGATATTCTTCGGCAACCTCTTCCATCTGTGCTGAATGGTAGGCAACCCCTACCTTTAGCTTGCGGGCAAACACCTCGGCTTCATCCAGCCGCTCTTTGAGAACATCTATAAGTGACACATCACCTGAAACAGTCACGCTCTTCGGGCTATTAACACACGCAATGTTGATCCATGCGTCACTGTGTTGTTTCTTGATAGCCTCAATATAAGAGGCAGCATCCTCTGCCGAAAGGGCCACGGCTAGCATCGTTCCCTTTCGAGGGCTATGGGTAATGAGTTTGCCACTGAGCTTCCCACGGTAAAACGCTACCTTCCAAGCTGATTGCTGAGAGATAGCTTGAGCGGAGTATCTGACTATTGTCAGTTTCTGTACTGAAAGTGCTGGTTAAAAGATCTTACGCTGCAGCAACCTCCCCCGAAGAATGACCCACAACGGCGCGTGGTACCAGGTTCCAACTCCGAAGGAGGTCTACCAGAGCCACCTGCAAGGCAGTGGTCATGGTCTGGCTGTACTCTGGCTGGTTGACCAGAGACTCCGACTCTGGCCGCTGAAGCTCATCTATGACTATGTTAGAAAGAGCGTACCAATCGAAAAGCAGACATACCAAGGATGTTCCAGCTGCACCCCAGTGACCGTAGATATATCCCTGCCGACTTGATACTCTCGTAGAAAACCGCGTAAGCGGAGAGCAGCTCGCGGCCCATTGCATACCATTGAGCCCCTTGCTGCAGGCCGTTAGAAGTGCTCTTTATGGTGGCCACGCAGACTTACCCCAGAAAATACCAAAGCCAGATTGGGCGAGGTGTGAGCGCGAGACGCCGGGGTGAACTTGTCCGGTATCAGACTCCAGTCATCGGAAGAGCGTGCAAGCACAAATGATCTCCACGGAAACTGGGTTCGACGACTCCCAAGCGTGTAAGAGAGGTCATATAAATACTCTTTTGTGTTCTTGGGCGCACTTTTTGAGAAAAACGGCCTCCAGGACTCTTGGATACGAGCGAGTCCCTTTTCATCAGCAGACGACCATACTAAAAGCTTCGGCAAATCATTCTCCTCTTTTGAAGCCTCCAAACATAGGGAGTTGCTTATTCCATTACTCTGGCCTGCAGAGTGCAAACGCGAAAATGGGCTTGGACTGGTATTGTGACTTCCCTGGAGGCCACGAAGACGAAGAAAGTTGTAGGCATCGTCCAAGATAATATGCGAGTTGGAGCCGCCAAATCCAAAAGAGCTGACTGACGCTCGTCGAAGGCCATTTGTCGGCCACGCGATGGGCTTATTGGGGATCTGTCCGCTCGAAATTAGCCGGGGAAAGTTCAGCTTGCAAACTAACCCACCTTGATATGAAGGAACTCATCGTCAATACGAGGATTCAAACTCTCATAGTTGGTGCTGTTTGGGGGTATCACTCCATTTTCCAGGGCAAGTATGGCTTTTATAACTCCTGCCACCCCAGCAGCTCCTTCAAGATGACCGATGGTAGATTTCACCGATCCTCTTCCGAACAATTAGCGAGAACGGTGCAAGGCACGGCATCTGAACGTACATATACAAGGGATCTTCATTGGTCCGGTAAGACCGAAATATCGAACCGATGGCTTTACTCTCGATCGGATCGCCAACCGCTGTTCCTGTTCCATGGGCCTCGAAATACCGAGTGTCTGCCATGTCCAAACCACCCTTGCGATAGGTATCTTGTATCAGGGCTCTCTGCATCGCCATATTTGGTAATGTGATCCCTGGAGTCCTCCCGTCCTGGTTGGAAGCAGAGGCCCGAATAACAGCTCGAATGGTGTCGCCGTCGCGGATGGCATCGTTTACGGGCTTGATGACCAACACCCCGACACCTTCACCGCGGGCATACCCGTTCCCCCGACGGTCAAAACTATAACAGCGGCCATCGGGGGACAAGAGCCCGAGATTGTTCAGGCTCAGACCAATCTCTAGGGCTATGATGGCGTTACTGCCAATGGCCATGCCCATGGCAGAGTCACCACTCCAGATCGACTGGCAGGCCAAGTCAATCGCCATCAAACTGCTGGAGCAGGCTGTGTCGACGGTAGCACTGGGGCCGTTGAGATCGAAGAACCAGCTCACGCGGTTGGACAGCATGTTCATCGAGGTTCCCGTTGCTTCAAATTTGGGCAACGCCTGCGGGTCCTTGTTCTGGAGAGTTTCGTAATCATGCCCGAAGGACCCTGTAAAGACGCACGTCTTTGAGCGGGCCACTTGGTTCATTGTAATACCGGCATTCTCGAGAGCGCGGTAAGAGGTTTCCAAGACCAACCGCTGCTGAGGGTCCATGGCCTCGGCCTCGGCCGCAGTGATGGAAAAGAAGGGCGCATCGAAGAGACTAAGGTCATCTTTCATAAAGTGGGCTCCCCTGACAGACAAGCTATCCAGACGGTTGGAGTCGGGGTGATAGTGGGCGTCAATGTTGAGTCTGTCGGGAGGAAACTCGGTTGCAGCGCACCTTCCCTTCACGATCATGTCCCAGAATGACTCAGCATCAACACCGTCCCCTGGGAACTTGAACGACAAGCCCACAATCGCCAGTGGGCGGAGAAGATCTTGGTCGCCCGGCATGGTCACGAATTGTCAACGGTGATTTGGCTTGGGGTCTTGAACAATTGGTGAAACGGAACCGGGCTGACCATGACATGGCCACATTCTTATATATTGACGCTAAGTAGCATCATAGGGCCTGCAGGACACAGAGACAATCATTGGTGGCCGCATCTTTTGGAGGCTAGCACATCGTGCCGCGCACTGCCCGGCGGGCGGATCTATCAACAAGACGCTCCCGCCAATGATAGCATCCACCCCGGTGCCAGCTATCTAGGCAGCTAGTGATATTTTAGTGTATCTACTATCCAGCCCGAGCTGAAAAGTGGCTACCGGCAATTCTCCTCCATATACAGGTGTGTGCCGCTCCTATCGACGCCGGTACACTGTGCTATCTCGGTAGTCGCTGTGTTCAAAATGCGCTTCCTCTGGTAAGTTTCTAGGTACCATCCGATCAATTCCAACATTGACCTTCAACAGCCTCCACGGAATCGGGAGCAACTCCCGCGTAAGTTCCAGCCGAACACCAAGAGCGACAATCTAACATCCTCTAGATCCTGCAACAGCAAACAGCAGCCATCAGATACGAACTGGGCAGCGCCCACACCTACGACTTCGTCGAGGGCACGATCCCATGGGACGCCGACCCAAAGCTCAAAGGCACCATGCTCGACGGCGAAAAGACGTTTACGTATCTTGAGCCCTCGAGCGCCGAGTCGTGTCTACGGGCCACAGAGCTCCTTGAGCAGTACGTGGCTGCGGAGGGGCCGTACGATGGGGTTATCGGGTTCAGCTTGGGGTCCATCCTAGCACTCTCATGGATGATCCAGCAGCGGCAAGAGAAGGGCATTGAGGGTTCACCTTTCAAAGTGGCAATCTTTTTCTCCAGCATCTTCCCGCTCCGCGACATGGATGCTTTGCGGCAGGGTCGCGTGGTCACTCTGGCTAGCATTCCCGAAGAGTGCCTTGATCTGCCTACCGCGCATATCTGGGGGGCGGAGGATGAGGGCCAGGAGCACGCGGAGAATACCTATCGCGCGTGCAAGGCCAGCACGAGATCGGTGTATGTGCATGGCAGGGGGCATGAGATCTCGACGGCACCTGACGACTTGATCAGCATGGTCAAGGTGATTAACCGGGCCATTGGACAGGTCTGTTCTTGATTGGAAACTTTCAACTATGCAAGGGAGATCCCAAAGTCAAATCGCGATCTGTACTCTGTACTCCGTACCCGACGTTAGTTCGCGATCTCCTGCGATTCTGCGAATGAGGCAGACCCATTTTTGAGTGCACATTACCGTACAGTAACCCACACTTCTGACATCGTTTCTGGTATCCATCACTCTGGAACGACAACAGAGATTAGCCAGAGTATGTGCTGCGCCATGCATGGGTCTCAAGCCAAGGAGTCGGACAGAACGCCTAAAGTTGAGGTGGCTGGCCTCCAACCTTGGGTGACGGGTCGCGGCTCAGCTGAAGGATCCCTGCAGGACACCTACCCCAAATACACCCCGTGGCCTGTATTGATTGTTACCCACTGGCTGACGCCCCATAGCGCTAACGGCCACTAGTTATTATGACCATACAATCACAAAGAGATTTGGAACAATAAGCAATAGGCTATGTAAATTATATGTAGTAAATAGTATCATAGACAAGAGAGGTTAAATTACAACTCTTTGCACCTAAAAGAGTTGATATAAGCGTTAAAAATAAGCGGAGAGAGTCGGATAATAAACTTGCTGTTTAGGTATTACATGGCGCTAGCAGCTTGCTAAGTGGGCCTCACCGTGTGGGTAACGATCGATGCAGGCCAGAGGGTGTAAAGCAAAAGCCTGTCAGCCAATGGTGGAGAACGTTCAGATCGCTCTGACAGCGCTTTGGCAGCGCTCAGGCGCCTCAGACAGTCTTACAGTAATTGAAATACTGCAACGCCTACCACTGAATTCCTCGCACCGTACGACAGTGATATCTGCAGTTCTTAGGATATCACAAAGTATCGGTGAAAGTATTTGGAATTCTCGTCATTTCTAGGAGCTCAAATTGTCTATATAAACCCTAGTTAGCTTCAGCTTTTGGATATCATCTCGCTCCTCATTCAATTCTCCAGTATCAGTTCGATCGACAGCTTTCCTTGTACGGTATTCGAAGGGCCTCAGAAAGCCGTTCCTAGTCCACCGCGCTAAATAAGAATAGATTGCGCATAGCAAGCCCCACGTAAGCTGAGAACTTTTAGACTTTTCCCCTCCATCAGCACTGCTTAGTGCCAAAATGAAGAAGTGCTTTGTGCAGCGCAGCAGCAGCAGAACGGCGCCTGCAAGGTTCTCCCTGTTGTTATTGTTGGGTGAGCCCAAAAAAAGGCTCAGATGACCTACTGAATACAATTGAGTTCTGCGCTCGTCAGCTATCGTAGTGAAAAATAGACTTCATCGATTGTTATAAGCTTGTTTGATGGCAAAAGTGGCGCAATTCTAAGACGCGCTTCGGGTGGCCGCTAGCTCGCCGAGTCGCCATGCTCAGCAGCCTCAGCTGAGGATCAACCTTGAACGCTTGCAGAATTCTTGAAGGATTACGTACGACAATGGCACAAGGTGGCGGCTTACTTGCATACTCCGTACTTGGGCCAAAGCAATGATCCTATGGTAGCTGAACAACTAAGATAGTAAATATGAGCCGCTGATTATGGGCTTCTGACGTGGAGAAAACTCGACATGTTAAACTTAAACGTGCGAAATTAAGATTCAGCAGGAAAAAGGTCTTGCTATCTCAGGCACTCCAGGTTTTCCGGCTACTTTCTGAACGCTCCTGTGCGAACTTCACCTCACCTAGAGATTTGGCCCTGGAAGGCGGCTTCCTTAGTTCTATCTTACGCCGTCGCCTGCCCAAGGCTAGCTGAAGATGGGTGTCCAAGACCACCACAGTGCAACTGATTTAGTACCATCCGATACCGCTCCGGAATTTCTCCACGGGCTTCAATTATGGGTTGTTGGCTTGGGGTATGTGTACTTGACAGCTCTCTCGCTCTGTCTCGCTCCCTGGCTAAAATCTGCCGGACCAGGTTATGTCTAGGTCTCTTCTTGCCGTCGTTAGAGGTCAGCATCGTGAGCACCTCGCTTGTCACCATCACCAATGACTTCCGCGGCTTTGATCAGAGCACCTGGGTCATCACCTCGTACCTGCTCACCTATACGGGTATGCTCTTTCCAACCCCAGGTACTGCCAGCTAAAGTATCCAGGGTTTCTCATGATCTGGTCCAAATGCGGTGACATCTTCGGCGTCAAAGCCTCTTTGCTGTGCTCGTTGGTTTTCTTCGTCGCCTTCAGCGGAGGATGTGGGGCCGCGCAGAGCATGAACCAGCTGTATGTGTTTCTCCGTCTTCAATTCCCGCCCTCAGACCTTGGGGCTAATGGATTGGTTCGAACAGGATTATCTGCAGGGCCTTCCAAGGAGTTGGAGCTTCCGGTGTCTACACTTTGACTCTCTTTTCGCTTCTGCGCCTGGTGCCCCAGAAGAAATATGACCTTATCGCCACCGTCGCCGCAGCCAATATGGCATTGGGGCTAGTGCTGGGGCCTTTGATCGGTGGAGCGATCAATATATCCGGCAGCTGGCGCTGGATATTCCTGCTCAAGTAGGTGGTCGAACAGAGAATCCTCGACGCTTAGCACTGACACACCTACCTATCAACAGTCTTCCAGCTGGCGCCGTGTCCTGGACTCTGCTTCTCGTCGCAATGCCAGGTGACTATCCGTACCTTCGTTCTTCGCAATCGTCACAATCGGGAACAAGTGCAGTGCAATCGAGACTGAGATCGACCACGGACACATTCCTCGCAAAGCAGAGATTATTCTTCCGCCAGGTCGATTTCCTTGGCGCTTTCCTGATCCTAGCTTTCTCGATGTTCATTATCGCCGCATTGCAAGAGGGAAACCTAAACTATGCATGGTCGTCAGCGCTCATCGTCAGCTTCATAGTCGTCTCGGGTGTTCTGTTGTTGGCGTTTCTTGCCTGGGAGTGGTTGGTCAGCCGGCGCCACAAATGGAAGATCCAGCCAATGTTGCCGTGGCGATTGACTCGAAACCGTGTCTTTCTAGGCGTGGCACTGTGAGCCGCTCTTTCTGAAACGCCCTGGAAGACTAACTGACGGTCATTACGTAGTGGTTTCCTCCTAACCGGTGCTCCATTAACGATCTGCGTCATAGAGCTTCCCCAGCGCTACCAGACAGTCAATGAGTCCTCACCCCTCGGCGCTGGCGTCAAACTCCTCGCCTATGCACTCAGCCAGCCCGTCGGTAGCTTCATCTGCTCGTCTTTGGCGGGTAGACTCAAAGTCCCCTTCGTATACATCATCATGGGTGGAGTCGTGCTCCAGATTGTTGGCCTGTTTCTCCTCTCGACAATCCCCACGACTATCCACGTATGGACAGGCCAGTTTGGATATGCCGTCCTTGCCGGGTTGGGTGTAGGCTTGGCAGTCACTGCCGTATATATCATGGTTCCTCTGGTTGTAGATGAAGGTGATCAGTCAATTGCATTGGGCACGGGACTGCAGTTGCGGATGCTGGGCGGGGCGTTGGGCGTCGCCATTGCAACGGCCATCTTGAACGATCATCTGCAGAGTGCGCTTAGACATGTAATATCTGGAGAGCAGCTGAGTGCTGTCCTGGAATCGCCGCAGGCCATCGGGTCGTTACGGCCGGAGGTACAAGTTCAGGTGAGGAGAATCTTCGGCGAGGCGTACAATTTGCAGATGAAAGCCGCTGGAGGCTTTTCAGCAGGTCAGATCTTGGCCGTCTTGCTTATCTGGAAGAAGGAGCAGGTGAGATTTGTGAGGGATGCGAGGTAGTTATTGCCCAAGCATTTCTTTTGCGGTTGGATGGATTCTTTCTTCGAAGTCATGTTGTGTAGTTGCTCCCTACACAGGTCGTTGAAGGAGCCAAATGTTCCGTTGAGCAGAAGAAGGGAGTGATGTTCTCGCATTGGATAGATGCTTTCAACCATCCAAAGTTGTACCGAAGTGTCATGTGCTCTGATATGGTCGATGCCCTATCGGAAAACCCTCTTGCCGGGTTCAAGTCCCAGAACAGTTAAGTTCTGTTTTCGTTCCTGACAAAAGGAATTTCAGTACCAGTAAACCTGTCTCGATTCATCAAACGTCCGACTCCGCTCGTAGCTCGCTTGCAAAGCACGATATTGCTCCAAGGGATTTTGATAACAAGTTTCCGGCGTTTCGTGTATGTGGTCGATGCCGAAAACCCGGTTTTTCGGGATTCAATGAAACCACCTGGCTAGTTGCTTCGCTTGGAGAAGATAAGCTCGTCGGAAGGCATGCACTGGCAGGGCTGCATACTGCGCTATGCCCATTGGGAAGAGTTAGCCGGTCTCCAGCTATCAACCAAGTTCGACTCCAGTTCAAGAGAGTCCTAACCACAATCTGTTAGACGTGCAGGGGGGAGATGGTACGCCTCAACAAGAACGTGGTAAGGGATCACATGCAGATAATATATCGACTGACAGCAACCATGGTCGGGAATAAAGCGAGACAAGATCTAGCGGCTTGAGCTTCTCTTGACGTGATAGTGGGCTGACGCAGGTCGAGTTCGAGTACGGGTCCCGTGCGGAATTTCCACATTTGGGGAAGGAGCATGGGCCAGGTCACATCGCTTGGCTTTCCAAGAATCCTTTGATTGCGATTCGCTATCAGGGAGCAGGACTTGAAGCTCGGACGGTGGTCGTTGTTGAATGTTGAGGGATTGCAGTGGCAAGCACGTGCTTGGCAACTCGACACCTCCAACCTCCAAACTCCAAACTCCCACGCTTCGGACCCCACGATGGCCTCACCATACCATGGATCTCGCGTTGGCCAACAGGAACCCTGCCAATCATCTCTCGCCAGATCCAACCCGATCCAAGTGCAATTTACCGACTCCCAGCCTTATCTCAACGAATCACCGTTGTTCGCAAATGACCTCCCGATTGCAAAAGCCCAGACCGTGCGGGCCATCGAATCACTCATCTCATCGATTGACAGCGAGATAAACCAACTGTCAGACAGGAAAGGGTCACTGAACAGTGAACACTGGGGTTGCGATTGGTTTTAAAGATGAGCCGAGTTTATCGCTCTGCTCTGGCTGGCCGACGGCGACCGATCCATTCCTCGACGGGGTAGCGCCCACATCGACCTCGTTTCATTCGCCTGTTCCTCGATCGCACGCACTGGCCAAGACACCAATTCCATGCGGAAAATGGCGCTCTCCGGGGTACACTTTTCCCCTCCGGGCTGGTTGCTCAATATCAGAGGCTATCGCGGCTCCGAATGGGCCTCCGTAATCTTAACGACGGTTGTTATCGGTGACAAGTGACAGCCGTCACTTTACGGATTCTCGAGTCATGATTTCTCCGATAAAAGTGAAGGATGCTGTCCGGACAACTCTCGCTGTGATGTTCGCCTCGATTTCGCCCTTGCATTCTCGCTACCAGGGCTGTCTTGCGGCACATTCTTGTGGACGGCACATAGGCCGGCTATTCTAGCGATTCGACGTCACACCAGCGGTGAAATTCCACCAGATTTCATTTTTTTCACCAGCGGCCAGCGACGATACCAAGACCAAGCTCAGCCACGCTCCCCTTTTTGTACGACACCCGACTCGAGCTCTTTGTTTGTGCTCTTGTCCTCTTACCATCTCTTTGTATCCGAAACCTTCTTTCGAACCAGATCTTCAACGGCGCAACGCTTCTACCTCGACCGACTTGATAGTGACTCGTCCGATCGACCGCACTGTTTTTCTCCGTTATCGTGCAGTTTCGAGCTCGATCCCCGCATAGCGGCAGCTGCACGTGCCCCTTCACCGGAACGGAGTCATGAACTACAATGTGACGACAGAGGCAGCACAAAATCGAACCGGTCGCATCTTTTTATACTGCACGTCCTAGAGCTGGGATTTCTTCTCGCTGGCCCCTGCCTGGGGCGGTCGATCCGCCAACGCAATGCAATCGATGCTTCAACCGCGAGGAATCTACTCGGCAGTCCCCCCCGATGTCCGCACGAGGCTTCAAGACAACCCTACGCTCTTAGTGAGCTGGTGGGCGACGGGGGTTTCCCTTGCCATCATCGTTACCAGAGTATGTGGCCGCTATGTTCGCATCGAGCGCCTTTTCCGCGAAGACAAGATCATGTTGGCTGGAATTATCCCTCTACTGGCAAGGATGGCGTTTGTGCATGTTGTTCTGCTATGGGGCACCAACAATACAAAAGTGGATGGTTTGACCGAGGAAGATATTCGGCGGAGGGAGGTTGGAAGCAGGCTGGTCCTTGCTGCCCGGATCTTTTATGCGATTTTGTAAGACTGGCTGAACTCTATTCCGCGATTGGCAGTGCTAACACGAGCAGTATTTGGGCCGCCAAGCTCACCGTCTGTGAGTTTCTCAATCGGATCGCCGGAATAACATGGCGACGATCAGTTCGCATCTTCCTCATCTTCGTATACTACTTCTTAGGGTCAACCTTGCTCGCTGTCGTGGTTGCGACTCTCGCCGAATGTCAGCCGTTCACACATCACTGGCAGGTCGTACCAGACCCAGGCCCGAGCTGTCGCTCTGGGTATGCCAACGTCATAACCATGGGAGCCTGCGATATTATCACCGATCTGCTCCTCGTCGGATTTCCGATCTTCATCATCCTGCGGACGACCATGGCTTTGAAACGGAAGATTACTCTCATTCTTCTGTTCGCTCTCTCCTTGATACTCGTTGTTATCACCAGTTACCGGGTGCCTGCAGTAATCTCACACAAAGGCTCTCAACAATATCGATCACTCCTAGCATCCCTTGAAATATTAGCCGCTACTGCGGTGTCCAATGTGGTGGTCATAAGTTCATTCGTGAGGGACAAAGGCGTCAAAAAGATCAAGTACAAGAACAGCTTAGCCTCTGCCTCGGTCAACGAGAATCTTGACCAGAGCTCCGCCCGCCGTACAACTATCACTCATCACCAATGGGGAAGCGACTCCGACCTCGCACGCGATCTGGGTATTCGTCTTGACCCTGACCTATACACTAGTGAGCCCTCAGAACCGCGCCCAGCCCCCATGGCCACTGGTGGTCTCGATCCGAATTGGTCATTCAGCCAGCAAACAACCGAATTTGACGACGACCATTCCTCCGGCAATAGCCTGGATATCAAAGTCAGTCCGCACGAATATCTACGCTCAAATAAAACCACCCACGGCCAGAGCCCACCCGAGAGCTCACACGACCAAGTCCCTATCTTTGACGTCGGCGGTCTCCTCACTCAACCTACGCCTCCATCCACAAGCCATAATAACAACCACAACCCTCAAATCAATCTTTCTCCCGCGAATCAAACCAGTAACTCAGGCGACCCCATCCTCCGCGACGTAGGCGGATTACTTTCAGACTCAGGCGACCTATCTCCCCTAACAACATCACCCTCACAACACACTTTACATTCCTCAATCAACACCCCGCGCACAGGTGGACTCCGCCGCGGCTCGCAACAAGGCCGGCGGCGCTCAAGCGTGCATTTCAGCGATCAACCGGATTCTTCTGTCCCCTCATCGCGAACTCAATCAGGCGTCTCAGCAACGATATTTGAGAACGCGGACGAGTTCGAGCTCCAGGATGTGGGGGGTCTGCTTTCGAGGAGTCGGGACGGCGCATGACTGATACACGACTGATGTGGTTCCTGATGTATGAGTAGGTTGGTTGCATTATTGGCATGCATTACTCATGATGCCCACGATTTTTGTCTTAGCGATGGCGTTCTGGATGGACATGTTGGATTTTTGGGAAATTATCTACGGTTTACATATTTGCATATATGTAAACAAAACATACTTAATTATATCATTGAAAAGATCACTAGAAAAGCGCACTTCCAGATAAGTCTCGGGTACCTAGTTCTGGACTTGCGAGTCAGATGACGGTTATATATATCCACCACTCCGAGCTTCCCTGTCCGTTTACCATGTACAACTCCCCTACAACCCATACTCCGCCTTAATAATATCCGCCGCCCTCTCCGCAACGGCGTAAACAATACTCGTCAAATGCCCACTAATCTGCGCCGGCAGGATAGACGCATCGATAACCCTGACGTTCTCGGTCCCATACACAAGCAGATTCCTATCGACCACGCCCCCGAGTTCTTTAGGCAGCATTGCCGCTGTTCCGACGAGATGGTGATTTGGTGTGACTGCACGCAATGTCAGCAAAGATAACATGATGTTGAGGACACGGTGGGGGGGCAAACGTACAAGAACCCCGTATCCACCCCTCCCACTCGGCACCCGTTGCATTGGCAGGTACATCTTGCATACTCGGCTGCACTCGTTCCCCCACAAGCGAGCTCACCGGCTCCATACCCCAGAAACGACGCACGATCTCGGCGCTCCGTACCTGTACCTCCGCGTCCCAGGTTATATTGAGATAATTGGGGTTGATAGACGGATAGACATGCGGGTTGGAGGATGTAATGTGGACATTTCCCCTTGAGAAGGGGAGGAGGATGAAGAATGCGCTTCCGACATTGCTCCCTATTCCGGTTGTTAGGATCTCGATGAGGGGGACGTCCTGGTTGAAGATTAGGGAGTGCTGGATTCTGTATAACTGTTCGAGTGAGGCAGCGGAGATTGCGCTGTGCGTGGTGTTGGCGGTTTGCGCGGCCCATAGTGGCAGCTGTGCTGATGTCTCGTCTGCGACTGTATCTATGTCGGATCCGAAGATGTCGGATGCGCTGAGGTATGTTACGTAGGGGACGAACCCGGTGAATGTTAGATTAGAAGCGTACGCTATGAAGTTGTTCGGCTGGTCGATGGCGTTTTCTCCGACGGCTGGGAGGGGGATCTTTGTGGTTATGTTGAGGGGCTCTAGGATCCTGCTTGTGTCTTAGTATGTGCTTCTTCACGATGAGGTAGGGAGATGTGCTAAGCAGGGGTCGAGGGTAATGCGTACTCCGGATTTCCAACACCAGAAAGTTCCAGAATCGCGGGTGATCTGATAGATCCAGCTGAGAGGATGACTTCTCTCTTCGCATAGAGAGTTGCGATGTCGCCATTTGACGCTGTATATTCCACTCCCTGTGCCCTGGTCAGACTCGCCCCTTTCTCATTCATATCATTGTCATCATCCGCCCACAATATCCTCCTCACCTTCCCCTGCAGCATAGCCAGATTTCCCCTCTCCCGAACGGGATAATAATAAGCTCTCGCAGCATCACACCTGACATTCTCCTCACGGATCAACGTCTGCGGCCAGACGAAGAAGCCCCTGAGAACCCCACCATTGACATCGGGGTTGAAAGGTACATCCAAATTTTGCCATGTCTGCTTGACCCGCGACGCAAACGAGCCGTTCTGCAGACCGTACTGGTAGGATACCTGCACAGGACCGGAGTCGCCATGGTAGCTGTCTATAAACGATGCTCCCGCGGCAGTTTGGGCTGGAGTTGGTGGTGAGAAGGACTCGGATTTGAGGTGGTAGGGCCAGAGGGACGCCCACGTCCAGTTCTCATTGCCGGCTGTTTCCCATGCGTCGATTTGGGAGGCTTCGGCGCGGATGTATGTCATTCCTAGGATTCGTCAGTCATAGCGAACTAATCACCAATTTAACTAGGAATGTCATGGAACTGATTCGGTAGGCAAACAGACCATTTATTACACTCGTTCCGCCCCACGCCCGTCCGGCATGGTACTCCATCTGCCTATTGTCCGCATTCCCCTCCGGCGTCGTCTGGTACACCCAATCGATATGCGAGTTCAGGCCCGGACTAGCGCCAAAGGTTTTGACGCTGGTAACGTTGGGGTTATCCCCTTCATCTTGTCCTGCTTCAATTACGGCGATGGTAAGCTCTGCGATCTCGGATAGCCTGTTTGCGACTGCTAGCCCGGCTGTTCCGCCGCCGACGATTATGAAGTCGAATGTGTCTTGTAACGATGAGGGTAACGTTTGACATGAAATTGCCGGGATCGTGTAGAAGGTATATGTTAAGGCAGCTAAGATCTTATGGTGCATGGTTGTGGTTCGTCTGCGGTGCACCTGCAAGGACGGTTGTGCGAGTGCTACTGAAGGGTTCGACACGAGGTTGGTGAATACTCAGAGAGTAGATTGATATCGAAGAGAATGTACCTATTAACAGAGTAAGCATCGTCAATATATACCAGGCTATTACTAGGAACCCCGCATTCCAGTTCAGTGGATAGTACTCCGTATGTGACCCATCATGGAACCCAGCCAGGCACGTCCATTCGCGTTACACAAGGCAGCGCAGTATATCAACCAAAGCAGTTAGCCGACCAAGATCGCAAGCACCACTGCCGCCTTGGCATTACAAGAACCAAAAATCAGGAACAAAAGAATACATTTTGATATATCAGTGACAGTTGCGTACTGTACAGGACACGCTTCAGCTTCATCCTCCCCGCTCACCGTATCTATCTATTAAATCACCACAGACAAAACAAGGCATCAAATCGGCAGACACAAAGGAAAACGCATAATCTAGCTATGCATTTAGTAAGTGTTTCGGCTCATGTCCGATCGGAGACGGTTGTAGTCGAGGATACCCTCGATGCTGCCGACGGCGCTCAGGGCGATATCCTGATCCCACAGCTTGCGGTTGGCAAAGTCCATGACGTGCTTCTCGGTGATCTGTCCGATTGTGCGCTCGATGTCCTCGGGGGAGAGGCGGCGGCCGGTGGTGATGATCTGGCGACCAATGTCTTCGGCAACGGCGGTGGTACCGTCGAGGGAAAGGAGGATGGAAGCCTTGAGCTGGGCCTTGGCGCGCTCGACCTCGGCGGCGGTGACGTTGAAGGACAGACGAGACCACTCGCGGAGAGCGAAGTGGATGAGGTCGTCAACCTTGGTCAGGTTCTCGGAGACAAGGTAGATACCCCAGAGACTGCACAATTAGCAACTTTCAAACCTCAATAAGAACAACAAGGAAAGGCTTACCCAGTGTCGCTGTAGCTGGTGGAGAAGCTCATGAAGCTGTTGGCGAGGTTGTTGCGCTCAACGAAGGAGCTGAGCTTGCTGCCAAGGTAGGGGGAGTTGCCCATGGCACGGTCCCAGTTACCGACGATGGCCTGGGCGACAAGGGCAGTGAAGTAGTCGTCATCCTTCCAGCTGACACCCTCAACGGCAAGGGCGATGTGGGCAGTGGGGAGGGTGTCGTCACGGACACGGACCTCGGATCCGATGAAGTCGGGCTGGCGCTTCTGCTCAGCGGTGAGGGCGGCGAGGGCGGAGGTAGGGGGCTTGCTGGGGAGAGAACCGAAGTGTTGCTCAGCGAGCTTGACGAGTTGCTCGTGGGGGATACCGCCAGCACCGACGAGGACCATGCGGTCGGCAGTGTAGTTGGTCTTGATGTAGTCGGTCAGGTTGTCGCGGGTGATGGTCTGGATGTTCTCCTTGGGGCCGAGGATGGTGCGGCCGAGGGGCTGGTGCTGGTAAGCGGTAGCGTGGAGGTGGTCGAAGACAACCTCCTCGAGCTGCTTGTCAACCTCCTCCTGCTCGCGGAGGATCACGTCCCTCTCGCGCTCAATGGCAGCGGGCTCGAGCTTGGAGTTCTGCAGAATATCGGCGAGGATATCGACGGCCTTGGGGACATCGTTGTTGAAGGACTTGGCGTAGTAGACAGTGTTTTCCCTCTAGGAATATTGTTAGCTGAAATGACGCAAAACATCGTTCGATCCTTCGATCCGAGCGTACCGATGTGTAGGCGTTGAGGTGAGCGCCCATGTTCTCGATCTCGAGCTCCAATTGGTGCTGGGAGCGCTTGCTGGTGCCCTGTAACCTGTTAGCTGTTACTCATTAGTGTCCATTCAAGCTACACACCTTGAAGGCAAGGTGCTCCAGGAAGTGCGCGGTTCCGTTGGTCTTGTCAGTCTCTGCCCGGCTACCGGCGTCGATCCAGACACCGACGGTTGACGTCTGGGCCCATGGGGAGTAGTCGGTGGCGATCTATAGCCGTTAGCACCTCGAGGACACGATCTCGTACACCAATGCGTCATCGTACCGTGAAACCGTTGGAGAGGGTGGTGGACTGGGTGGTGGACGGGAGGGCGACGGGGGAAGCAAAGCCACGCTTGACGGGCTGAATGGACTTCAGGGCGGCGCGACTGCGCAGAGCCTGGTTGAAGTTGTACGCTAGGCGCCGAGAAGCCATTGTGAGGAGATAAAAAGTGGGTGTGGAGAGGGGAGGAGGTAGAGTAGAGGATGATGAGGCAGCGACCCTGGAGTTGCGAGGTTGAAGTTCGGAAGTCAAATTGTTCGCCAGCCAGCCAGCCAATCACATGACCCGCTTTTCCAACGCCGCTCCGACACTTTCCTATGCCCAGCTACATCATCAACCCATCTTGGCTGGTGCTGTTGTGACATTGTCAAATTACTCGTCTATTTCAATGCCTATCTAAACTGACTAGCATACCGCCGCACATTCTCAATCATCGGAATATCCGCCGAAAATCCCAAACTCAGCGCCCGAGCCGGGTTAAAATGCGGCGACCACGTCTGCACAATCCGATCAATATCCGCGTCGTACTTCTCCTCGACCAGCGCCCGCCTCTCGCTGCCACCAACCTCCTCCAACGCATCCAGCATCTCCTGCACACTAACCACAAGCCCAGGAAGGTTCACAGACCTCGAATCACCAAACGCCTCGCCAGGGACACTAGCCGCATGGATCAAGTTCTTGACAACCGTATACGGCGAGCAAACCCACATCTCCGTCTCCCTGCTAACCGGCAGAACCGCCTTCTCTCCATGAAACGGCTCGCGAATGATCCCACTCGCAAAGCTGCTCGCTGCCTGTGTAGGCTTTCCCGCTCGCACAGTCACCGTGGGCAGACGCACAGCACGGCCGTCAATGAACCCACGGCGCGAGTAGTCATTGAGCAGCAGCTCGATCATGAGCTTCTGCGTGCCGTATGATGACGAGGGCACGGGTGGGAAGTTTGTCTCGTCGATGACGAAGCCCTTGGGCGCGAGTCCGTAGACTGCTAGGCTAGATGTAAAGACGACTTTGACGCCGGGCTGGACGGCGCGCAGCCGGTCGAGGATGTACCGGGTTGCGTCGAGGTTGACTCGCACCCCGAGCTCGAAGTTGGCCTCTGCGCCGCTGGACATGATTCCGTGGAGCAGGTAGACGGTGTCGTAGCGGTTGGACGCGGTGAAGACCTCGTCGACGACTTCGGGCAAAGTAAGATCGGCTTGTACGCACTTTGCTCGCGATGCATGCTGTGATGCGGAGGCAGGGACGCTGGGTACTACGACGTCTGCCAGTGTCACCGTTAGATCTGGCGAGCTGGTAAGGAGGGCAGATGCTAGTTCCTGGCCGACATAGCCACCTGCACCGGTAATAAGAATCGACATGTTGACTATCTTGAGGAATGATGAATGACTGAAGAATGTCCAATATAATGAGACAGTTTTGAGCCTTCAAGGTCTTTAAGTACACTTCCTGCGGGGCATCCCCAGGGTTTATCCCCGCCCTGCACTCTTATGCCTGCCTCCCTTCAATGCAAAGGTAAACTGTGATTAGCCGGTGTCATGAACGTCCCGCAGCAATTCCGAAGTCGAATCAGTCGGGCAACAGTCCGACTACCGAACTGGCATGATGCGAGAGTTGGGACCGGCGCAAGTCCGAGATCTTCGACTACACAGAATTCCTCGGGTAGTAGGCCTGAACTTGAAGAGAAAATGAATTAACTCCATGCGTTACATGTCCAGAAACACATCTAAATTCCTGATGACATAGAACAAAAAGCGAAACAGATCAAGAAAAATCGTAGCACACTCGACGCCAGGACAGAGCACAAGAATTAAGACATGAGAGGGAAAAGAAAAAACCGTTACAAAAGACACCTGCTTTTTAGGCTTTTACGACGAGCGACTGTAGATACCAGAGACGATACAGTGGTCTCGCTCGAAGGGCTCCAGGGTCAGCTGCTCCTTGGGCTTGATCTTCTCCTCTCTCATCTTCTGGACCTCACGGGCGAACACAACCTCGGGCTTGGCCGTGCTGTCGATACAGCTGGCCTTGACGGAGATGATGACACCACCGCCGGACTTGAGGAACATGTGGGCGTTCAGGCCGACGATACGGGCCTGGTCGGGCTGGGCAACGTCGGCGAAGATGACGTCGACCATGGGGACGAGCATACGGTAGCGGAGAGGGTGACGGGCATCCTCGACGATGGGGATGACGTTGGTGCGGTGAGTAGCCATGCCGATCAGGTCACGGCCGGAACGGTGGGAGAATTCGACAGCGTAGACGTTTCCGGTAGGGCCGACGATATCAGCAACGTGACTGACGGAGGTACCGCTGGCGGAACCAAGGTAGAGAACCTTGGAGCCGGGGCGCATGTAGATGTCGTCGAGACCACCGAGGATACCGGCAGCTAGCTTAGAACGGAAAGGGTTCCAGACGCGGTACTCGGTCTTGGTGACAGCTCCATCCTCGGCCGCGGGGCCCTCAACAGCAATGCGCTTCTCGCCGTAGACAGCCTCGCCAGGGGTCAAGTTCTTGGTAACGAGCAAATCTTCCTTGCCACCGCGGGCAACGAAAACACCGGCGTGACGGTGAGGTTCCTTGAAATCGAGTTAACAGGTGCTAGGCTATCGTACGGCCTGCAAATCACTCACAATGATGACCTTGGCACCGCCCTTAGCACCGGCACCACCTCCCCGGCCACCACCGCGACCACCACGTCCACCACGGCCGCCGCGAGGAGCACCACGACCACCTCCACGGCCACGGGGAGCACCACCGCCGAAACCACCTGAGCCGACGAAGAAACTGATTAGCGAATGCTCCTGTCAAGGAGAGACTGGAGGGTGTACGAGTCGCACTGTGCCTCAGGTCGATCTAGTCACCGAGCATCCGCAGACGCTGAGCCAGACTGACTTCGAGAACACAGCACGCTGGCAGGCTCCAGTCTCTCATGATTGTAGCTCGGTCACAAACCTCGACCACCACCACGGCCACCACCGCGACCACCACGGTCACCGAATCCACCACGGCCACGAGGCGCACCACGGCCGCCACGGCCACCACCGCGATCACCGAAACCCATTATGATATGTAAATTGAGGTTGTGTAGGAAGGTTTAATCGAAATCGGAGCCGCTGGAAGAGGCTACCGGAAGAGCTATGGCGAGAAGAGTTCGGAGGGTGAAGGGATCACTCGAAGGGCGATGAACGTCAGATGCGATAAGGAGACGTCGTTGAGATGAAAAGTTCACGAAGATTTCACGCCCGCACTGGCAGTCAAGATTCGGGGAAGGCCGTGGAGCTCGTCGTTGTTGCGGTCGAGTTTTTTCGCCAGACTTTGGGATTCGGATCTTTCGAAAATTTAGGCGCTAGTCCGTTCAGGGACTAGACTGTTAAGCTCTGTGGGCGCTGAGTCATGTGACTATAGACGAGATCACATGATGTGCCAAGAGCTGGCAGACGCCCCTCGGGATAATTTCGGGCTCGCTCAGTTTTAGTTTATCGCCAGAGCACTTGATCGGATGGTCTTTTGAAAGCCATCGATCTCAGCTTCATACGGAGTAGTCGTGCGCTCTGCGACATTTCTTCAAACTCTCTCTTATATACATCGGGCTTCTAAGTCCCGGATAGAATCTCTTAGAGAGATAGTCTACTAGTATCAGGCCCTTTGTATACCGTACTGACTAGTAAAGCTATTAATTAAATACTATAAAAGAGAATAAAAAAAAAAGCAAGTTATTTATTAAAAGCTAAAGCTACCTAGGGGTTTATATAAATAATTTAAGTTTTTAAAAACTTATTAATAGCCTAATTTCTTTACTAAAATAGTAAGGTATTAAGCGCCTTATTTTTTTATATTAACACGGCATGTAAAGGTATTAATAAATAAAAACTTTATTAAAATAAAAAATTTTTATTTTTAGCTAATACACCCCCTTAATACCTACTAAATACTAAAAATAAGGCTAGAAATATTTACTAAACCAAGTATTTTAATAAATTTATAATATTATTATTTAGTAAGTAGCTTAATAAGGCTATTTATAATTATTTAATTTATAAAAGTTTATTTAATCTTAAGATTTTTATGCTAAACTTTTTATTAAAACTATAAGTTATAAATATTAATATACTAAAGTTTTAATTAATATTAAATATTAAAGCTAGTAAAAATATTAATAATTTATTTATTATTATATTAAACTAAGAAATAATATTAAAAATTAAATTATATTAAATTAAAAACCTAGTACTACTAGTAAGTTACTTTAAAGGTTTTAAATAAAATAAGTAATTTTATTTTAATTATTAAAGTTATAACTAAGCACTACTTTATAACTTTTTATTTAATTAAATTATTATATAGCTTATAAATATAGCCTATATTAAAAAAGTAATTAAATTAATTAATAAAAGCTATATTAAAGTAGGCCTTATAAAAATTATATACCTTTAAAATAAGCTTATTTTTAAAGCTATTTAAACTAGAGTATTTAAGGGCTATAAAGCATGTATTATAAAAATAAAAAATAAGTTAATTTATTATATATTAATAATAATCCACTGGATTAACTAGGTATTTTAATAATTAATTAATAATATAAAAAATATTTAAATAGGTAAGCATGCTTGTATATTTAATTAAGCTAACTTTAAATCTTATTTTTTTAATTTATTAAGGTATTATAGTATTAAAGTTTAAATAAAACTTACTAAAAAAAAGAAAAAATATTTTTAAAGGTTAAATTATTATATTTAAGTAAAATTAGTTTATAATTACTTTAATATAAAAGTTTTAATATAACCAAACCTTATATTTTTTTTTATTTTAAATAATTTAAACTTTTAAAAATTATTTTATTTTACTAAAATGCTGGAGCTTGTACTTTACTATTAATTTTTTTTTTAAAAGTAGTTATAGTAGCTTGGCCTTTTTTAATAAAAAGGTTTATAATAATAATATTATTTATATAAATAAAAAAAATTATAAACTTACTAATATAAAGGCACTTTTTTTTAAGAACTATAGTAAAGCTAAATTTTTATAGTATTATAGTTAAATTAAGTTACTAAAGGTATAAAAACTTTTAAAGTTTATAAATAGCCTTAAGGGCCTTTAATAACTTACCTTATTATTTATAGTTATTTAAAAAATAAAAATATATTACCTTTTTAAGGGTAGTATTAAGAAATATATTAATAATATTTTTTTAATTAAAATTAAGGTTAAAAGCAGCTATAAGCGCTATAAAAGCTTTAAAAGCCCTTATTAAGGCTATTATTACTTAATTTTTTTTAAAAAATTTTAGTTTTAAATTTTCGTGTATATAAATTTAGGCTTTAACTTTAATAAAATAATTATTAATATTAAGTTTATAGGTAAAAACCTATAGTAAAGGGATTAGCTTATTTATTCCTACCTTTTATTTATTTATTACTTTTTATGCTTTTATTTTATAAAAAGCTCCTAATTTAAGATTTATAGCCTTTAAAAACTTATTATAAAATAAATAATTTTTAAAATTACTTTAGTACTTGGAAAAAGAAGGTAAATTATTTTAATAAAGTTATTTTTTTATAGGGTTTTAATAAAAAGTAAAAAAGGTAAATTAAATATAATTAAGGTTATTTAAATTATTTAAGAAAGTATTATTTAAATTTAAATTATATATATAATTATTAGTATTATATTATTTATGCCTACGCCAGGATATTTTAAAAAAAAGCTAAAATTACTAAAGTTCCACCCCTTAAGCGCGCTAAGCTTAAAAACTAAAAAAAAAAAAAGCTAGGCATGCTTATTTATTTTTTTTAAGTAATTATTTACTTGCTAAATTAGTAAAAAAATATTAAAATACTTAAAGGTATAAAATTTATTACTAGGGATTTTTTAAATAGGCTTTTAAAGCTATTTATAAGGCCAAGTTTTATATAAGCCTTTTATAATAATAAGGTTTAAAAGTTATTTTAAAAGTTAGCAAGTATAAAAACTTATTTAGCTAATTAAAGGCCTTTTTTTTACTAGTAATATTTTTAATTTTACTAGTAGTATTTTAAGCTTTATCTCTTACTTTATACTTATTATTATTATTAATACTTTTTTTTTTAAGATCTCCACCACCCGTGGCCTATTTATATTTAAAACACCCTTATTTTTTTTTTATTTAAAAAATTTACTAAAATTAAGATTAAGGTTAATTTTTTTGGTTTTATAGTTTTAAAAGGGGATATTAAAAACTTGGGTTAAAGGCTTTAGTAACTTAATTTTAATATTAATAATAAAAAAGAGATTTTTTAAATTATATAGTCTAAATTTATTAAAAATAATATTTTTATAAGCACGTACAAGCTACTTTTTAAAAAACTAAATTTACTAAATA